TCTTTTGTTCAGAGTACGGTCTGGATAATAAATATATTCTTTGGGGAAGGCGGGACAGTGAGGTGCCGCACCGGGTACCGCTGGACAAGTACATAGACAAGTGTATGTTGACTGGACAAGTACCAGAGATGTGACCAGACCAGTAAAAAAAATTAGGAAATTTTCTTCGGCCAAGAACTCAATATGTTTTATCTATTTTTTTATCGCAGTAAGCAGTCTCACGCCATTACTGTTCTAATTAATCGTTTAATATAGCTAATATTATAAATAAAAGAAGTTTATGTTACTCTAAGTTGACATTGAAAGTCTTGGCTAATTGCAATTTAATGTTTAACTTATAAACAACTTTTTAAAAAAAATTTACATTTGCAATGTAACAAAAGTGGCAAATAAGTTCAACATTTAGTTAATTTAAAGTGTACTAATCTAGTCTAGTTACACTTTTGTTTTCAATTTTAAATTATGCCTTATATTCTTTTTAAAGATTGGCGTGGTCAAAATGTTAGTCTTCAACTGTAAAATGCCTAGATTCAGATTAATTGTAATTTGTAAGTTTTGGGTTCAGGTGATGGAAAATGAAATTGACCAGATTAGCTGAAATTAGAAAGGGTCTGATATGTGAACCAAAGTTAACCATTTGGATAGCCAAACCACATGGTTATTTTTGTTTTTGGAATGGCTGTAAATTGTTTGAGGTCATCCATAAATGACGTCACGTTTTTTTTTTTACGATTTTTACCTCCCCTCTCCTCTCCATCACAAAAGACAGACCCCCCCTCCTAAAATGACGTCACACCTCAGCCAACAACCGCTCCCCCCCCCCCCTCCTCAAAATTGAATTTGAATTTTTTTTTTTTTAAACATCGATTTTTTTTCTAAAATATTGACTGAGCTCAACCAACATAGGGTATTTTAATTAATTTATATTACAATTTTAAAAAGTTTTCTAAAACGCGTAATAGCGGCTAAAATTCAGTTTCTAACATAACTTTTTTAATATAAAAAATATGACGTCACACTATCTGACCCCCTCCCCCTCATTAGCCTACACGTTACAAAATTACGGACCCCCCCCCCCCCCCCCCGAGTGTGACGTTATTTATGGAAGACCCCTTATTAAAAACAGTCCATATCGTATTTTTTTCTTCTGAGTCACGTTGAGTTCAGTTTTTTTTAAAATCTGTAGGCCTATAGCATAGGTATTACAGGAACAGCTATTTGAAATTACTGTGACGTCATTTTAATTTTTTCCCCACAAGCAGTACCAAACACGTACTTGGGGGTCAAGGTGAGGTCACAAGAGCCACGGTTGCTACAGGGGAGGGGGTGGCCGGAAAGAACCGCAACGGAAAAAAGCGCAACGGAAAAAAGCGCAAATCAAAAAGCGCAACGGAAATAAGCGCACACGGAAAAAAGCGCAAAGAGAAAAAAGCGCACACAGAAAAAAGCGCAAAGAGAAAAAAGCGCAAACGGAAAAAAGCGCAAAGAGAAAAAAGCGCACACGGAAAAAAGCGCAAAGAGAAAAAAGCGCAAACAGAAAAAAGCGCAAAGAGAAAAAAGCGCACACAGAAAAAAGCGCAAACAGAAAAAAGCGCAAACGGAAAAAAAGCGCAAACAGAAAAAAGCGCAAACGGAAAAAAGCGCAAACAGAAAAAAGCGCACACGGAAAAAAGCGCAAACGGAAAAAAGCGCAAACGGAAAAAAGCGCAAACAGAAAAAAGCGCACACAGAAAAAAGCGCAAACAGAAAAAAGCGCAAACGGAAAAAAGCGCAAAGAGAAAAAAGCGCACACGGAAAAAAGCGCAAAGAGAAAAAAGCGCAAACAGAAAAAAGCGCAAAGAGAAAAAAGCGCACACAGAAAAAAGCGCAAACAGAAAAAAGCGCAAACGGAAAAAAGCGCAAACAGAAAAAAGCGCAAACGGAAAAAACACAACGAAAAATGTGCAAAAGAGAAATTTAGCACAAAGACCGTATGGACTAGATGACACATTTATACATGACTGTTAGGGCTGCTGTGAGAGTGTCGTGTTTGATCACGTGATCTACTACCATTTAAAGCGTACCACTACCATCTGCATTCCCATCACCACGATACAGGCGATAATCACTTTACACAATGCCTATTATTTTCTTGGTCAATAATTATTCAACTACTATTCTCGTATAAACATAAAACTATCGACATTACACGAAGTATCTTTCACATTCTCCCTAGTCCGAACTACCTAGCTTGCATACTGTAACAACCCGTTCCTATGGCAAAACTTCACTCCCTTTCATCCGCGTCATCAAACATGCATTCGTCATATCTCTCGTAACAACATTCATTCGCACCAAAATAACAATTTTGTATTTAATATTTTTTCACATCATGACGCACCTACCTACCTACTACCCACCTACCCACCTACCTACCTACCTACCTAACTACCCACCTACCCACTTACCCACCTACCCACCTACCGCCTACATACTTACCAAACTACCCACCAAAAAAGTATCGGCGAAGTTCGTAAGCTTCGTAAACTGTACTAAACATCTTTTTTTAAATGAAAATTCATTGACATCATTGACATATGTTACATATATGTTACATTTTGCGACAACCTTAAATAGTGCGTTGGGCTTGTATGAAAACTCACTTCGAACTAACTCAATTACATGCTATTTATTTTAACATTAAACGGTAAGCGTCACCCAACTGTTGTGATGTGAGGCGAGGACAGGTTCGACAATAAACCAACACGAAAGTACGAAAGAGACAAAGATTGCCTATTAGAGAATGGACCCCTTAACTTTCCTAACCCCACCATTTATTATACCCTACCTAACCTCTAAATTTACTGCGCTAAATGTCACTTCCCTCCCAATCGTTCCTATTCTACAGAATTGTGTATACTATTTATTTACATTCTTTAATCTCAATATAACTAAAATAGACTTTTGTTTGAAGGGTAATGAAAACATGTAAACAAAAGGGACGCTACTCTAAATCTATGCGAATACTTATATGCAGTGTGGGTGGGTGGATGGATGTGTCGGTGGATGGATGTGTCGGTGGGTGGATGGATGTGTGGGTGGGTGGGTGGATGGATGTGTCGGTGGGTGGATGGATGTGTGGGTGGGTGGATGGATGGGTGTGTGGGTGGGTGGGTGGATGGGTGTGTGGGTGGGTGGGTGGATGGATGTGTCGGTGGGTGGATGGATGTGTGGGTGGGTGGGTGGGTGGATGGATGTGTCGGTGGGTGGATGGATGTTTGGGTGGATGGATGGGTGTGTGGGTGGGTGGATGGATGTGTGGGTGAGTGGTACGCTTTAAATGGTAGTAGATCACGTGATCAAACACGACACTCTCACAGCAGCCCTAACAGTCATGTATAAATGTGTCATCTAGTCCATATGGTCTTTGTGCTAAATTTCTCTTTTGCACATTTTTCGTTGTTTTTTTCTGGTTGCGCATTTTTCTGTTTCTGTTTGCGCTTTTTTTCCGTTTGCGCTTTTTTCTGTGTGCGCTTTTTTCTGTTTGCGCTTTTTTCCGTTTGCGCTTTTCTCTGTTTGCGCTTTTTTCTGTGTGCGCTTTTTTCTGTTTGCGCTTTTTTCCGTTTGCGCTTTTTTCTGTTTGCGCTTTTTTCCGTTTGCGCTTTTTTCCGTTTGCGCTTTTTTCCGTGTGCGCTTTTTTCTGTTTGCGCTTTTTTCCGTTTGCGCTTTTTTCTGTTTGCGCTTTTTTCCGTTTGCGCTTTTTTCTGTTTGCGCTTTTTTCTGTGTGCGCTTTTTTCTCTTTGCGCTTTTTTCTGTTTGCGCTTTTTTCTCTTTGCGCTTTTTTCCGTGTGCGCTTTTTTCTCTTTGCGCTTTTTTCCGTTTGCGCTTTTTTCTGTTTGCGCTTTTTTCTGTGTGCGCTTTTTTCTCTTTGCGCTTTTTTCCGTTTGCGCTTTTTTCTCTTTGCGCTTTTTTCTGTGTGCGCTTTTTTCTCTTTGCGCTTTTTTCCGTGTGCGCTTATTTCCGTTGCGCTTTTTGATTTGCGCTTTTTTCCGTTGCGCTTTTTTCCGTTGCGGTTCTTTCTGGGAACCAGGGGAGGGGGGGGGGGTTAGTCTAGTCTTCATAGTCACCTTTTGCTAGGATTTTAATATTAATTTTAGATAGCTAAATAAAATAAAATCAGAGAGAGACTGTAGATTTGGGTGGGTTAAAATACAGAAAGGTAAATTAGGCTATATTGATAGCTAGAATACCAGGCTTGTGAGATGCGAGTTTCATTTGAAGAAAGGCATTATTTTAGATTACTTTTCCCGCGTTTTTGATAAATATTCAACTGATTTCAGCGGAAAATTTGGACCAAAAATTTGCGTTCTGAAAAATACTGAAATTCTGAATCTTGACCTAGATCAATTTTTTATACTAAATTTAGCACCGTCAGACCTAGCGCAATCGTCTAATTAAAAAGAAATGTGCATATTTGACCTAAGTACTGTAATTCTCGATTAATATACGAATATATGGAATGCGCAAGTCGGCCGTTTCCGTAGATAACATTTTCGTTTTTTTTTCCCTAATTTTTTAAAACTTCGGAAAAAATCGAAGATCGGCGGAAAAATTCGGCAAAAATTAAATCAGCGGAGGAAAATTGCAGCTGAAACGGAAAAATCGGATTTCCGCTAAAATTCGGAAAAGTCACATCCCTGAAGTACATAGACAAGTGTATGTTGACTGGACAAGTACATAGACAAGTGTATGTTGACTGGACAAGTACATAGACAAGTGTATGTTGACTGGACAAGTACATAGACAAGTGTATGTTGACTGGACAAGTACATAGACAAGTGTATGTTGACTGGAGTGTAGAGATAAACTTCCAAATTTTGTTGTTCTTGGCCAGAAAAAACTTTTTTTTTGCCTGGTTATAGAAGAATGCATGTTATAGCCTGTCTTGTATGACTAATAAGATGACATCAGTAACCCTCCCCCACATTAAAAATAAATCAATTCTAGCAATGTTTTTATACTATAAATGCTTTAATTTTAATCTAATAAAAACATGGCAAAAGCTTGGAATGTAAAATGTATTTAAAATTAACAAAACAATTTGAACCTTTATTTAAATATGTACATACATATAAATAATTAAAACAAGATCACAGACCAGCCAAGATCATGCTTGATCACAGACCAGACAAGATCATGCTTGATCACAGACCAGACAAGATCATGCTTGATCACAGACCAGCCAAGATCATGCTTGATCACAGACCAGCCAAGATCATGCTTGATCACAGACCAGCCAAAGTTGGTAGTCAAAATGATAAATGCAAATTAGCTGGATAAAATGACTCATGACAAAAAGCTCTCAACAAAATGACCAGTGACCTGATAAACTGACATAAGCCAAGGGCTCTCTGCATATTGGCTTCACACGAACAGCTCGAAATCTTTAAACCAATTTTGATAGACTTCACCAATCTATTTAACAACCACACACTTTTACGGAAGTTTAACTGTAAGCTACACACTGTGTTTACAGGATGTACATTGTGTACTGGTCACGACAAGAATAATAATCAAAACGGACGTCTACCCCAACTCTTCCAACATGTGTACAGCCTGCTGCTGGCTTGTTTCACTGGACATTATAACTGGATGATACTTACATTTAAAACTATTTGATATACAAGATTGAATATTGTAATAATAAGGCCTGCCAACCAAAAGTGACATACATTATTTGAGGCTGTTGACTAAGCTATCTGTGAAGTGCATTGATGAAATAGTACTACTGGAAGGGGCCTTATTGAATCGGCCAGTTTGGCAGGAAACTTAGGGAGCAGTAGAGACAGGGGCCCTTTTGTCTGGAGTTCTAATGACTGGATCCTTTGAGGTGGGGACATATTTGTTGAAAGCTGTGATGACAGGAGTTGTTTAGGCAGGAGTCATAATGATGAGAGCAGCTTTGTTAGGAGTCTAATTGTCACTGTTCCTTTTGTCATGGGCCATTTTAATGCCACATAGCCACAATGAGATCATGTTTGATCAGCTACAGACATACCACCATGAGAGGGACCAGTCTCAAGGGAAGTGAGCCTAGTGTAGGGAGTCAACCTTGGGAACATACACGTATGTTTATTATATTGCTTGAGGAGAAGGCCAATGTACAAGGCACAGTTAATCAACAAGAGCGCAGCTAAAACAGTGCAGCTGACAACAACGACAACAACAAACTTGTAGGAGGGCGGGCTGGTAGTCTTTGTGTTTTTAACAATCCAAATGCTGTCTAGTATAGTGTGGTTGTCAATAGACCGTTGTTCCCAGTATAAATGGCTCAAGTTTTTCACAAGCAGACGACCATAGCTGTTGAGGGCAGCTTCATCTAGACGAAATGCTGACCATTCAGCTAAAAATATATAAAAAATTTCAGTACTTTGATTTTTTTGTACTCTCTTCACAACACAATCTATAAAAGCAAAAGTAAAGAAATGACTGACGTTTCAAAGTTGGAAAATGGTCTGTCCTCTCTATGCTGCCGGCGGCCCCTGTTATGATTTGAACTGGCAGAGGGGGGTTGATGTAGGACTTTGGCCCAACCTTCCACTTGTAAACTGGCCACAGCCGCTCATAGTTGTGTTCATGAGCTTGAATTATTAGGTCCACTTGAAACTCAACAAATATATCTTCTAGGCTGATGGAACCAATGGGGAAGAAAGAAATTTATCAACAAATATATCTTCTAGACTGATGGAACCGATGGGGAAGAAAGAAATGTATCAACAAATATATCTTCTAGGCTGATGGAACCAATGGGGAAGAAAGAAATTTATCAACAAATATATCTTCTAGGCTGATGAAAGGAAAAAGCATGAAGAGATAAATTCAGTGATGTGACCAGAGAACACACAAAAAGGACATTTTTTTTCTGACTTCTCAGTACACTTATTGCTTTTTCCTTTATCAAATTTGTTAAAAATGTATAATTTAACAAAGATAAAAAGTTCAACACCAAACAATGTTATTATCTATTTTTGTTTTCAAGTTATGGGTGACATCTTTTGAAAGACAGAGATGTGGTATCTGTATTTTAGAAATGTAAATCTCCAACAGTAAAGAGCCTTGTTTTAAATGTAACTATTTAGTTATAGGGATAATCAGATGTACCAAAATAGCTGACTTGAATAAGGCCTACTATTTATTATAGAAAAAAGTGTTTTTGGAAATATTGCTTTAAGAAAATCACGTGAGCCCTTATTGGATTTGATTCTCCCCCTTCACCCCAAACCTTTGTACAGCCAAAGGCTACACAAGTACTGGCCATACAAGAACAGGCCACGCAAGTACAGGCCACACAAGTATAGGCCACACAAGTACTGGCCACACAAGTACTGGCCACACAAGTACAGGCCACACAAGTACAGGCCACGCAAGTACAGGCCACACAAGTATAGGCCACACAAGTACAGGCCACACAAGTACAGGCCACACAAGTACAGGCCACACAAGTACAGTCAAAGGCCACACAAGTACAGTCAAAGGCCACACAAGTATAGGCCACACAAGTACAGGCCACACAAGTATAGGCCACACAAGTACAGGCCACACAAGTACAGGCCACACAAGTACAGGCCACACAAGTACAGGCCACACAAGTACAGGCCACGCAAGTACAGGCCACGCAAGTACAGGCCACACAAGTACAGGCCACACAAGTACAGGCCACACAAGTACAGGCCACACAAGTACAGGCCACACAAGTACAGGCCACACAAGTACAGGCCACACAAGTACAGGCCACACAAGTATAGGCCACACAAGTAGAGGCCACACAAGTACAGGCCACACAAGTATAGGCCACACAAGTACAGGCCACACAAGTACAGGCCACACAAGTACAGTCAAAGGCCACATAAGTACAGGCCACACAAGTACAGGCCACACAAGTACAGGCCACACAAGTACAGGCCACACAAGTACAGGCCACACAAGTACAGGCCACACAAGTACAGGCCACACAAGTACAGGCCACACAAGTACAGGCCACACAAGTACTGGACTTGCAAGTACAGGCCACACAAGTACAGGCCACACAAGTACAGGCCACACAAGTACAGGCCACACATGTACAGGCCATACAAGTACAGGCCACACAAGTACAGGCCACACAAGTACAGGCCACACAAGTACAGGCCACACAAGTACAGGCCACACAAGTACAGGCCACACAAGTACAGGCCACACAAGTACAGGCCACACAAGTACAGGCCACACAAGTACAGGCCACACAAGTACAGGCCACACAAGTACAGGCCACACAAGTACAGGCCACACAAGTACAGTCAAAGGCTACACAAGTACAGGCCACGCAAGTAATGGCCACACAAGTACAGGCCACGCAAGTACAGGCCACGCAAGTAATGGCTACACAAGTACAGTCAAAGGCTACACAAGTACAGGCCACGCAAGTAATGGCCACACTAGTACAGGCCACGCAAGTAATGGCCACACAAGTACAGGCCACACAAGTATAGGCCACACAAGTACAGGCCATGCAAGTACAGGCCATGCAAGTACAGGCCACACAAGTACAGGCCACACAAGTACAGGCCACACAAGTACAGGCCACACAAGTACAGGCCACACAAGTACAGGCCACGCAAGTACAGGCCACACAAGTATAGGCCACACAAGTACAGGCCACACAAGTATAGGCCACACAAGTACAGGCCACGCAAGTACAGGCCACGCAAGTACAGGCCATGCAAGTACAGGCCACACAAGTACAGGCCACACAAGTACAGGCCACACAAGTACAGGCCACGCAAGTACAGGCCATGCAAGTACAGGCCACACAAGTACAGGCCACACAAGTACAGTCAAAGGCAACACAATTAGTCTACCATCCACCATATGGAGTCTACCATCCACCATATGGAGTCTACCATCCACCATATGGAGTCTACCATCCACCATATGGAGTCTACCATCCACCATATGGAGTCTACCATCCACCATATGGAGTCTACCATCCACCATATGGAGTCTACCATCCACCATATGGAGTCTACCATCCACCATATGTAGTCTATCATCCACCATATGGAGTCTACCATCCACTATATGGAGTCTACCATCCACCATATGGAGTCTACCATCCACCATATGGAGTCTACCATCCACTATATGGAGTCTACCATCCACCATATGGAGTCTACTATCCACCATAAAGAGTCTACCATCCACCATATGTAGTCTACCATCCACCATATGGAGTCTACCATCCACCATATGGAGTCTACCATCCACCATATGGAGTCTACTATCCACCATATGGAGTACTATGTACTATATGGGCAGACCTTCATCAAAGCTAAAACCTGCTTATTATTATGAAAGAAATGTGAAGAAGATTCCTCTTACCCTGCTCTAACTCTGGAAAACCTCAAAGAACAATCATCTCCAATTTTGGTGCTGCAGTACATAGGCCTGTGGCCATACGCCACAACCCAGGGTGTCTTTTCACGACTGACATTCCCCAAATCACTGACTAGCCACTGACGTTGGACATCCACGTACTGGCCAAAGTGAGTAAAAAATACTTCGGACGAATAGCTAAAATACAACAGAGAATAGATTGTTAGCAACCAGCAAACACAAAGTGCTAGACCAACCACCCACCTGACAAGGTCAACTAGACCAACTACCTGACAAGATCAACTAGACCAACCACCCACCTGACAAGGTCAACTAGACCAACCACCCACATGTCAAGGTCAACTAGACCACCCACCTGACAAGGTCAACTAGACCAACCACCCACATGTCAAGGTCAACTAGACTACCCACCCACCTGAAAAGGTCAACTAGACTACCCACCCACCTGACAAGGTCAACTAGACCAACCACCTGACAAGGTCAACTAGACCAACCACCCACCTGAGAAGGTCAACTAGACTACCCACCCACCTGACAAGGTCAACTAGACCAACCACCTGACAAGGTCAACTAGACCAACCACCCACATGTCAAGGTCAACTAGACCAACCACCCACCTGACAAGGTCAACTAGACCAACCACCTGACAAGGTCAACTAGACCAACCACCCACCTGACAAGGTCAACTAGACCAACTACCCACCTGACAAGGTCAACTAGACCAACCACCCACATGTCAAGGTCAACTAGACCAACCACCTGACAAGGTCAACTAGACCAACCACCCACCTGACAAGGTCAACTAGACCAACCACCCACATGTCAAGGTCAACTAGACCAACCACCTGACAAGGTCAACTAGACCAACCACCCGACAAGGTCAACTAGACCACCCACCTGACAAGGTCAAGTAGACCAACTACCTGACAAGGTCAAGTAGACCAACCACCCACCTGACAAGGTCAACTAGACCAACCACCTGACAAGGTCAACTAGACCAACCACCCACCTGAGAAGGTCAACTAGACTACCCACCCACCTGACAAGGTCAACTAGACCAACCACCTGACAAGGTCAACTAGACCAACCACCCACATGTCAAGGTCAACTAGACCAACCACCCACCTGACAAGGTCAACTAGACCAACCACCCACCTGACAAGGTCAACTAGACCAACCACCTGACAAGGTCAACTAGACCAACCACCCACCTGAGAAGGTCAACTAGACCAACCACCCACCTGACAAGGTTAACTAGACCAACCACCTGACAAGGTCAACTAGACCACCCACCCACCTGACAAGGTCAACTAGACCAACCACCCACCTGAGAAGGTCAACTAGACCAACCACCTGACAAGGTCAACTAGACCAACCACCCACCTGAGAAGGTCAACTAGACCAACCACCCACCTGACAAGGTCAACTAGACCAACCACCTGACAAGGTCAACTAGACCACCCACCCACCTGACAAGGTCAACTAGACTACCCACCCACCTGACAAGGTCAACTAGACCAACCACCTGACAAGGTCAACTAGACCAACCACCCACATGTCAAGGTCAACTAGACCACCCACCTGACAAGGTCAACTAGACCAACCACCTGACAAGGTCAACTAGACCAACCACCCACCTGACAAGGTCAACTAGACCAACTACCCACCTGACAAGGTCAACTAGACCAACCACCCACATGTCAAGGTCAACTAGACCAACCACCTGACAAGGTCAACTAGACCAACCACCCACCTGACAAGGTCAACTAGACCAACCACCCACATGTCAAGGTCAACTAGACCAACCACCTGACAAGGTCAACTAGACCAACCACCCGACAAGGTCAACTAGACCACCCACCTGACAAGGTCAAGTAGACCAACTACCTGACAAGGTCAAGTAGACCAACCACCCACCTGACAAGGTCAACTAGACCAACCACCTGACAAGGTCAACTAGACCAACCACCCACCTGAGAAGGTCAACTAGACTACCCACCCACCTGACAAGGTCAACTAGACCAACCACCTGACAAGGTCAACTAGACCAACCACCCACATGTCAAGGTCAACTAGACCAACCACCCACCTGACAAGGTCAACTAGACCAACCACCCACCTGACAAGGTCAACTAGACCAACCACCCACCTGACAAGGTCAACTAGACCAACCACCCACATGTCAAGGTCAACTAGACCAACTAACCACATGTCAAGGTCAACTAGACCACCCACATTTCAAGGTCAACTAGACCAACCACCTGACAAGGTCAACTAGACCAACTACCCACCTGACAAGGTCAACTAGACCAACCACCCGACAAGGTCAACTAGACCAACCACCTGACAAGGTCAACTAGACCAACCACCCACCTGACAAGGTCAATTAGACCAACCACCTGACAAGGTCAACTAGACCAACCACCCGACAAGGTCAACTAGACCACCCACCTGACAAGGTCAAGTAGACCAACTACCTGACAAGGTCAAGTAGACCAACCACCCACCTGACAAGGTCAAGTAGACCAACCACCCACCTGACAAGGTCAACTAGACCAACTACCCACCTGACAAGGTCAAGTAGACCAACCACCCACCTGACAAGGTCAAGTAGACCAACCACCCACCTGACAAAGTGAACAGGACCAATATCCATACTGTACCACATTCCATCCAAAGGAATTGGCCAATTAGATCCTGGCATGGCAAAACGATTTCTGTAGTGTGCAAATGTACCCTGGTTAATCTCTGTGTGAGCAAGTAAGACATCACATATCAGATAACTTTACTGAAACTTCTGTCAGATCAGCTAGACTTTAGTGAAACTTCTTTTTTACATTTTATGCCATCTATAACAAAAATTTGTGCAAAAGTTTATTGTATCAGTATATTGTCCAACAACTCATAACATCAGTATATTTTCCAACAATTTATAACATGTTTGTTATCCTATCCTACTATATAAAAGCCCATGTGTGCACTTCACTCTCTCTGTCTCTCTCTCTCTATGTCTGCAATATTTTTGGCAACATGATCAGTATGTTCAGCAATATATGGAGAACTTAAAGATACGGACTTTTGTTGAAAATAATATGGTGGATGTTATAAATGTATAAACTAAATTTTATTTAAAGAAGGAAAATAAAAATAAAGGCACATTCAAACAAGAATGCAATGAACAATGATGTCACCTGCCACATGTTTAAACTAAGGAAAGAACACAAAACTAATTTCATTTAAATTTGATTTAGATCTACTTATCAAGACTTGTGCTATGAAATGTGTACAATTTTCTCGGCCTAAACTTATAAAATTTACTTTATCTATTTAGATTCTAGATCTAGAGCTATGGAAAAACTATTCTAGATCTAGACTTTATCTAAATCTAGAATCTATGCCAATAATGAGTTTCTATACTAAACTATTTCAGGCCTTAATTATTTTATATAAATCTATGTTTGTTTAGCTATGGAATTGGCTAATTTGGGATAAAATTTGATTTGAAATAATGGGGCCTCTTCACGTAGTCAAGTTTCTTACGCTGACTCTAAATCCAAGTAAAGTACCCCACTTATTCTGCACCTATACTGAAGTGCCTAAATAGCTGAGATGATAGTGTAATAGTTACCATGCTGGTGGTTTGGGGTCAAGACACACCGCGTCAATTTTGAATTTTTATTTTTCAATTTTTCTTTTAAAGATGTGAATGATAAAGTTGCCTATCGGGACTTGGCGGGACATGGGGCAGGTGAAGTAGTGTTTACCTGTTTCTGTCTTATCAGCATATGAAGGGATAGTGGGGTCAGACCCATGCTCAGCCAAAAACAACATAACTACCATTGAACAGCCGGGTTTTTAACTAAATCATCTCAGTTTCTTAATTCTAAGTCTCTTAATCAGGGTGTGCATTTAATATTGTGTTGTGCTGACTAATAATGTATATAATTTGGTTTTAATTTTTCTAATAGGTATTGGTAGTCTATGTTATTTTAAATGTGTCGGATTTTTTAGCTATTTAGTTATTTCTTTGCTTTGTCACCAATATCGTTCAACGTGTAGTAAATTACATAGTGTTTTGACCAATAACTTTTTATAAAATATTTTTCTCAAACAAGTATAACATTAAAATATATAGGCCTATAATTCATGTGTAACGGGTACCGACGGCTAGTTTTACTCTATGGAGCTGAGACATGGAGAATAACTGTCACAAGAAAGAAAAAGTACTATCATTTATAAACTCATGACTCAGAAAGATCCTAACATCAGATACGCCTAACATCATCAGAACTGAAGTACTACGGCAACAGACAAACCAACTCCCAGCTGAAGATGAGATCCTCCAGAGAAAATGGAGATGGATTAGCCACACACTCAGGCAGCCTGTATCCAGCATAACAAGACAGGCCCTCACCTGGAATCCACAGGGCAAAAGAAAATAGGCCAACCAATGAAGATCTGGAGACGTGACCTGAAGAAGATGGGATACACCTGGGGACAGTTGGAGACTAGCCCAGGACAGATGCCTGGAAAACAACAAAAGCTTAACCTGAAGCTTCAGGGAAAATGAACCAATATTATCACTTTCCATGATAGTCTCGGGGCATTTTTATCAAAGCTGCAAAATTGGCAAAGAAAATAAATCTTGGAAATATTGAAAATTTGAAAAAAAATCTGCAGTGTGGTAGATGAATTTAATTGTGAGATAATTAAAATTTAGCAAGAAGCGATTTCTGGGCATCTTGAATCTTTTGGAAATGAACTGCGGCGCTATTTCTCTGAGCTGACGCATTACACATTCTCTTCTTCCCTTGATGTTGCCAGCATTCTCGACAAATTACAAGAAGAATTCTTTGATTTGCAGAATGATTTCGCGTCAGATGAAAAGCTGCACACACAATTTTGGTGTAGTATTCACCATTCATACCCAAACGTAAAATTGATTGCCTTTCGAGAATAGATTTTCAACACTATTCTCCAATTTAAAAAAATTGAAATAAATTGAATATTGATAATGACATAGGTTGGCATTAACAAAAACGTAACAGAGAATGTTTAGTAAATAGCGTGCAATTTTACTCATCGTATTAAAACAGTTATCAAGATAAGTTCATATTGAAAGTCTACTAGAGAATTTTATTTTAGTGCTTATTAATTTCCATACTAATTTCGGCTTTTTAATTCTATGGGGGTCGCGGGTCACTTACTTTTTATAAAAGGGGGTCGCCACTTGAAAAAGTTTGGGAATTACTGTCCTAGAATATGTATGTAAGTTATCTACCATGATTTCCTGGACACGTCATGTACGGGATGTAAGCAGCCACAGGTTCTATCAGCTCCATGAAGTAGTCACCAAGCTAGGGAATCAAAGGGCACTGCTACAGCACCAGATTATAGGAATATATGCATCGGGGTCTAGTGCATGTCCTGGTCCTATTAAAGTCTGTAGTTCATGTCCTGGTCCTATTAAAGTCTGTAGTGCATGTCCTGGTCCTATTAAAGTCTGTAGTGCATGTCCTGGTCCTATTAAAGTCTGTAGTTCATGTCCTGGTCCTATTAAAGTCTGTAGTGCATGTCCTGGTCCTATTAAAGTCTGTAGTGCATGTCCTGGTCCTATTAAAGTCTGTAGTGCATGTCCTGGTCCTATTAAAGTCTGTAGTGCATGTCCTGGTCCTATTAAAGTCTGTAGTGCATGTCCTGGTCCTATTAAAGTCTGTAGTGCATGTCCTGGTCCTATTAAAGTCTGTAGTGCATGTCCTGGTCCTATTAAAGTCTCTAGTGCATGTCCTGGTCCTATTAAAGTGTGTAGTGCATGTCCTGGTCCTATTAAAGTCTGTATTGCATGTCCTGGTCCTATTAAAGTCTGTAGTGCATGTCCTGGTCCTATCAAAGTGTCTAGTGCATTTAAAATAACATCCATAATGAATTAAAAAAGGTATTCACCAAACCATTCTGAGCATGCAAGTCGTAAGCAAAGTCCCCCACATGAAAGAGAGCTGTGTAGTTGCCAGAAAAAGCTTCGTTGATCAGGGATGGGGTGGTGTTGGAGTGGATGCCTAAATCTCCAAACATCAAAAAGTCAGGAGACCATTTCTGAAAGTTTTTATAAAAACATCGGAGGTCATGTCAGAGAAATATTGGACTGTATCAAGATTTCAAACAAAAACGTCAGAGGTCATGTCAGGGAAATATTGGACTGTATCAAGATTTCAAACAAAAAGGACAGAGGCCATGTCAGAGAAATATTGGACTGTATCAAGATTTCAAACAAAAACGTCAGAGGTCATGTCAGGGAAATATTGGACTGTATCAAGATTTCAAACAAAAACATCAGAGGTCATGTCAGAGAAATATTGGACTGTATCAAGATTTCAAACAAAAAGGACAGAGGCCATGTCAGAGAAATATTGGACTGTATCAAGATTTCAAACAAAAACGTCAGAGGTCATGTCAGGGAAATATTGGACTGTATCAAGATTTCAAACAAAAACATCAGAGGTCATGTCAGGGAAATATTGGACTGTATCAAGATTTCAAACAAAAACATCAGAGGTCATGTCAGAGAAATATTGGAATGTATCTAGGATTTCCTACATTGCCTGCAGGTGGTGTCTGGAAGTAAAAGATTCTTGAATAGCTCTCATTGCTCACAGCCATGTAGTAGTACATTGTTTCTGGTAACAGATGCTGAAAAAAATTGGGGAAAAAAACACATTTTCAGCAACATGGTTTGAGAACAAATACATGTTAAAAATAAAATCCTACCATTAGGTGCGTGCAAAGGAAATTCTTTTCCACTAAACTTGTCACATAAAAACAACAAAGTTATGAGACAAGTCCTTTTATACAACGTTCACAACCATTACAGACTTTCTTCCAGGCATCTCTTCAGGGGGGTGAAGTGGTGGTGGAGGGGTGTCTGTGTTGTGCCCCCAAAAGAAAGACTAACACTCCCCCTCCCCCCCCCCCCCCCCGGCAAAAAAAAAGGAAGAAACACTGGCCATGTGGTAGTGCATTGTTTTTGGTACCAGATTCTACAGGATTGTTTTCTCAATTTATTTTTTTCACTCTGAAAAATGGAAGTGCTTATACAGATACAGGAATACAAAATCACCAACATGATTATTTTGGTGAATGATGATCAATATTTTTAAATTTTTAAACAAAAGTTTGGCTAGTTTCAGAAAGTGCTACTTGAAATGTTGGCAGACTTTTGGACAAAACAAAATGGCTACCTGCAGCTTGGCTCTATACAAATGTTGTTGACCAAAATAGTTCTGCTCCAGAAAATTGTTGTAGCTTGCTGGCACTTCACTATGTAGTTGCCATGCAGTTGGGCCAAATTTAACCTTTGACAAAATTCAGTTTTAACAGGTATTATTTTTAGATCATTTTAACAAAGTATACACTAATGTTTTAATTAAGACCAGGAAAAATAATTGGAAGACAATGACATAGGATATAGGCTCAATTAACTGCAGCAACAACTACATGAGAGCCACACAACCAACTGTGGGTCACACAACCACCTGTGGGAAACACAACCACCTGTGGGCCACACAACCAACTGTGGGTCACACAACCACCTGTGGGAAACACAACCACCTGTGGGCCACACAACCACCTGTCGGCCACACAACCAACTGTGGGTCACACAACCACCTGTGGGAAACACAACCACCTGTGGGCCACACAACCACCTGTCGGCCACACAACCAACTGTGGGCCACACAACCACCTGTGGGCCACACAAACACCTGTGGGCCACACAAACACCTGTGGGCCACACAACCAACTGTGGGCTACACAACCACCTGTGGGCCACACAACCACCTGTGGGCCACACAACCACCTATGGGAAACACAACCACCTGTGGGAAACACAACCACCTGTGGGCCACACAACCACCTGTAGGCCACACAACCAGGGCCACACAACCACCTGTGGGAAACACAACCACCTGTGGGCCACACAACCACCTGTGGGAAACACAACCACCTGTGGAAAACACAACCACCTGTGGGAAACACAACCACCTGTGGGCCACACAACCACCTGTGGGCCACACAACCACCTGTGGGAAACACAACCACCTGTGGGCCACACAACCATCTGTGGGCCACACAACCACCTGTGGGCCACACAACCACCTGTGGGAAACACAACCACCTGTGGGCCACACAACCACCTGTGGGCCACACAACCACCTGTGGGAAATACAACCACCTGTGGGCCACACAACCAGGGCCACACAACCACCTGTGGGAAACACAACCACCTGTGGGCCACACAACCATCTGTGTGCTACACAACCACATCTAATAAAAGCAAGTTGTCAAAGCATGAGATCATATACATTTAGACTGGTTTTTTTAAATGTATTGTTGGCTATAAACATTTTAGGAAACTGAACAATTTAAGAAATAAAACAAGTAAAAATAAAACAAACATGCTTTCTTTAGTCAAAAGCCTTAGTCTATACTGAAATCTCTACTTTCTTTTACACTGTAGCAACCAATGCTTCTTTTAAAGAAAACAAGTTGTTCTTTAATCCTCTGAGCTTTTGAAAGACCATAAATATAAAAGTATTACACATTTGTTTCATTTTATAGTTTATGAATTTAAAAACTGAAACTGTTAATTATGAATTAAGGTTTTAAAAGGTTTTTAAGGTTTAAAAAAAAACAGGCCTAATTTATTTTTAATTAATTTGTTTAATGAGGCTGACACCACACATGACTTAAAATATTTGCCTAAAAAGCTGATGGTATCTTAACTCAGACAATCATCTGCCCTTTATGTATGGCTGTGGTAGGCTCTCTGACCTGATCCAGCAGCATCTAGTACTTAATCCTGTTTTCTCCTTTTTTATCACTGAACATAATAACCTTAACATTTGATTTAAAAATATGTAATTAAACTTTAAAAAATTGATATTCTTGTGTTGTCATTGAAGTCACAAATACATGTAAAGTTTGAACCACAAACTAACAGACAGACAAGACACTATGACCCAAATCAAAGCTTATAAAAAACGAGCCGACCCGCGGCGTATCATACGCTGCTATATAGTTGTTTTATTTTCTACTTTTCAGTAATTCATAATTTGTGAATTCGACAGTAACAATGCTGCCACTGAATATATATGCTTTAAAACACTGTCTGTCAGTAGCTCGTTAAGGAGAGGGGACTGTTAGGCGCGCTTGCAGCTTGTTTTCTAACGTCTCCCAGAAGAGAATTATATATATAGATAATATTTTGTTGCCACATTGTTGGATTAAATAAAAATGTAATCCAACAAGCTTCACATATGTCATGCTGACATTTAAGTGTCTTAGAAGTTAATTGACCTCAGTCATTTAAGGAATCAACTCTAATTTACCTGGCTAATACACTTTTCAGCTGTTGCCCACACAATGTTGAAGTCATGAATGCTGTTGCCAAAAGATAAATGGACTTGGTGGGGCTTGCATGGAGCAGCTGGTTGTTCAGCTGTTGAAAAAGGTAATTTTATGTCTAGTTTTGTGTTAGAAGATTCACACATACACCTAGCTATGTTAGAATATTCACACATACACCCAGCTATGTTAGAATATTCACACATACACCTAGCTATGTTAGAATATTCACACATACACCTAGCTATGTTAGAATATTCACACATACACCTAGCTATGTTAGAATATTCACTCATACACCTAGCTATGTTAGAAGATTCACACATACACCTATCTATGTTAGAATATTCACACACACACACCTAGCTATGTTAGAATATTCACACATACACCTAGCTATGTTAGAATATTCACACATACACCTAGCTATGTTAGAATATTCACACATACACCTAGCTATGTTAGAATATTCACACATACACCTAGCTATGTTAGAAGATTCACACATACACCTAGCTATGTTAGAAGATTCACACATACACCTAGCTATGTTAGAATATTCACACCTACACCTAGCTATGTTAGAATATTCACACATACACCTAGCTATGTTAGAATATTCACACATACACCTAGCTATGTTAGAATATTCACTCATACACCTAGCTATGTTAGAATATTCACACATACACCTAGCTATGTTAGAATATTCACACATACACCTAGCTATGTTAGAATATTCACACACACACACCTAGCTATGTTAGAATATTCACACATACACCTAGCTATGTTAGAATATTCACACATACACCTAGCTATGTTAGAATATTCACTCATACACCTAGCTGTGTTAGAATATTCACACATACACCTAGCTATGTTAGAATATTCACACATACACCTAGCTATGTTAGAATATTCACACATACACCTAGCTATGTTAGAATATTCACACATACACACAACTTACCTGTGGGGGTCAGACAACTTACATGTGGGGGTCAGACAACTTACATGTGGGGGTCAGACAACTTACCTGTGGGGGTCAGACAACTTACCTGTGGGGGTCAGACAACTTACCTGTGGGGGTCAGACAACTTACCTGTGGGGGTCAGACAACTTACATGTGGGGGTCAGACAACTTACATGTGGGGGTCAGACAACTTACCTGTGGGGGTCAGACAACTTACCTGTGGGGGTCAGACAACTTACATGTGGGGGTCAGACAACTTACCTGTGGGGGTCAGACAACTTACCTGTGGGGGTCAGACAACTTACCTGTGGGGGTCAGACAACTTACATGTGGGGGTCAGACAACTTACATGTGGGGGTCAGACAACTTACATGTGGGGGTCAGACAACTTACATGTGGGGGTCAGACAACTTACCTGTGGGGGTCAGACAACTTACATGTGGGGGTCAGACAACTTACCTCTGTGGTTGGGTTCATGGTAATAATCATACAAAGCTGAAGCCTGAGGGTTAAGTGCTAGACAAGTGCAGCATGCCAGGATTGTTAGGACATGAGACAAGAAACATGGCATCTCCAAGCCTAGGCGCTGACATGCATCTGTGGTCAAAAAACCATCAGGTTTATAACTGTCACTAGATATGTACAAAACATTTGATATAATGTACCCTGTCAGACAAACTTACCTATCTACAGTGAAGATTCTGTTTTCATTGTCTTCAGCTATTACTGGATATGTTTTCACACAGTATTTCCTAAGATGTGTGTGGTGTGCCCAGTGCACATGTTGCTAACTACGTGAAAACAAAGTATGACCCACATGTTCTCCAGCTTAGTGTGTGTTCACACAGGGCTAATTTTATGTTTATATTATTGATTGCAATTCCCAATAACTGCATGTCATATATCATTACTGTGTATGACAGCAAACAGGATGTGATCAATTCACAGTGCAGCTGTTACAATTGGAGTTGGAATTTAAAGGCTCTCCTCTATACAGGATCCACACAAGCTGGTTCTAGTGCTCAACTACAGCTGCATGCAAGGAAACACTTCTCCCAATCTGTGGGGTCATTGGAGCAATCAACCAACAAACTTGTGGGGTCCTTAGACATCTAGACCTACTATTTTGTGGGGTCCTTAGACATCTAGACCTACTATTTTGTGGGGTCCTTAGACATCTAGACCTACTATTTTGTGGTTTTTTTTTTTTACATTTTTACAAATCTAGACATACTTATTTGTGGGGTTGTTAGAAGTAAATCCAATAAAAGAAACTGATAATAACAAAACAAGCTGCTTTTTTTTACCCACCTTCTAACTATCCTTTATAAGTTGCCCATTCTGAATTATGTCTTGTGCATTTTGAGGCAGGTATCTGAGGATAAATTATCCTAATCAGTATTGAATTCAATAAAGTAAAATTGATTGCACTCAACTAAATGAAAGCACTACTAGGCTTAACTTTAACACTTAAAGCATTAAATATATGCAGCCCCTACTATTTTTTGGAAGTGAAATTTCAGACGTTTTTGGAAAATTCCAGATTTTTATACAGAAGTTTTACGACTAATTTATAAATTGATGCAACATTATACAGTAATGACTTTGAGCTAGACTAATGTTTATATTATTATACTATATTGAACGTTCTCTAGCCAAATTGACAGAAAATAAGGTTGCCTTCCCCATGTCCTTTAAAGTTTAAATGATTAAAATAATGGATCAATATGATGAAACTATAAACTTTTATTTTGTTTCCAACATTACACTCATGTATTATTCTGTTCATGTTGAGTCAGTAAAGCTCATAGTTGCTAAACCGAAAAGTCTCGAGTTCAAACCCTCGGGCAGATTAGGCTCGTTAGCTAGGGACAGACAATCTTCTAGGAGAGACAACTCCAAAATCAAACAACTGCTGCCTTGTAGTTTGTTCTTGGTTAGACATGGTGGCGTAGCGAGGTTGGGTGTCAACCGGTGCGGCACTTAATGGTGTCACCCCCCCCCCCGAAAAAAATTATATATAAATATATATAGGCCCTATATATATATATATATATATATATATATATATATATATAGGCCCTATATATATAGGCCCTATATATATATATATATATATATATATATATATATATATATATACATACACTCAAAGATTTACTAGGCATACTGCCGACCTTCGCTATTGCCCCAAGGCAGGAGCCTGCCAAATTTATATATATATATATATATATATATATATATAAGTGAAGCGATTCTCAGGCATATTTTGCAACATTGAGTTAATGTAACTTCCCCCCCCCCCCCCCCCCCCACGGCGATTGCTTTAAACTGTGCTCAGATATAATACTAACGATTTTTATCTATAGTCGGTTAAAAATACAGCTTGATGTTACATGTTTTCTTTATCATTACCAGTTTTACGTCTACTCTAGGTGTCATCCCCCCCCCCCTACTCCACCCTTGTCGGATTTGTCAAATTTGCTCTTAAAAGATTATTTAACACTCTAATTAATCACTTAATAAAGTGGAAATCATTTTTCTGTATATATTTTGATATTTTTTGCCTTGGTGTCACCTCATTAATTGGTGTCACCCAGTGCGGTCCGCACCCCCCCTCGCTACACCCCTGGTTAGACAAAGGCTATGAAAGCAAATCCCCCCAAAAAAAGCAGGCTGAAATTGGAGTCAATCTAAATCTAGATTGCATTGTTAATTTCTCATTATGTTCCTACCACTACTAAAAAGAATAATAAAGTTAAACTTAATTAGTTTAGTAGGCCCTCTAATAATATATTTATTAATTTTTCATAGACTCTAATTAATTACTAATTAGTATAATTATTAATTAGGCCTAAGCCTAGTAATTTATTAGGCCTAGCCTAATTATTACTATATTAGCCTACATATTAATAATTGAATAATTGGCATACTGGCTTATACACTATTGATTGACTATACTACTATAACAAATCTAGTCTAGAGTAGTCTAGACTCTAAAAATACTAAAATCAATCTCAATCTAGACTACTAGATTCTAGTTCTAGATTCTAAATTTAATTAATTTAATAATTAGGCCTAATAGATAGATCTAGATATCGTACAGTAGTAGATCTGATATTAAATTTAATATAGATTATCTACTAAGTTATTACTAAATAGTAATAATAGTTAAATTAGTTATTACTTTACTAACTATCAGAATAGATCTAGATCTAGATTCTATATTTCTAGATCTACTAACTCATCTTAGTATTTTAGATCTCGATCTATTCGGACTATTCTCTAGACTAGAGAATCCACCCCCAGAATAGAATCGATTCTAGGCTAGATCTAGATTCATTTGGACTGATTGATATAGATTAGGCCTATATTCCATTATAATAATAATATTTATATAAATCTAGGCCTAAGTAGTTATTAATTATTTAATATTTCTAGATTCTAGAAATTATAGACTCGAGAATCCACCCCCAGAATAGAATCGATTCTAGAATGTAGGCTAGATCTAGATTGAGATTCTAGATCCATCTGGGCTGATTGATATAGATTATAATTAGATCTATATTCCATTATAATATTATAAAATAATAATATTAGTAATTTTATAGAGATCTATTTCAATATCTAATCTAACTTTAACAGTACAGTCAGTACAGTCAACAGTGGTAGTCTGCTATGGCACCCTTGCCTAGGCCTATGGGCCAAAAATCATGTAGTTTTCTATATTATTGTAGATTCCTAGATAGATCTAGATTCTAGATCTAGATCTAGATCTATCTAAAATCTATAGACTTAGAATCTAGATCTAGGCTACGTATAACAATAACTGACTAGATCTAGATCTAGATTCTAGGCCTAATTCTTCAACAGTGGATCAACAACTAGACTCTAGATCTAGATTCTAGATATCTAGACACTCAGTCATTTTCGTTCTAAAAATTCACCTGTAGTTTTTTAAAATCTGGCTTACCCGCGCAAAAAATGTTTGTAAACAAAAACTGAGATTTAGAATGTATGTAGATCTACTAAGTATGTAGTATGTAGTGTATGTAGATAATATGTCATTTGATGGTCTTTTTTTCCTTCTTGAGCCCTAATCTTTAATTCCTAATGATAAAAAAGTAAAACTAAATGAATGTTGAATGTTAAGTCGTTAAGTCAAAATAGCTTAGAGGGTAATCTATCGTTTTAGGTACGTAAAATCGCCCGTGACTTGTAATGTGAAAAACAGGTGACTCCTTAGAAATCTTTATTATCTTATTAGTGACTTAGTCCTTCCTTAACTATTAAATTTTAATAATTACTCAATAATTAGTTCACATTGTGAGGAGGATTTATGTTTTTTAAAATACAAACATGTTTCCTTGTTTCATTTAGATTTATGTATTATGTACCTGTTTGTAAACAATTGAATTAAAACTTTTCCGTAATAAATGAAGACTAGCGATGTTTCCAACAGATGCAACCATGCTCATTTACTATACTATAGTATAGTTGCCATCTTGTTAAAGTTTTATTTTTATAAGCTTTTAGCGCGAGATTCAGAGGGAAGCCACTCTATTTTACAAATGGCTGCTGTTTATATAGCAAATCTTGCTCTCAGACACTGCTGTTTAAAGTTAATTTCTGGCCTATAGACCTATCGATATATTTTTTTATTTAGCCATTAATTTAGGTTTATTATTCATTTATCCTAATTTATAAAAGGCCATGTGCGCTCTTCTCTCTCTCTCTCTCTTTCTCTGTCCGCAAAAAATTTTCGCCGGACATCACGTCAGAATCGGCAGCGATATATCGAGAACTTTTTACGGACTTTTGTTGAAAATAATATGTTAGATGTTTTAAATGTATAACCACAATTTTACTTAAAGAAGAAAAATAAAAATTAAAGGCGTATTCGAATGTAGAGAAACAGTATTATTTATGCAACCGGAAAAGCATTAATACATGTGAAAAAGAACGCATAAAACTGTGACGTCGCTATTGCTTATACATTAACTAATGACGTCATCTGCTGTGTTTTGAATAAAAAGAAATGAACTATTTCATTCAAATTTGATTTAGATCTACGTACACTATGAAATGTATACAATACAGTTTTTCCGGCCTAAACTCATAAAATTTATTTTATTTATTTGGATTCTAGATCTAGAGATTCTAGATCTAGACTAAATCTAAATCTAAATCTACGCAATAACTAGATCTATAATCTAGACGTAGACGCTAAGATCTAGATTTAGACTCTAACTTCTCTAAAATCTATTCCAAAAATAAATTTCTATATTAGGACTAAACTATTTCAAGACTTATTTATTTTATACAAAATCTTTGTTATGAACTGGCTAATTTGGGATAAAAAAATAATTTGAAAGAATAGGCATATTCGTGTAAGTTAAGATTTTAAAATACGTGTTTCATTCTCCGTATTTTATAAGGTGCCTAAATAGCGGAGATGTTAGTGTACATTAAACCACGCAGGTGGTGCGGGTTCGAGACACAGCAAGTCAACTTGGTTAATGTATTCTTTTTTATTATGCTCGGGCTAAACTTAAAAAAAAAATTCTTTTAGGAATCTAGATCTAGATCTAGATTCTAGATTGTCGGGTGTCCGATAGGGCACTTCCCGGCGCCGCAGGCGCTTCAAATTTGGCATGATCTTGCCTTGGTGCGACAGAACACGGGGGCCGGTTGGCCGAAAAGTCTACGATGTGGGGGTCAAAACTGACCTCGACTGACCGGTACCTTATATGAGCTATAAATCGAAAAAAAATGTCCACGGAGGAACCTCTTCATAACTCTTGAGGTCGTAGACCGACCTTCGGGCGAATTAATTAAGCATTCAAATTCTCAATGTTTTCGAAAGCCTAAGCGAAGCTGGGCAGCATGCCTAGTCTTATAATATTTGACACAAACATATGACGATATGCTTCAATTAAAGCCTTGACAATGAGGTAACGTTTTTGTACATTAATAGCCGCTGGCGATTTTACGTACCCAAAACGATAGATTACCTCCATTTGTTTTATCAACTTGCTTAACTTACATTTTAAAAAAAAAGCTTATATTTTAAATTTTATTTTTAAGGTTCCCTGTTTTTTGTCTCTTTGTTTTTCTCTGTTTTATTAAGTTAAAATCCACTCCTTCAACAGTTAACTGTGCTAATTAAATTAACAAGAAGTACCAGCTGTGTATCGGATACAGTATTTCTTCCAGACTTTATTCTCCGGGGGGGGGGGGGGGGGGGTTACTAGTAAAAGTGTATGCTTACTATATAAAATCCATCTCGTTCAGGGGGGGGGGGTGGTAGACTTTTTTTGGGGGGGGGGGTCTGTGCCCCCCCCCCCCCCCCCCCCCCCCCAAAGAGATGACTGGAAGAAACTCTGATCGGATACATAGCTGGTACATTGTATCCTGCAAACATATTATTATAGTGTACTATTGGTGATGGAGGGGGGGGGGGGGGGTTTGTATACAACATGGGTTGATATTTCTGTCAGTGAAAGCAAGCCTCTGCTTTTGTGGTCTTCAAAGTGATTGGCAATCTGAATCATTTACACTTCATGTACAAATACATGTTTCTTGTAATTTGTTTTAGAATAGATCTCTATAGATCTAGTCAGTGCTTGTCCACAATAGACTGGTATTAATTCACTTGTTTGTTACTAGGTGACTTTGATGAGGAGGAGAGCACAGTGTTAAGATGGGCGAGGAGAGTGCCCCAAAAATCAGACGGCTGGATGAAGTGGTTGTCAACAGGATAGCAGCAGGAGAGGTCATCCAGAGACCAGCTAATGCGCTGAAGGAAATGATTGAAAACAGGTACCCAATCAGCAGGATCATGATGGCAGCTGGTAGCCAATCAAATGCTAGTGTTCATACTGCTGTGGTTGACTCATAAAATCAAGAAAAATAGACATAAACAAAGCAGTTTTTAATGGAATTTTTAGGGGCTGCAAATAGACCTACATTAGTTATTAATTAATAATAGTTACCTATGGTTTTTATTTTGTCTACACACATCATAATATTTGTGGCCTGACCATTTGTAGTCCTACATTCTGGCATGAACTCACCATCATATTTTCCAGTTCGTGGGGCGGATGAAGTAGAGTTCATCTGGTACAGTGACCTCGGCATATGAAGGGATAGTGTGGTCATCACTATTTTTGCTAACGTGAGTTAGGTACTTATCAGAGCTGGGTGGACTCAGGGAATTTCTACTAACTTGAATCCAGATTTGAACTCAAGACTTTTAGGTTAGCAGTCTACTGCTCTACTACTAGGCCACGCTGTTCCTCACCTGATGTAGTGCGCTGAAAAAACATTTGTAGGCCAACATTTAAAATTTTTGAATTTTTATTTAGTATTGATGCAGGAGCTACCAATATCCAAGTAACAGTGAAACAAGGGGGGCTTAAAATGCTCCAAATTCAAGATAATGGATGTGGTATTAGAGTAAGTTGCTTCCCTTTTCTTGTTGAGACTTTATTTGACATCACTACTGTAGCGCTTAACACAAGACTGCAGCTCTCATGCTGGAAATTAATGCACACACACACATCCTAAAATTTTTATGTGTAACCAGCAAATATATATGCACCAAATTAATTCATAAAAATGATGAAAAGTGCATGCTAAGTAGTATTTCGATCTATAAATCAACTGTACACCTGAAACCACACACACACACACACACACACACACACACACACATAAATAAAAGCAATGGTTGTGTCTATTGTTTAGAAAGAGGATATGGAGATAGTGTGTGAACGTTTTACCACCAGTAAACTGCGCCAGTTTGAGGACCTGGCAAGTATCAACACATATGGTTTCAGAGGGGAAGCTCTGGCTAGCATCAGTCATGTGGCTCATGTCACCATCATCACCAAGACTGTCTCATCCAAGTGTGCTTTTAGGTCACTCCTTTTTTCTAGTATTGTTTCATGGGTGTTGTTACATGAGTGTTGTTACATGGGTGTTGTTACATGGGTGTTGTTACATGGGTGTTGTTACATGGGTGTTGTTACATGGGTTTGTTACATGGGTATTGTTACATGGGTGTTGTTACATGGGTGTTGTTACATGAGTTGTTACATGGGTTTGTTACATGAGTGTTGTTACATGGGTGTTGTTACATGGGTGTTGTTACATGAGTTGTTAAATGGGTGTCTGCTTACTGTTACATGGGTATTGTTACATGGGTGTTGTTACATGGGTTTGTTACATGGGTGTCTGCTTACTGTTACATGGGTGTTGTTACATGGGTGTTGTTACATGAGTGTTGTTACATGGGTGTTGTTACATGGGTGTCTGCTTACTGTTACATGGGTATTGTTACATGGGTGTTGTTACATGAGTTGTTACATGGGTGTCTGCTTACTGTTACATGGGTGTTGTTACATGGGTGTTGTTACATGGGTGATGTTACATGGGTGTTGTTACATGGGTGTTGTTACATGGGTGTCTGTTACATGGGTGTTGTTACATGAGTGTTGTTACATGAGTTGTTACATGGGTGTTGTTACATGGGTGTTGTTACATGGGTGTTGTTACATGAGTGTTGTTACATGAGTGTCTGCTTACTGTTACATGGGTGTTGTTACATGGGTGTTGTTACATGGGTGTTGTTACATGAGTGTCTGCTTACTGTTACATGGGTGTTGTTACATGGGTGTTGTTACATGGGTGTTGTTACATGGGTGTTGTTACATGGGTGTTGTTACATGGGTGTTGTTACATGGGTGTTGTTACATGGGTTTGTTACATGGGTGTTGTTACATGGGTATTGTTACATGGGTGTTGTTACATGAGTGTTGTTACATGAGTTGTTACATGGGTGTTGTTACATGGGTGTTGTTACATGGGTGTTGTTACATGGGTGTTGTTACATGGGTGTTGTTACATGAGTTGTTACATGGGTGTCTGCTTACTGTTACATGGGTGTTGTTACATGGGTGTTGTTACATGAGTTGTTACATGGGTGTTGTTACATGGGTGTTGTTACATGAGTTGTTACATGGGTGTCTGCTTACTGTTACATGGGTGTTGTTACATGGGTGTTGTTACATGGGTGTCTGTTACATGGGTGTTGTTACATGGGTGTTGATTCATGAGTTGTTACATGGGTGTCTGCTTACTGTTACATGGGTGTTGTTACATGGGTGTTGTTACATGGGTGTCTGTTACATGGGTTTGTTACATGGGTGTTGTTACATGAGTTGTTACATGGGTGTTGTTACATGGGTGTTGTTACATGGGTATTGTTACATGGGTGTTGTTACATGAGTTGTTACATGGGTTTGTTACATGAGTGTTGTTACATGGGTGTTGTTACATGGGTGTTGTTACATGAGTTGTTACATGGGTGTCTGCTTACTGTTACATGGGTATTGTTACATGGGTGTTGTTACATGGGTGTTGTTACATGAGTGTTGTTACATGAGTTGTTACATGGGTGTCTGCTTACTGTTACATGGGTATTGTTACATGGGTGTTGTTACATGAGTTGTTACATGGGTGTCTGCTTACTGTTACATGGGTGTTGTTACATGGGTGTTGTTACATGGGTGTCTGTTACATGGGTGTTGTTACATGCGTGTTGTTACATGGGTGTTGTTACATGGGTGTTGTTACATGAGTTGTTACATGGGTGTTGTTACATGGGTGTCTGTTACATGGGTTTGTTACATGGGTGTTGTTACATGGGTGTTGTTACATGGGTGTCTGTTACATGGGTGTTGTTACATGAGTGTTGTTACATGAGTTGTTACATGGGTGTTGTTACATGGGTGTTGTTACATGGGTGTTGTTACATGAGTGTTGTTACATGAGTGTCTGCTTACTGTTACATGGGTGTTGTTACATGGGTGTTGTTACATGGGTGTTGTTACATGGGTGTTGTTACATGGGTTTGTTACATGGGTGTTGTTACATGAGTTGTTACATGAGTGTCTGCTTACTGTTACATTGGTGTTGTTACATGGGTGTTGTTACATGGGTGTTGTTACATGGGTGTTGTTACATGGGTGTCTGCTTACTGTTACATGAGTGTCTGTTGTTTTAGGGGTGTTTCGTGGGTGTCTGTTTATTGTTTCAGGGGTGTCTGTTTATTGTTTCAGGGGTGTCTGTTTATTGTTTCAGGGGTGTCTGTTTATTGTTTCAGGGGTGTCTGTTTATTGTTTCAGGGGTGTCTGTTTATTGTTTCAGGGGTGTGTATTCTGATGGGAAGTTGAAAGAACCAGTTAAACCTTGTGCAGGCAACTTGGGAACTCAGATTACAGTAAGCAGATTTGAATGTTGTTTGTTCCCATCTCAACTGATAGCATTGAAATAGATGTCTTGTGTTCTCATTACATCTTACATTCCATAACTAACCCATACCTAAACCCAATTCCCCCTAGCCATCACCTTTAATCCTAACCCTCTATATGATCCAATTGATAAGAAAAACCCATTGAAAGTACCAAAAGTCTAATAAATGCTTTACCCTTGAGGCTGAAGATTTGTTCTACAACATATCAACACGGCGAAAAGCTTTGAAGAGCCCTTCAGAGGAGCACAGCAAGATTGTGGATGTTGTTAGCAAGTACGTACAACTCAAAGTTTAGGTGATATAACAGTAGGTACAGTGTACAACTCAAAGTTTAGGTAATATAACAGTAGGTACAGCGTACAACTCAAATAAAGTTTAGGTAATATAACAGTAGGTACAGCGTACAACTCAAATAAAGTTTAGGTAATATAACAGTAGGTACAGCGTACAACTCAAATAAAGTTTAGGTGATATAACAGTAGGTACAGCGTACAACTCAAATAAAGTTTAGGTGATATAACAGTAGGTACAGCGTACAACTCAAATAAAGTTTAGGTGATATAACAGTAGGTACAGTGTACAACTCAAATAAAGTTTAGGTAATATAACAGTAGGTACAGCGTACAACTCAAATATAGTGTATGTAATATAACAGTAGGTACAGCGTACAACTCAAATAAAATTTAGGTAATATAACAGTAGGTACAGTATACAACTCAAGTATAGCTTAGGTAATTTAAAAGTAAGTACACTATCTACAGGGAAGGAGTTGTCTAGCGGTAGAGAGCTGGACTGCTAACCCGTAAGTCTCGAGTTCGAATCCGGGTTCAAGTCAGTAGACCGTCCCTGAGTCCACCCAACTCTGATGGGTACCTAACTCACGTTAGGGAGAGTAAAGGCGGCGGGGCATAGTTCTGACCACACTATCTCTTCATATGCCGAGGTCACAGAAACAAGTGAACTCTACTTCACTTGCCCCATAGACCGTCAGGTGTGAAAGAGAAACTTACTTTATACTATCTACAATTACAACCAAACTTTAAAAAAAGTTTGTTACTCAAATAAAAAAACACGGCCAAATCTGTTTTAGGTATTCTATTCACAACAGCAAGATTGGATTTACTTTAAAAAAGGTATGTATTAGATAACGAAACTTTTTTCTGATGCCAGCCCTGCATCATACATTCACTATCAGTTGTGCTTCATATTATAATTTGCTGCTGTATTCAAGATAAAGGCAAACTCATTGATACACCACATTTTCTACCTGTTCACATTTTTTACTGGTTCACATTTTCTACCGGTTCACATTTTCTACTGGTTCACATTTTCTACTTTGTTCACATTTTCTACTGGTTCACATTTTCTACTGGTTCACATTTTCTACTTGTTCACATTTTCTACTGGTTCACATTTTCTACTTACCACATTTTTTATTTTGTCCAGCAAGGGGAGAGCATGGCTGATGTGCGTACATTGCCAGGATCTTCATGTGCTGATAACATACGAGCCATATATGGTGTCACTGTTAGCAGGTAGCATCTTGTCTTTGTTAGCAGGTAGCATTTTGTCTCCATTTCATTAGCAGGTAGCATTTTGTCTTCATTTCATTAGCAGGTAGCATTTTGTCTCAGTTTCAACTCAGTTTTTTAATGTTGCTGCAAAAGTTGTCAAGTCTTTGTTAACAATGATAGATATGCTTGCTGTAGCCATCTATGATTTAAGGAAAACACTTATGCATGCAAGATTGTTTCATGTTGATGATAAACTGTAGCCAAGTGTACATAATATGACAAATGTTTTTCAGAGAACTTTTAGAAGTGAAACATGAGGACAGTAAGCTGGGATTCCATCTTTCAGCACAAATTAGCAACGCTAACTACTCTGTAAAAAAAGCCATATTTTTACTCTTTATAAATCGTAAGTTATTGTAATTTTTGAATAAAAACTGGATTCTGCTAGTTAAGTTTACTGGTCAAGTTCTAACATTTTATTTATTTTAAAATACAAACCTTGATATTTGAAAATATTCATCAGACAGATTGGTGGATTCCTCGTCGATTCGAAAGGCTTTAGACACTGTATACCAAGCTTACTTACCCAAAGGTTCACACCCATTTATTTACTTGAGGTATACTTTATTTTATATCTAGTTATTTCAAAATCCCCACAAAAATATGTGGACCTTTATTTTTATGAACAATTTTACTTTGGCATTTGTTGCTAGGTTTAGTTGTTTTAAAATCCTAGTGTACATGCTACTGTGTTTTCTCCTTGGTTTCAAAAGATCTCAAAATGTGGAAGTGAATTTATATCCTTCTGAATTTTTTCTCAGTTTAGAAATATCTCCTCAAAATGTGGATGTAAATGTACATCCTACTAAGCATGAAGTTCATTTCCTCCATGAAGATTCCATAATAGCCTCAATACAGTCTGTGGTGGAGGCCAGGCTATTGGGATCAAACGCCTCAAGGACATTTTTTACACAGGTATGTCTATAGAGTAGCTAGGTGCACGACATTTGTTAACTAATTCAAATTTAGCTAAAAATTGAACCAAAAATCGCAGTCTCTCTAATCAAAGCTATTGTCATTATTTTTAGTTTTAAGTCTTCCTTTTTATAACAAACACTAATTTCTACTTTCTGTTGAGTTATTGTTTGCCTAATTGAGTCATTAGTAGCACCTTGCACACATTTTTTTGTACTATTTTAAAAAGGTTCATTTATTATCTTTGAATTTACTTTTTTAGTAGTTAAATTTTACATTTTCAATTCCAAATTATCAAAATTCTATGAGAATTTCTTAAAAATTAAATTTGGTGACCTATAAATATAAAACAAAGGAACATGAAAATGGGTTATTGATACTGCTAATATAGTGCCTAGTTTGTTAGACATTTTTCATAATCTTCTAAACTGATTAGGTCATATTGAAAAATGTTTTTTTTTTTTACATTTGTCTTGTACATACTATGTTAGTGGCTTAGTGTTGGGTTGATATTTGCTCACAAAATATTTGGTTGCTGTCTGCTCTCAAAATGTTTGTTTCTTGTTTTATTCACCTGTTGAGCTTTTCACCCCCAGAAAATGCTGCCTGGCCCAATTGTTCAAGAGACTAAACACAAGCAGGACAGTGAAACTGGTATTATGCTAATATTTAATAAAAAAATAATAATACCAATCAATTCTTAAAATGGGGCCTGCACCTTTTTTTGATTTCTTGAAATTTTTGTATACAAAATGTTAGTTTATTTCTGAATTTAATTAATAAAAAATAAAAAATTTATAAAAGTAGGTTTTCCAACACTTAAAAATGACATAACAAATTTTAAAAATTTACATAATAAAAAATATCCAGGGATAATCAAAATAGGTTATTTTGGGTCAGTCTTCCATTATTATTTTTGTTTAAATAAACAAATATTACACAAGTTAACAGTTCACATCAGAATGGCCATGTCCAATAAATATACATCTAGATGTGTTTTATTAGTTTTAAAAAACAAAATATTTCAGTTTTAAAGTAGCTTTAAAATCATTGGATGGGTAAAAATGAATGGAATTGTAAAATGGGTAAAAATGGATGGAATGGTAAAATTGATGGAATGGTAAAATGGGTGGGTAAAAATGGATGGAAGGGTAAAATGGATGGGTAAAAATGGATGGAAGGGTAAAATGGGTGGGTAAAAATGGATGGAATGGTAAAATGGGTGGGTAAAAATGATCAATATGGAAAGCATCTAGTGTTAGAAATAGTTGAACTTGATTATTGTTTGTAAACCATCAGAATTGGTTTGATACTGGTAACATGAGGCAAATTATACATTAAAAATTCAATGGAAAAGAATAGAAAAAGTAATGAAAGCTGGTAATCTTTGGTATTAGAGTGTGCTAGAGAAAATAAACATTTTGACAAAGCCAAGCAAAGTTTTTAAATTGAGATTGTTAAAAAAGTAAACAACAGCTAAAAAATATCACAATTATGTAAGTATCAGCAAAAACTAAAACTAACATTTGTTTCAGCAACGCCGTCAGTGCGGGCACAAGACATGGTAAGAACAGATAGCAGAGATCAAAAGCTTGACGCCTTCATGTGCCAGCCTGTGTCAGTCACGTCTGCTAGAGCTGGACACAAGCCTGGGTAAGTGGACACAGATCTGCCTTGCTATCTCACTCTGTAGCTAGAGCGGGACTCCCAGCTCTAATGGGTACCTGACTTTCATTGGGGAAAGTAAAGGAGACTTGGCATAGTGCTCACTATCCCTTAGTATGCTGAGGTCAATAAGCAAACTACTTCATCTGCCCAATGGATGGCCAGGTCTATAGACTCAGAAGAATCTTTAACTTTTTTTTTCAGTATTGTACTCTGCATGACAAAGCACAAAAAATTTCTTCAACTCATTCAGTATTCTACTCTGCATAACATTCTGTATTCTACATTACAAGAGCCATGACTAAAGTTTTTAACTGCTGTGCTTACAGACCAAGTGTAGAAAATGAAGCAGAAAACTCTGCCAGACCAGGTGTGAAATCAAAAAGGAATGAAGTCCATTTAACCAGCATTCTGGAGCTACGTCAGGACATCAAAGATAGTTGCAGCAGTAGTAAGAATTTTCATCAGATTGACTGTTTGTTTGACTTGACTGCTGTGACAAAGATTCACATCTTGTTTGACTTAACTGTTGTATCAAAGATTAACCTCTTGTTTGACTTGACTACTATATTTAATTTTATTACTATATTATTATCTCATTTGCAACAAATGCCTTTCCACAAAACCTAATTAAGGTAATAAACAAAAAATGATAACACCATTATAAATTTAAAAAATATGTTTATCATTTGCCCAATTATTATAAATCATGAAACCGATGCTACTTGATAAAATAAAAATATTTAAACTAAAAAAACTGTAGTTAAATATGTTATTATAGCAGCATTGATAAGTGAGGGCTCTGCTGGTGGTGCAAGAATGTGGTCCCAAGTCTTCCTCAGTAACATTACTAACAATATCATTCTAACATGGGGTCCCAAGTCTTCCTTGGTACGCCTCAGTAACATTACTAACAATATCATTCTAACATGTGGTTGCAAGACTTCCATGGTATGCCTCAGTAACATTACTAACAATATCATTCTAACATGGGGTCCCAAGACTTCCATGGTATGCCTCAGTAACATTACTAACAGTGTCAAGAAGTGTCTGTAAGGTTCAGTAAAAGTAATATGAAGTCATGCCCCACCTCCCTTCATGTCCCACCTCCCTCCATGTCCTACCTTCCTTCATGGTCCGTCCCACACCCCCCCCCCCCCCCCCACTTCCTTGCCATGGCCTACCTTCCTCCATGATCTAATCACTTATTAAGTGCCTCCTTTTAAGAGATTTTATTCAAGACAGCTTGCTTGAAATTGCCAATCCCTGCAGGTATGCAAGAGATTTTCCAGAACCATTCCTTTGTTGGTTGTGTCAGTGAAACACATGCCTTGTTGCAGCACAGCACACGCCTATTTTTAGCAAACACAACAGTCTTAAGGTACAATCTTCTGGCTCTCAACTCTACCATTGATCATTTCATGTGATAGAAAGATGCATTTTTTTCTAATTCTTTTTGTAAGGGCCAGTAGTTATGTTCTGTTTTATAAAAATGTGATTTCATTTTTCCAGTAAACATTTGTTTTATCAAATTCTTCTGGAAGACTTCAGTAATTTTGGAATTTTAAGACTTTCAGTAAGTGCTTTTGCTACATTTTAATGTTATAAGCTTTTACTTAAGTCAGTGTTTGTGGTCAAATCTTTCTTTTACTTAGGTCAGTGTTTGTGGTCAAATCTTTCTTTTACTTAGGTCAGTGTTTGTGGTCAAATCTTTCTTTTACTTAGGTCAGTGTTTGTGGTCAAATCTTTCTTTTACTTAGGTCAGTGTTTGTGGTCAAATCTTTCTTTTACTTAAGTCAGTGTTTGTGGTCAAATCTTTCTTTTACTTAGGTCAGTGTTTGTGGTCAAATCTTTCTTTTACTTAGGTCAGTGTTTGTGGTCAAATCTTTCTTTTACTTAGGTCAGTGTTTGTGGTCAAATCTTTCTTTTACTTAGGTCAGTGTTTGTGGTCAAATCTTTCTTTTACTTAGGTCAGTGTTTGTGGTCAAATCTTTCTTTTGCTCCAACTTTCCAGATTAAATATTTCCATTGAACTTGAAATAATATCAAATTTTCCATCTAATTGTATGTATATTTAGTCATTGTTAAAAACCTATCAAGTTTTCAATCTAATTGGATGTATGTTTAGTCATTGTTAAAAACCTATCAAATTTTCAATCTAATTGGATGACCTTTCACACAACAACAGCACAGATGACCTTTCACACAACAGCACAGATGACCTTTCACACAACAGCACAGATGACCTTTCACACAACAGCACAGATGACCTTTCACACAACAGCACAGATGACCTTTCACACAACAGCACAAATGACCTTTCACACAACAACAGCACAGATGACCTTTCACACAACAGCACAGATGACCTTTCACACAACAGCACAGATGACTTTTCACACAACAACAGCACAGATGACCTTTCACACAACAGCACAGATTACCTTTCACACAACAACACAGATGACCTTTCACACAACAGCACAGATGACCTTTCACACAACAGCACAAATGACCTTTCACCTGACTGGATGTGTAATAAGTTGAGTGTTGTAAAAATGTCACCAAACAATGTACTGCCCACCCTGACAGGAGCCTGCACCTATAGGAACTCTGGCCTTGTTGGCTTTAGACTGTCCAGACTCAGGATGGACACCAGCTCACGGCCCTAAAGAAGAAATGGCTGACTACGTGCTCACATTTTTAACTTCTAAAGCAGAAATGCTGCAAGATTATTTCAGCATTGAAATAGAGGTACATTTTCACACAACTACTTCATAGTAAAACCATTGCTTGCCCCATTTTCACACAACTACTTCATAGTAAAACCATTGCTTGCCCCATTTTCACACAACTACTGCATAGTAAAACCATTGCTTGTCCTACCTTGGTTACCCCACCTGCCTTTTTCACACACTGACATGAAGGGGGACAACACAGGAGATTGACTCATACAATTTATCACGGTGTGGGTTTTCTGCAGTGATGTTGTGTCCCTTGTGGGACTGCATTATTGTATCATCCGCACATTATATTTTACATTTGTCTACTTGCACAAATACATTCTTACATCCCCCTATACACACATTATATTTTACATTTCTCTGCTTGCACAAATATACCCTTACATCCCCCTATTCTACTGTACACATTCTATTCTTACATCCCCCTATTCTACTGTACACTTCTTACATCCCCCTATTCTACTGTACACATTCTATTCTTACATCCCCCTATTTATACCCTTACATCCCCCTATTCTACTGTACACATTCTATTCTTACATCCCCCTGTTCTACTGTACACATTCTATTCTTACATCCCCCTATTCTACTGTACACTTCTTACATCCCCCTATTCTACTGTACACATTCTATTCTTACATCCCCCTATTCTACTGTACACATTCTATTCTTACATCCCCCTATTCTACTGTACACATTCTATTCTTACATCCCCCTGTTCTACTGTACACATTCTATTCTTACATCCCCCTATTCTACTGTACACTTCTTACATCCCCCTATTCTACTGTACACATTCTATTCTTACATCCCCCTATTCTACTGTACACATTCTATTCTTACATCCCCCTATTCTACTGTACACATTCTATTCTTACATCCCCCTGTTCTACTGTACACATTCTATTCTTACATCCCCCTATTCTACTGTACACATTCTATTCTTACATCCCCCTATTCTACTGTACACATCTTATTCTTACATCCCCCTATTCTACTGTACACATTCTATTCTTACATCCCCCTATTCGACTGTACACATTCCATCTCCTACCATGCACAAAATCCCTCAAGAAAAGAATTGAACTGTATCTACTGGATGCACCTCATGATATAATTCATGTGTTACATGTCTTCATCAGAATGGCAACTTGTTAACTCTACCCATGTTGCTGGAGAATTATGTTCCACCCTTAGATGAACTCCCTTTATATTTGCTGCGACTTGCTACGGAGGTTGAGTTCATTAGCTTACTCGCATCACACACAATAAAAATAAATAAAGTACACCTGAATGTAATCTCACCACATACAATAAAAATAAATGAAGTGCACTTTAATTTTTTATTTATTTTAATTTCAAAATCTTACAATTATAAAGTTATCCATGCCCAACAATGCTCAAATTATGAATTAAAATGATAATTATTTTTCTACTCCATCTACTTGTATAGGTGGACTGGGAATCAGAGAAAGAATGTTTTCAGTCCTTCTGTGAGGAAACAGCTCAATTTTATGCTCTGAAGAAATCAATGTTTGATTCTTTACAAGACAATGATGGCATGGTAACAAATGAAAAAATCCTTTAGCAATCTTTAAACTTTTCCAATATTTCTGTAAAGCTAATTATAATAAAAGGTGAAACTTTTGATATTTTTAGAGTAACTTGGACGAAGCTGCTTCACAAACTACAAATCATGATTGGAAATGGACCACAGAGCACGTCATTTACCCAGCCATGAAACAACACCTGCTGCCACCATCTTGCAGTGAGAGTGACAGGAGTCTGATACAGCTGGCCAACTTGCCAGATCTGTACAAAGTTTTTGAGAGATGTTGACAGCTTGTTTTCAGTTACAATAATAAAGTATTCCTGGCTTGTGAGTAAATAAACATCCTCGTGATTTTTTCCTTGTAGCAAGCAGCCTTGTAGTTTAACTGGCTCTAAATACATCCTTGGCTGCCCTCAGCGCTCCCATAGTCTGGACTGGATCAGATTTTTCAACATGTTTTTGTACAGAAGATTCTCTGAAATGGAATGTGCCAGGCATTCAATGGCTAAACAAAAACAAGTGTACAAAGACAATTTTGTTAATGAAAGTACAACAAAATTAGGTTCAGCTGTGGCCCACAAACAAAACATTTGCAAGAAATAAAGATGGATCAATTGAATGTACCTGACTCTCATGAAAGGGTTAAACAGAAGCTCATCTTTGATTGTAGATGGAATGGTAGGCTCTCCATTCTGGCGCTGTTTCTGGACATACAAAAAAAAAAACAACAACCGATGACTAAAGTTTCTTCTAGTAAACTGAACGTACAAAGAAAAACAAATGACTAAAAATCAGACTTGCTTTAACTAAGATGACTAATTTTAAGCTCTCTAATAATGCGTAATTTTTATGGTTGTTGATATTACACAATATATATCCCATTTATCGATTGAAAACTATCACAGAGATGATTTTTTATATAGCAGTTGAGCAATGGATTTTGACGCCCCCCCCCCCTCACATTGAACTCAAGGGCCTTTTTAGATGATCATTCAACATATTTCTTTACAAATACCTTTAAAATGTGCAGAACTGAATAGCCTTTGTGGGATACTAAACAAAATAAACCGGGAGTGATCTCCCCTAAACTTTCTCAAATATTCTAATATTACACTACGTGGAATGGAAACTCAGGACAAAGACAATATTTTTAATCCATTTTTAATTACTTAAACTTTTTATTATAGAATAGAATCTCTTAAAAGAAAGAATTGCACACCAAGTGAATGCCAAATAAAATGTGCATAATAGTGGGGGATATTATTAGTACTTTATAAAATCACATGCGTTTTTTGAGAAATCGGAAATAGCAAAAATTACTACATCCGGTCGACGGAAATTACTCAAAATTTTGATAGAAGGCAGAGAATTAGAACTTTTACTTACTTATGAAATTTCATTTATCTATCAGAAATAGTACTCAAGTTATAGGCTTTTGAAAAAAATCCACTTCCGGTTATTGGAAAACGTTCAAAAGTTGATCAGGATCTACTATTTTGATAAAATACTTATATATGAAATTCATCAACCTAGCTGTAACGGTACTCAAATTATCATGTTTACACATATACATACACAGACATACGGACAAGATTGCAAAATTATGTTTTTCCAACTCAGGGAACCCTAAAACGTCGAGATTTGCAAAAATCTTGATTTCTTTTTTTTTTGCACAATTACAAGACTTTCTCTATACTTCGTATATACGAGAAAGTAAAAATTCTTATGATACACCGCTATTTTGTTGTTTTATTTTCTACTATTCAGTACTTCATAGTTAGTGAATTCGACACTAGCCTCCCTACCATTGAGCTTAATTGATGGTGCCACCTGTGCTGAGTTTTATTGATGGTGCCACCTGTGCTGAGTTTTATTGATGGTGCCACCTGTGCTGAGTTTTATTGATGGTGCCACCTGTGCTGAGTTTTATTGATGGTGCCACCTGTGCTGAGTTTTATTGATGGTGCCACCTGTGCTGAGTTTTATTGATGGTGCCACCTGTGCTGAGTTTTATTGATGGTGCCACTCACCTGTGCCAGGTCAAATCTTTTGGCCAGGTCAACATTTCCTGGCTCAACTGTTGCAGCAAACTTGAGGTTGTTCACAGTGTACTCATGCCCACAGTACACTTTCTACATACAGCAGCGGCAAGACATTAGTGGTTCATACATTAGAGGTACATACATTAGTGGTACATACATTAGTTTTTCCTCCCAGGCAACACAATACTTTTAAAACTGCTTTTGAAATATTCTATTTAGGAACTTTTTGTTTTGGATTAAAGACATTCTTGAATATCTTTTAGAAACTATATTGTAAAATAACGTTGAATGACACTTATTGTAAGAGTAAAATTTTTTTTTATGTTTTCTTTAAAGTAAGTAAAATAAATTGCTTTTACTTTAGTGACTTAGTTAGTAATGTTGATAATTTAATAAAAAAAATTGTGATTGAAGATGAAGTGTAATTGAGGTTGGCTAAAAATAGAAATGACCTACAGTTTCAGGTGGGAGGTGACTCAGAATGTCAATCAAAGCTTTGTACATCTGGTCTGGGGTGCCTTCAAAGAATTTTCCACATCCTGCTACAAACAAGGTGTCTCCTGGGGTGAACATGAGAAATCAGTGAACGTGTTGAGCTTAATACACAGCAATATTGAACATGTTGAGCTCAATACACAGCAATATTGAACATGCTGAGCTCAATAGACAGCAATGCTGAGCTCAATACACAGCAATATTGAACATGTTGAACTCAATACACAGCAATATTGAACATGTTGAGCTCAATAGACAGCAATGCTGAGCTCAATACACAGCAATATTGAACATGTTGAACTCAATACACAGCAATATTGAACATGTTGAGCTCAATACACAGCAATATTGAACATGCTGAGCTCAATACACAGCATTATTGAACATGTTGAGCTCAATACACAGCAATGCTGAGCTCAATACACAGCAATGCTGAGCTCAATACACAGCAATATTGAACATGTTGAACTCAATACACAGCAATATTGAACATGTTTAGCTCAATACACCGCAATGTTGAGCTCAATACACAGCAATATTGAACATGTTGAGCTCAATACACAGCAATATTGAGCTCAATACTCAGCAATATTGAGCTCAATACACAGCAATGTTGAGCTCAATACACAGCAATATTGAGCTCAATACACAGCAATATTGAACATGCTGAGCTCAATACACAGCAATATTGAACATGCTGAGCTCAATACACAGCAATATTGAACATGCTGAGCTCAATACACAGCATTATTGAACATGCTGAGCTCAATACACAGCAATATTGAACAAGCTGAGCTTAATACACAGCAATATTGAACATGTTGAGCTCAATACACAGCAATATTGAACATGCTGAGCTCAATACACGGCAATGTTGAGCTCAATACACAGCAATATTGAACATGCTGAGCTTAATACACAGCAATATTGAACATGCTGAGCTCAACACAGCAATATTGAACATGCTGAGCTCAACACAGCAATATTGAACAAGCTGAGCTCAATACACAGCAATATGGAACAAGCTGAGCTCAATACACAGCAATATTGAACAAGCTGAGCTCAACACAGCAATATTGAACATGCTGAGCTCAATACAGCAATATTGAACATGCTGAGCTTAATACACAGCAATATAGAACAAGCTGAGCTCAATACACAGACCACCACTGTGCAGACCTACCTGTAAAAACAGCAGGATCAGTGCCAGACGGACCAGTCACAAAGTAACAAATATGGCCTGAGGTGTGGCAGGGTGTGAACAAACACTTGACATCCAGGCTGCCAATCTGGAACCAAATTCAGGAATTAAACTTTTGGCCAATTATAGTCACATGTATCTGGGCCCATGTTAACACACCTTGATATGATCTCCATGCGTAACCTGATGGTTGAGTGCACCGATCCTTGAATCCCCGCCAACAACTGTCAAAGGTCCAACATTTTTTACCAGCTGCTCGTTGCCTCCTGCATGATCCCTAGTAAAAACATTTGGAAAAAAATGACATGTACAGCATGTACAGCATAGAGAATAGCTTTCTCATTTCTATTTCTTTTTTTGCAGACGTTACTTTTTTAACAACAAAAAATTGAAAGAGTTCCAGCTGATACTAATACTTTTTCAAAAAATTTTGGCACTTTCTCTGCAGATGATTTTTAACTGATGAACTAATAATTATTTTGTATTTGTAAGTAAAAATTATTCTTGTACCACTTTCGAGAACCTTTGCTATATGCGTCTCCGTAACCTAAACATCTCTAAATCTAAACGCTTCACATGGCTATGATGATGGTTTAGGTTGCCTTGATTCTACTCTATACACTATTTAACATGGTTATTTTGAGTTGATTGGTGAAATGTCATATTATTAAGGAGGGGGTTACTAAGACATGTATGTAGCATAAGCTTTACAGAGTAATAAGACTAACTTGGGTACCAACATTTCTTGCTAATAAGTTGACTGAGCTAAGTCAACATATAGCATATAAATCAATTACAATTTTAAAAAGTTTCTAGCATTACTTTTTTAAAATGAAAAAGTGTTATGTCACACTATCTGAACCCCTCTCCACACACTGTCACAAAATGACATATCCCCCCCTTCCCCCATGGGAGTGTGTTGTTATTTATGCATGACCCCTTAGGTTGTTGGTTACATCTTGCAATGTGTACAGGATGGGACAAAGCTAAGAGTAGTCCTACATGAGGAATGTGTACAATGATGGTGGGTGGTGAGTACATTACCAATGATGGTGGGTGGTGAGTACATTACCAATGATGGTGGGTGGTGAGTACATTACCAATGATGGTGGGTGGTGAGTACATTACCAATGATGGTGGGTGGTGAGTACAGTCTCTAGGTGCACACCTTCCTCTCTAACAGCTGCTTGAACCTTGGTTAAATCAAAACTTAAGATCAATAAAAGAAACAATTTGTGTCATAAAGCGAATATCTCTCGCACATTTTTTCTTCATATTTCACTAAACTGCAACTTATCTGTATAACCTTGTCTGGCTCAACTGGGTCAACCACAGCACACTTCCTGGTTGATTCATCAATGATCAGGTACATGTAGTTGTCCTCAAGAGCGGGCAGAAGCTTCACCTTCATGTCTCTGTGTAATGTGCTGCTAGTCCACAAGGTTCTCACATACAACACTAGACAAAATTGTATCAACTGTGTAATGTGGTGCTAGTTCACAAGGTTCTCACATAATACTTTATAGTACATAGAATCTAGATCTACATTTTTACACTTTCTGTGTGATTACTAATACTAGTTTTGGCCGAATTTACGACGCTAAAATAAGGTTTTAACGAATCTAGATTTAGAATTTAGACTCTTAAAAACTCTAAACTAAATCTGAAAACTAGATCTGGATCTTTATTCTATTTCTGATCTAGATTATAGACTAGCGACTAGATCTAATTCTAATCTTAGGAGAATCTAGATTTCTACTTCTAGACCTAGGGTCTACTTTAAAGTAAAGTTTACACTGATTTAATACTAGATCTAGAGAATCTAGATTAGATCTATAATTAGTAAATTACTAGACTATACATACAGTGTATAGTAGTATACACTAGTATAGTTTATAGTTAAGTGTAAGTAAAGTATACACTATACACTAAGTGTATTATTACACTAAGTGTAATAATAGTAATAGATATAGTATTACTATTATTACACTTAGTGTAATTAAGTGTAATAATACACTTTTTACTTACTAACTATTACACACACTTTCACTTACCTTCTCTTGAAAGTGAAACTAAATGCAGAAATGTAGATCTAGATCTAAGTGACTTTCGGAGGTATTGCATTAATTTTGAGCGCACACTAGATCTAGATCTACTAAGTAACTGCACTTAACTTGTGTTTAATAATAAAAGTCAGTTCCACTAGATTTAGATTCCGTGACTTAAGTCTAAAATGTTGAAACAAACTGTGAATGTTTATACTTCGTGACTTGTCCTATAGCATACAAAAATTGTTGTAGTAGTCTCCCCTGTCTGTGTAACGAAAAAAAACAAACAATAACAGACCCTTACTAGCCCAGCTCTTAGTAGTGTCTGAAGTACATTATTAGATTTTTTTTTGCTAAGAAAATTCTGCGTTTCTTCGAATGATATTCCTTTGTTAATTATCTAGATTCTAGATCTATAATATCGAATGCATTGAGGGTTGGAAATCGAGTTTCTTTCAGGCATCTTAGGAGTCATCCATAAATGACGTCACGCTAATTTGGACGATTTTTACCTTCCCCTCCCCTCCAGAGTTTCTTCCAGGCATCTCTTCGGGAGGGGGGGGGGGGAAAGAAGCCCCCCCGAAAATTTTTTACCGTCCCCCGAACGAAATGATAATATATATAATTTATATAGAAAATATATACTTTTAACAGTACCCCCCCCCCCCCCGGAGAAAAAAGTCTGGAAGAAACACTGCTCCCCTCCGTCACACATCGTCACAAAAAGCCAGACCCCCCCACCTAAAATGACGTCACACCTCAGCCAACAACCCCCCTCAAAACTGCAGTTGAATTTTTTTTTTTTTAAAAACGATATTTTTCCAAAATCTTGTCTGAACTCTGTCAAAATAGAGTATTTTAATTAATTCCTATATTACAATTTATTAAAACAGTTTTCTAAAGCGCGAAATAATGTTTAAAATTCGTTTTCTAACATTGCTTTTTTATAATGCAAAAGTGTGACGTCGCACCATCTGACCCCGCCCCCCCCTCATCACACACCGTCACAAAATTAAGGACCCCCCTCCCCCCTACGAGTGTGACGTCATTTATGTGATGGAAGGATTCTCATCAACTCGCTGGTCTCCATAAAAAAAAAAAAAAATTGAACTTATGCTAACTAAAACTCCCTCTGCTAGGTAACTTTTCTTTATAGTAATTTAAATAGTACTTTTTTTATTTTATGTTTAAAGAAAATGATTTATTTTCTTAGTACATTTTTACCTAAAAGCTTGTTATTAAAACGTTTTTTATGCATTTATTTTTTTTCAGTACTTTTTATTTACAATAGTTTCATGACTAAAAACAATTGCGCACCAAATCAACATGATAAGGCACATATAATAGTGTGGAATACTATTTCAGAAATTTAAATTAATTCTAATTAGTCAAGTCTTGACCCACTTGCCAACTTTGAAACGAATCTGTCAGCCAGAAATTTTGCTCGCATGTTTCTATCTATGTGGACAGACAGACAGAGGAAGCAAGTTAAATAAACGCTTGTAAAATGACACATTTTCAGACAATAAATTTTATTTGTTTAAAAAGAAATTAAAATTTTACTCCCCCCCCTCCCAATAATGAATAAAATAAAATGTAATACTAATGAACATGACTACATCTCATGAAGTAAACTCCAGCTACATTCTATACAATTATTTTATGTACAAATTAAATTGATTGAAAGACACATATGTGAAAAAAGGAGTTACAAAATGGTTGAATGAATATTGCTAAACACTCACACAATGTTACCAGAAACAGTTTAAAAATGGAATTAATTGATGGAGCTACTCAAACACTTTGCCCTGTAGAATCGTCTTTGCTAAAACAAAGTTTTGTTAAGTAAAACAAAAACATTTTCAAATGTATCTTAGTTATTGCATAATTTAAGGTAAATTAAAATAAAATGTACCTTAACAATAAGAGTGAATTAAATGTTTAAAATATTTGATACAAAACGAAAAAAAAAAGCCAAAACTTGATGTAAAGCTCTATGAAATGAAAGTATTCAAAAATGCGTAACACTTTTCAACACTGAAAAAAAGATAATGTAGGTACACTTTAAACAGTTCTTAATCTACAAGCAATTAGATGACAGAGATCACTTTATGCATAGCAGTTACCATTCACAAAATAAGAATACACCAACATTCCTTTCTCTGCCAAAAAAAGCCCACATGTCTGATGACTGAAACAGTCTCTCTTTAATCTCTACCAAAAACACTTTTGAAAGGATACAATTTATGAAAGGTTTTTAGCCAAACTTGTTTAAAGGTACTATTTTTAATCACTTGAATCTTAAGAAAATTAGCAAACAGATCAAATTAATCCAGTTAAGAATATAACTAAAAATTAAAAAAATAATTTTTACAGAGGTACAAAGCCTTTAAACAAATGAAAAGTTTCCAACAGGCCTATACAAAAAACCCAATAATATAATATATTAATTCAAACTCAAAAACATAGGTAAATTAAGGATCTTGCACATACAGCAGAAATAAAAACATTTTTTGACCAAACTAGCTCCCCCATAGTATGTATGCCTTGTACACCCTACCTTGGTATTTGAAAATACTTTCAAAATAAAATTTTGACAATCTCATCCCCCATTATTTTTAAAAAAAAGTTGTAAAAGCTTTTTGTCTTTCCAATGGAGTAATATTATGTGCATGATCCCCAGTACTCATTTAGTTAATGACAATTATTCCAATAGAGGTCAAGAAGTATTGACCTTAAATAATTGTTTTGCCAAATCCACCATATAACTACCCTCACTCTCCCCATGTTTTTGACAAAATAAAAAAAATTCTTGAGTACAATTGTTGGTGATACTATTTTCAAGAAACACTCTTAGAAATGATTTTTTTTTACACATATCACATTCTAAAGCTGTACAAATATTTAACATGCGTATGAATGAGCCTTTTGGTTATCACAAGTTGGCTCATCAGATAGAGCCTATTACAGTCAGTATGCAGGGACAACTGAGGATTCTTCCATTTAGACAGCCTTTATCATACAGAATAAACAACTGGCAAAGTTAAATCCTCAAGTCCCACTAGCCTCAAGCTAATAATTACATTTCAGCTCAAATATTAAGTACACTAAGAACTTCAAACAGCTGCAGCAAAAAATCTTTTCAGTAACACAGTTACATTATTTATGCCTCCCATGTATTAACTAATAAACATTTTTTTATGCTAAGTTTGTATACATCAAATAACTTCTACATCCAATTGTACAAGTTTGTATACATCAAATAACTTCTATGTCCAATTGTACTCTTTATGGTTATCTCTAAAAATTAATAGTGCAAATAAAAAAAAAAATAAAAACTTTTTATTGAATTGTATGACTAATTCTTCAGATAAACATAAATAAATTAAAAATAAAATCAAGTTACGTAAGCTTTTTCCTACAGACATTTATATAATTATTTTTTTAATTAATCTAATCCTATAAATGAGAAATCTTTGAGCTGACCACAACCAAGATTGGCATCACAGCAGGCAGTGAGCAAGATCCCACTTTGGTCCCAGATCAAAACAAATTCATATAATGACCAGATACACAGCATTTACACATAAGAAAATCTCATGCAGGCCACACTCTTCTAGCACAAGAAAAACAGACAGATATCATAGGGTGGACTGACCCAACCCACCCACTACAGATATCATAGGGTGGACTGACCCAACCCACCCGCTACAGATGTCTTAGGGTGGACTGACCCAACCCACCCACTACAGATATCAGAGTGGACTGACCCAACCCACCCACTACAGATATCATAGGGTGGACTGACCCAACCCACCCGCTACAGATGTCTTAGGGTGGACTGACTCAACCCACCCACTACACAAGTACATGTTCAGCACTAATTCTACTCTTAGAATTAAATACTAAACTCATCAAAGATGAACTAGGCATGCAAAAAAAAAAATAATTTACTCACAAGTTACATGATTTGAAACAGATATTATGTCTTAGGAATGTACACATCAGTATGAAAAACATTTAATTCATCAAATAATGCAACTGCCAGTTTCTATTGCACATCAAGGGAACACAAATCTGTTTATAATATTTTAAAATAAAAGATATCAACTTTACATTTCTATCAAATATTTAACCATGCATAAATCAAAATTATCTAGAGACAAGTTTTAAAAGTTTGGAAATAAAGTTTTAAAAATGTGAATGAACTGCTACAATGACTGGCTCTAAACTCTAGATTCAATAAGCTAATCTGGTGTATACCAGCACTAAGGGGACTTAAGCCCAGTGATGTACAACAAGCTCCCTTTCCTTGAGCTGTCTGAACTTCATGGAGCCATCCACCCCACACGAGTACATGTGATTTAATGGGCCGATCTGCACCTGAGCCACACCTGATGTTGAGCCAACATTCTTGAAGAAAGTGTTCTTGCTGTGTTCCATGGGAAAAGAGAAGATTAACTGGTGGATCTTGAGGCCCCAGACCTGAATGTAGAGGACAGTTATATCAGTGTAACGTGGAGGTAGACGTCAGACATAAAGTATTGTTTGACCACCTCCCCTACAAACCTTGATATCCCCATCAGCTGAGCCTGTTATAAAGTAGTTTGACCCCCACCCCCCTACAAACCTTGATATCCCCATCAGCTGAGCCTGTTATAAAGTAGTTTGACCCCCACCCCCCCTACAAACCATGATATCCCCATCAGCTGAGCCTGTTATAAAGTAGTTTGACCCCCACCCCCCCTACAAACCTTGATATCCCCATCAGCTGAGCCTGTTATAAAGTAGTTTGACCCCCACCCCCCCCCTACAAACCTTGATATCCCCATCAGCTGAGCCTGTTATAAAGTAGTTTGACCCTCACCCCCCCTACAAACCTTGATATCCCCATCAGCTGAGCCTGTTATAAAGTAGTTTGACCCCCACCCCCCTACAAACCTTGATATCCCCATCAGCTGAGCCTGTTATAAAGTAATCCTCATCTGGATCTATAGCCAAACATTTGATGGGAGCTTCGTGGGCCTGGAATGTGTGCTTCAATATGCGCTGACGTAGATCAAATATACCTGGTGCTTTCTTAAAGAAATTTTACTTTTTTCATGAAATAATGCCAACAAACAGAACAGGACAGTCAACAAGAATTCATTGAACCTCACAACTCAATGAATTTTTTTCTAGACTTGATATTTGTTGAAAGTCACATTAGTTTGTGAGTTAAAGTGGTGTCGACACCTGTACAAATAAAAGTCAAGGATACATATTTCTCCTTTCCTGCCCCCACTAATCAGCAAATGTTGGCGTGAAGCGTAGACAAGAGCTGGGCTGCCCTGTTCATGGCACTGGAATGCTACAAGAATTACAGGGACAAATTCAAAAACTTGCTCAAAGTCAGGCTGAGAAATTATTCAGGAAAAACAAGCATACATTTAAAAACTAATAGTTGGGGAATTGAGAATCCATGTGTGTCAGCAAGGTGTCCCAGATGATTGTGTGAGACTTACCATGGACCATAGAACTCATGCAAGGTGTCCCAGATGATTGTGTGAGACTTACCATGGACCAGAGAACTCCTATGGGGCAGCAAGGTGTCCAGATGATTGTGTGAGACTTACCATGGACCAGAGATCTCCTATGGGGCAGCAAGGTGTCCAGATGATTGTGTGAGACTTACCATGGACCAGAGAACTCATGCAAGGTGTCCCAGATGATTGTGTGAGACTTACCATGGACCAGAGAACTCATGCAAGGTGTCCCAGATGATTGTGTGAGACTTACCATGGACCAGAGAACTCCTGCAAGGTGTCCCAGATGATTGTGTGAGACTTACCATGGACCAGAGAACTCATGCAAGGTGTCCCAGATGATTGTGTGAGACTTACCATGGACCAGAGAACTCCTGCAAGGTGTCCCAGATGATTGTGTGAGACTTACCATGGACCAGAGAACTCATGCAAGGTGTCCCAGATGATTGTGTGAGACTTACCATGGACCAGAGAACTCCTGTGGGGCAGCAAGGTGTCCCAGATGATTGCATGAGACTTACCATGGACCAGAGAACTCCTGCAAGGTGTCCCAGATGATTGTGTGAGACTTACCATGGACCAGAGAACTCCTATGTGGCAGCAAGGTGTCCAGATGATTGTGTGAGACTTACCATGGACCAGAGAACTCATGCAAGGTGTCCCAGATGATTGTGTGAGACTTACCATGGACCAGAGAACTCCTGCAAGGTGTCCCAGATGATTGTGTGAGACTTACCATGGACCAGAGAACTCCTATGTGGCAGCAAGGTGTCCCAGATGATTGTGTGAGACTTACCATGGACCAGAGAACTCCTGCAAGGTGTCCCAGATGATTGTGTGAGACTTACCATGGACCAGAGAACTCCTATGGGGCAGCAAGGTGTCCCAGATGATTGTGTGAGACTTACCATGGACCAGAGAACTCCTGCAAGGTGCCCCAGATGATTGTGTGAGACTTACCATGGACCAGAGAACTCCTATGGGGCAGCAAGGTGTCCCAGATGATTGTGTGAGACTTACCATGGACCAGAGAACTCATGCAAGGTGTCCCAGATGATTGTGTGAGACTTACCATGGACCAGAGAACTCCTGCAAGGTGTCCCAGATGATTGTGTGAGACTTACCATGGACCAGAGAACTCCTATGTGGCAGCAAGGTGTCCCAGATGATTGTGTGAGACTTACCATGGACCAGAGAACTCCTGCAAGGTGTCCCAGATGATTGTGTGAGACTTACCATGGACCAGAGAACTCCTATGGGGCAGCAAGGTGTCCCAGATGATTGTGTGAGACTTACCATGGACCAGAGAACTCCTGCAAGGTGCCCCAGATGATTGTGTGAGACTTACCATGGACCAGAGAACTCCTATGGGGCAGCAAGGTGTCCCAGATGATTGTGTGAGACTTACCATGGACCAGAGAACTCCTGCAAGGTGTCCCAGATGATTGTGTGAGACTTACCATGGACCAGAGAACTCCTATGGGGCAGCAAGGTGTCCCAGATGATTGTGTGAGACTTACCATGGACCAGAGAACTCATGCAAGGTGTCCCAGATGATTGTGTGAGACTTACCATGGACCAGAGAACTCCTATGGGGCAGCAAGGTGTCCCAGATGCAAACATTCTTGTGCTCAGATGACTGTCCTGCTGTGGCTATCAGACTGGAGGAGCCAACAAACTGGAAGTCACTTGTGGTTTTGTTGTGGCACTGAAGGCTCTATAGGTGGACAAAGTCATTTGGTCAGACAATGGCACAATGTGGGGGGGGGGGGGGGGGGGAAGGGTCAAACAATGGCACACCTGGGGGGAAGAGGGGAGGGTCAAACAATGGCACACCTGGGGGGGGGGGTCAGACAATGGCACAATGTGGGGGGGGGGGGGAAGGGTCAAACAATGGCACCATGTGGGGGGGGGGGGGGAGGGGGGAGAGGGTCAGACACTGGCACAATGTGGGGGGGGGGGATCAGACACTGGCACAATGTGGGGGGGGTGGGGTCAGACAATAGCACAATGTGGGGGGGGGAAGGGTCAGACACTGGCACAATGTGGGGGGGGGGGGTCAGACAATGGCACACCTGGGGGGGGGGAGGGTCAAACAATGGCACACCTGAGAAGGGGGGGGGGGGGTTCAGACAATAGCACACCTGGGGGGGGAGGGTCAGACAATGGCACACCTGGGGGGGGGGGAGGGTCAAACAATGGCACACCTGGGGGGGGGGGGAGGGTCAAACAATGGCACACCTGGGGGGGGAAGGGTTAGACAATGGCACACCTGGGGGGGGGAGGGAGGGTCAGACAATGGCACACCTAGGGGGGGGGGGGGAGGAAGGGTCAGACAATGGCACACCTGGGGCGGGGGGAGGGTCAAACAATGGCACACCTGGGGGGGGGGGGAGGGAGGGTCAGACAATGGCACACCTGGGGGGTCAGACAATGGTACACCTGGGGGGTGTTGTCAGATTGAATGAAACAACTACACCTGCTACTGTTAAACTGTATTATAAAAAAATAAAAGTATAAAAAAAAACTACATTCCAGATGAACACCAGCTCAAATTGAAAATAATTTTTTTATAGAAGTTAAAGTGTGGACTCACCATAATGGGTTTATTGTAGTTGCTGCCAACTATAAGTTAAAGTGTGGACTCACCATAATGGGTTTATTGTAGTTGTTGCCAACTATAAGTTAAAGTGTGGACTCACCATAATGGGTTTGTTGTAGTTGCTGCCAACTCCCACTTGCCACAGACAGACACTGCCCTCTGTGTCACTCACACAACACTGGGGGAGGAAAGTCAACAGTAGGGGAGGTAAGTCATTTCAACAGTAGGGGAGGTAAGTCATTTCAACAGTAGGGGAGGAAAGTCATTTCAACAGTAGGGGAGGTAAGTCATTTCAACAGTAGGGGAGGAAAGTCATTTCAACAGTAGGGGAGGTAAGTCAACAGTAGGGGAGGTAAGTCATTTCAACAGTAGGGGAGGTAAGTCATTTCAACAGTAGGGGAGGTAAGTCATTTCAACAGCAGGGGAGGTAAGTCATTTCAACAGTAGGGGAGGTAAGTCATTTCAACAGTAGGGGAGGAAAGTCAACAGTAGGGGAGGTAAGTCAACAGAAGGGGAGGAAAGTCATTTCAACAGTAGGGGAGGTAAGTCATTTCAACAGTAGGGGAGGAAAGTCATTTCAACAGTAGGGGAGGTAAGTCAACAGTAGGGGAGGAAAGTCATTTCAACAGTAGGGGAGGTAAGTCATTTCAACAGTAGGGGAGGTAAGTCATTTCAACAGTAGGGGAGGTAAGTCATTTCAACAGTAGGGGAGGAAAGTCATTTCAACAGTAGGGGAGGAAAGTCAACAGTAGGGGAGGAAAGTCATTTCAACAGTAGGGGAGGAAAGTCATTTCAACAGTAGGGGAGGTAAGTCATTTCAACAGTAGGGGAGGAAAGTCATTTCAACAGTAGGGGAGGAAAGTCAACAGTAGGGGAGGAAAGTCAACAGTAGGGGAGGAAAGTCAACAGTAGGGGAGGAAAGTCATTTCAACAGTAGGGGAGGAAAGTCATTTCAACAGTAGGGGAGGAAAGTCAACAGTAGGGGAGGAAAGTCAACAGTAGGGGAGGAAAGTCATTTCAACAGTAGTGGAGGAAAGTCATTTCAACAGTAGGGGAGGTAAGTCATTTCAACAGTAGGGGAGGTAAGTCAACAGTAGGGGAGGAAAGTCATTTCAACAGTAGGGGAGGAAAGTCATTTCAACAGTAGGGGAGGTAAGTCATTTCAACAGTAGGGGAGGAAAGTCATTTCAACAGTAGGGGAGGAAAGTCAACAGTAGGGGAGGAAAGTCAACAGTAGGGGAGGAAAGTCAACAGTAGGGGAGGAAAGTCATTTCAACAGTAGGGGAGGAAAGTCATTTCAACAGTAGGGGAGGAAAGTCAACAGTAGGGGAGGAAAGTCAACAGTAGGGGAGGAAAGTCATTTCAACAGTAGTGGAGGAAAGTCATTTCAACAGTAGGGGAGGTAAGTCATTTCAACAGTAGGGGAGGAAAGTCAACAGTAGGGGAGGAAAGTCAACAGTAGGGGAGGTAAGTCAACAGTAGGGGAGGAAAGTCAACAGTAGGGGAGGAAAGTCAACAGTAGGGGAGGAAAGTCAACAGGTCAACAGTAGGGGAGGTAAGTCATTTCAACAGTAGGGGAGGAAAGTCATTTCAACAGTAGGGGAGGTAAGTCATTTCAACAGTAGGGGAGGAAAGTCAACAGTAGGGGAGGTAAGTCATTTCAACAGTAGTGGAGGAAAGTCATTTCAACAGTAGGGGAGGTAAGTCATTTCAACAGTAGGGGAGGAAAGTCAACAGTAGGGGAGGAAAGTCAACAGTAGGGGAGGAAAGTCATTTCAACAGTAGGGGAGGAAAGTCATTTCAACAGTAGGGGAGGAAAGTCAACAGTAGGGGAGGAAAGTCATTTCAACAGTAGTGGAGGAAAGTCATTTCAACAGTAGGGGAGGTAAGTCATTTCAACAGTAGGGGAGGAAAGTCAACAGTAGGGGAGGAAAGTCAACAGTAGGGGAGGAAAGTCAACAGTAGGGGAGGAAAGTCATTTCAACAGTAGGGGAGGAAAGTCAACAGTAGGGGAGGTAAGTCATTTCAACAGTAGGGGAGGTAAGTCATTTCAACAGTAGGGGAGGTAAGTCATTTCAACAGTAGGGGAGGTAAGTCATTTCAACAGTAGGGGAGGTAAGTCATTTCAACAGTAGGGGAGGAAAGTCATTTCAACAGTAGGGGAGGAAAGTCAACAGTAGGGGAGGAAAGTCATTTCAACAGTAGGGGAGGAAAGTCATTTCAACAGTAGGGGAGGTAAGTCATTTCAACAGTAGGGGAGGAAAGTCATTTCAACAGTAGGGGAGGAAAGTCAACAGTAGGGGAGGAAAGTCAACAGTAGGGGAGGAAAGTCAACAGTAGGGGAGGAAAGTCATTTCAACAGTAGGGGAGGAAAGTCATTTCAACAGTAGGGGAGGAAAGTCAACAGTAGGGGAGGAAAGTCAACAGTAGGGGAGGAAAGTCATTTCAACAGTAGTGGAGGAAAGTCATTTCAACAGTAGGGGAGGTAAGTCATTTCAACAGTAGGGGAGGAAAGTCAACAGTAGGGGAGGAAAGTCAACAGTAGGGGAGGTAAGTCAACAGTAGGGGAGGAAAGTCAACAGTAGGGGAGGAAAGTCAACAGTAGGGGAGGAAAGTCAACAGTAGGGGAGGAAAGTCAACAGTAGGGGAGGAAAGTCAACAGGTCAACAGTAGGGGAGGTAAGTCATTTCAACAGTAGGGGAGGAAAGTCATTTCAACAGTAGGGGAGGTAAGTCATTTCAACAGTAGGGGAGGAAAGTCAACAGTAGGGGAGGTAAGTCATTTCAACAGTAGTGGAGGAAAGTCATTTCAACAGTAGGGGAGGTAAGTCATTTCAACAGTAGGGGAGGAAAGTCAACAGTAGGGGAGGAAAGTCAACAGTAGGGGAGGAAAGTCATTTCAACAGTAGGGGAGGAAAGTCATTTCAACAGTAGGGGAGGAAAGTCAACAGTAGGGGAGGAAAGTCATTTCAACAGTAGTGGAGGAAAGTCATTTCAACAGTAGGGGAGGTAAGTCATTTCAACAGTAGGGGAGGAAAGTCAACAGTAGGGGAGGAAAGTCAACAGTAGGGGAGGAAAGTCAACAGTAGGGGAGGAAAGTCATTTCAACAGTAGGGGAGGAAAGTCAACAGTAGGGGAGGTAAGTCATTTCAACAGTAGGGGAGGTAAGTCATTTCAACAGTAGGGGAGGAAAGTCATTTCAACAGTAGGGGAGGTAAGTCAACAGTAGGGGAGGAAAGTCATTTCAACAGTAGGGGAGGAAAGTCATTTCAACAGTAGGGGAGGAAAGTCATTTCAACAGTAGGGGAGGAAAGTCATTTCAACAGTAGGGGAGGAAAGTCAACAGTAGGGGAGGAAAGTCATTTCAACAGTAGTGGAGGAAAGTCATTTCAACAGTAGGGGAGGAAAGTCATTTCAACAGTAGGGGAGGTAAGTCATTTCAACAGTAGGGGAGGAAAGTCATTTCAACAGTAGGGGAGGTAAGTCATTTCAACAGTAGGGGAGGAAAGTCATTTCAACAGTAGGGGAGGAAAGTCATTTCAACAGTAGGGGAGGAAAGTCAACAGTAGGGGAGGTAAGTCATTTCAACAGTAGGGGAGGTAAGTCATTTCAACAGTAGGGGAGGAAAGTCATTTCAACAGTAGGGGAGGAAAGTCATTTCAACAGTAGGGGAGGAAAGTCAACAGTAGGGGAGGAAAGTCATTTCAACAGTAGGGGAGGTAAGTCATTTCAACAGTAGGGGAGGTAAGTCAACAGTAGGGGAGGTAAGTCATTTCAACAGTAGGGGAGGTAAGTCAACAGTAGGGGAGGTAAGTCAACAGTAGGGGAGGAAAGTCAACAGTAGGGGAGGAAAGTCAACAGTAGGGGAGGAAAGTCAACAGTAGGGGAGGTAAGTCAACAGTAGGGGAGGAAAGTCAACAGTAGGGGAGGAAAGTCAACAGTAGGGGAGGAAAGTCAACAGTAGGGGAGGAAAGTCATTTCAACAGTAGGGGAGGAAAGTCAACAGTAGGGGAGGTAAGTCATTTCAACAGTAGGGGAGGTAAGTCATTTCAACAGTAGGGGAGGAAAGTCATTTCAACAGTAGTGGAGGAAAGTCATTTCAACAGTAGGGGAGGTAAGTCAACAGTAGGGGAGGAAAGTCATTTCAACAGTAGGGGAGGAAAGTCATTTCAACAGTAGGGGAGGAAAGTCATTTCAACAGTAGGGGAGGAAAGTCATTTCAACAGTAGGGGAGGAAAGTCAACAGTAGGGGAGGAAAGTCAACAGTAGGGGAGGAAAGTCATTTCAACAGTAGGGGAGGAAAGTCATTTCAACAGTAGGGGAGGAAAGTCAACAGTAGGGGAGGAAAGTCATTTCAACAGTAGGGGAGGAAAGTCAACAGTAGGGGAGGAAAGTCAACAGTAGGGGAGGAAAGTCAACAGTAGGGGAGGTAAGTCAACAGTAGGGGAGGAAAGTCAACAGTAGGGGAGGAAAGTCAACAGTAGGGGAGGTAAGTCATTTCAACAGTAGGGGAGGTAAGTCATTTCAACAGTAGGGGAGGAAAGTCATTTCAACAGTAGGGGAGGTAAGTCAACAGTAGGGGAGGAAAGTCAACAGTAGGGGAGGAAAGTCATTTCAACAGTAGGGGAGGAAAGTCAACAGTAGGGGAGGAAAGTCAACAGTAGGGGAGGAAAGTCATTTCAACAGTAGGGGAGGTAAGTCATTTCAACAGTAGGGGAGGAAAGTCATTTCAACAGTAGGGGAGGAAAGTCAACAGTAGGGGAGGTAAGTCAACAGTAGGGGAGGAAAGTCAACAGTAGGGGAGGAAAGTCAACAGTAGGGGAGGTAAGTCATTTCAACAGTAGGGGAGGTAAGTCATTTCAACAGCAGGGGAGGTAAGTCATTTCAACAGTAGGGGAGGTAAGTCAACAGTAGGGGAGGAAAGTCAACAGTAGGGGAGGTAAGTCATTTCAACAGTAGGGGAGGTAAGTCATTTCAACAGTAGGGGAGGAAAGTCATTTCAACAGTAGGGGAGGAAAGTCAACAGTAGGGGAGGTAAGTCATTTCAACAGTAGGGGAGGTAAGTCATTTCAACAGTAGGGGAGGAAAGTCATTTCAACAGTAGGGGAGGTAAGTCATTTCAACAGTAGGGGAGGAAAGTCAACAGTAGGGGAGGAAAGTCATTTCAACAGTAGGGGAGGAAAGTCATTTCAACAGTAGGGGAGGAAAGTCAACAGTAGGGGAGGAAAGTCAACAGTAGGGGAGGAAAGTCAACAGTAGGGGAGGTAAGTCATTTCAACAGTAGGGGAGATAAGTCAACAGTAGGGGAGGAAAGTCAACAGTAGGGGAGGAAAGTCAACAGTTGGGGAGGAAAGTCAACAGTAGGGGAGGAAAGTCATTTCAACAGTAGGGGAGGAAAGTCAACAGTAGGGGAGGAAAGTCATTTCAACAGTAGGGGAGGTAAGTCAACAGTAGGGGAGGAAAGTCAACAGTAGGGGAGGAAAGTCAACAGTAGGGGAGGTAAGTCATTTCAACAGTAGGGGAGGAAAGTCATTTCAACAGTAGGGGAGGTAAGTCATTTCAACAGTAGGGGAGGTAAGTCAACAGTAGGGGAGGAAAGTCAACAGTAGGGGAGGTAAGTCATTTCAACAGTAGGGGAGGTAAGTCATTTCAACAGTAGGGGAGGAAAGTCATTTCAACAGTAGGGGAGGAAAGTCAACAGTAGGGGAGGTAAGTCATTTCAACAGTAGGGGAGGTAAGTCATTTCAACAGTAGGGGAGGAAAGTCATTTCAACAGTAGGGGAGGAAAGTCATTTCAACAGTAGGGGAGGAAAGTCATTTCAACAGTAGGGGAGGAAAGTCATTTCAACAGTAGGGGAGGTAAGTCATTTCAACAGTAGGGGAGGTAAGTCATTTCAACAGTAGGGGAGGAAAGTCAACAGTAGGGGAGGTAAGTCAACAGTAGGGGAGGTAAGTCAACAGTAGGGGAGGAAAGTCAACAGTAGGGGAGGTAAGTCATTTCAACAGTAGGGGAGGTAAGTCATTTCAACAATAGGGGAGGAAAGTCAACAGTAGGGGAGGTAAGTCAACAGTAGGGGAGGAAAGTCAACAGTAGGGGAGGTAAGTCATTTCAACAGTAGGGGAGGAAAGTCAACAGTAGGGGAGGTAAGTCATTTCAACAGTAGGGGAGGTAAGTCAACAGTAGGGGAGGTAAGTCATTTCAACAGTAGGGGAGGTAAGTCATTTCAACAGTAGGGGAGGAAAGTCAACAGTAGGGGAGGTAAGTCATTTCAACAGTAGGGGAGGTAAGTCAACAGTAGGGGAGGAAAGTCAACAGTAGGGGAGGAAAGTCAACAGTAGGGGAGGTAAGTAATTTCAACAGTAGGGGAGGTAAGTCAACAGTAGGGGAGGAAAGTCAACAGTAGGGGAGGAAAGTCAACAGGTCAACAGTAGGGGAGGTAAGTCATTTCAACAGTAGGGGAGGAAAGTCATTTCAACAGTAGGGGAGGTAAGTCATTTCAACAGTAGGGGAGGAAAGTCATTTCAACAGTAGGGGAGGTAAGTCAACAGTAGGGGAGGTAAGTCATTTCAACAGTAGGGGAGGAAAGTCAACAGTAGGGGAGGTAAGTCATTTCAACAGTAGGGGAGGAAAGTCATTTCAACAGTAGGGGAGGTAAGTCATTTCAACAGTAGGGGAGGAAAGTCATTTCAACAGTAGGGGAGGTAAGTCAACAGTAGGGGAGGTAAGTCATTTCAACAGTAGGGGAGGTAAGTCAACAGTAGGGGAGGAAAGTCAAGTTTGAACTATGACTAGACAGTACCTTGATACCCAAGAAGAAATCAAGCTTACCTTGTTACCCTGTGCATTGAAAAGTACTTTGGTGACTTTAGGAAAGGAACCAGATTGTCTCAGTGTGGTGATAGGCTGGCCATGGCCCCACTCCCACAGGCGCACCGCCCCATCAGCACCCCCAGTCAAGTCTTAAAATTGATGGGAGATAAAGTCAACATGGGATGGTGGTGAGATAAACTTAGTCAACATGGGATGGTGGTGAGATAAACTTAGTCAACATGGGATGGTGGTGAGATAAACTTAGTCAACATGGGATGGTGGTGAGATAAACTTAGTCAACATGGGATGGTGGTGAGATAAACTTAGTCAACATGGGATGGTGGTGAGATAAACTTAGTCAACATGGGATGGTGGTGAGATAAACTTTGTCAACATGCGATGGTGGTGAGATAAACTTAGTCAACATGGGATGGTGGTGAGATAAACTTAGTCAACATGCGATGGTGGTGAGATAAACTTAGTCAACATCGGATGGTGGTGAGATAAACTTAGTCAACATGGGATGGTGGTGAGATAAACTTAGTTAACATGGGATGGTGGTGAGATAAACTTAGTCAACATGGGATGGTGGTGAGATAAACTTAGTCAACATGGGATGGTGGTGAGATAAACTTAGTCAACATGGGATGGTGGTGAGATAAACTTAGTCAACATGGGATGGTGGTGAGATAAACTTAGTCAACATGGGATGGTGGTGAGATAAACTTAGTCAACATGGGATGGTGGTGAGATAAACTTAGTCAACATGGGATGGTGGTGAGATAAACTTAGTCAACATGGGATGGTGGTGAGATAAACTTAGTCAACATGGGATGGTGGTGAGATAAACTTAGTCAACATGGGATGGTGGTGAGATAAACTTAGTCAACATGGGATGGTGGTGAGATAAACTTAGTCAACATGGGATGGTGGTGAGATAAACTTAGTCAACATGGGATGGTGGTGAGATAAACTTAGTCAACATGGGATGGTGGTGAGATAAACTTAGTCAACATGCGATGGTGGTGAGATAAACTTAGTCAACATGGGATGGTGGTGAGATAAACTTAGTCAACATGGGATGGTGGTGAGATAATGAACTTACAGTGAGGTAACACTGGATGAGAGCCTATTCGTCTGACACCCATCACAGGTCTTCTAAGTATCTGAGATGACAAATTTCATTTTTTTTAAAGATCCAACACTGTAAGTTACTGAAAGCCTGACACACTTATTATGTTCAAAAACCTATGTTAGTCTTAGCCCTAAACTTGCCAAACATTATGTTCAAAAACCTATGTTAGTCTTAGCCCTAAACTTGCCAAACATTATGTTCAAAAACCTATGTTAGTCTTAGCCCTAAACTTGCCAAACATTATTTTCAAAAACCTATGTTAGTCTTAACCCTAAACTTTAAAAATTGTTATATACTGCTCCCCCCCCCCCCCCCCCCACCATACAATCACTCACTCAAAATTGTTTGGGAGTGAAAAATATTAACAGAATACCATTCTTTCAACACTTATTATCTAAAATAGCTACAAACAATGAGTACACAGTTCTATTTTTCAACACTGATTCTCTAAAATCTACCAGTCTACACATTTATTTCTTATCTTTCAAAACCAGTTATCTAAAAATACACTCATTCAATGGTACATTGTAAGACATGCTTAGAAAATGTGTTCTAAGACTACACGATTTAATGAACACATAATATGTGAAGAGAAGAAATAACAGAAGAAAGGAAATTACTGGGGTTATCTTCATGGTTGTACCTAACCCAAGGCTGTACCTAACCCTAACCCAAGGCTATACCTAACCCTAACCCAAGGCTATACCTAACCCTAACTCAAGGCTGTACCTAACCCTAACCCAAGGCTGTACCTAACCCAAGGCTGTACCTAACCCTAACCCAAGGCTGTACCTAACCCTAACCCAAGGCTGTACCTAACCCTAACCCAAGGCTGTACCTAACCCTAACCCAAGGCTGTACCTAACCCTAACCCAAGGCTGTACCTAACCCTAACCCAAGGCTGTACCTAACACTAACCCAAGGCTGTACCTAACACTAACCCAAGGCTGTACCTAACCCTAACCCAAGGCTGTACCTAACCCTAACCCAAGGCTGTATCTAACCCAAGGCTGTACCTAACCCTAACCCAAGGCTGTACCTAACCCTAACCCAAGGCTGTATCTAACCCAAGGCTGTACCTAACCCAAGGCTGTACCTAACCCAAGGCTGTACCTAACCCTAACCCAAGGCTGTATCTAACCCAAGGCTGTACCTAACCCTAACCCAAGGCTGTACCTAACCCTAACCCAAGGCTGTACCTAACCCTAACCCAAGGCTGTACCTAACCCTAACCCAAGGCTGTACCTAACCCAAGGCTGTACCTAACCCTAACCCAAGGCTGTATCTAACCCAAGGCTGTACCTAACCCAAGGCTGTACCTAACCCTAACCCAAGGCTGTATCTAACCCAAGGCTGTACCTAACCCAAGGCTGTACCTAACACTAACCCAAGGCTGTACCTAACACTAACCCAAGGCTGTACCTAACCCAAGGCTGTACCTAACCCTAACCCAAGGCTGTACCTAACCCTAACCCAAGGCTGTACCTAACCCTAACCCAAGGCTGTACCTAACCCTAACCCAAGGCTGTACCTAACCCTAACCCAAGGCTGTACCTAACACTAACCCAAGGCTGTACCTAACACTAACCCAAGGCTGTACCTAACCCTAACCCAAGGCTGTACCTAACACTAACCCAAGGCTGTACCTAACCCTAACCCAAGGCTGTACCTAACCCTCACCCAAGGCTGTACCTAACCCAAAGCTGTACCTAACCCTAACCCAAGGCTGTACCTAACTCTAACCCAAGGCTGTACCTAACCCAAGGCTGTACCTAACCCAAGGCTGTACCTAACCCTAACCCAAGGCTATACTTAACCCTTACCTATATATATATATATATATATATATATATATATATATATATATATATATATATATATATATATATATATATATATATATATATATATATATATATAGGTCTATAGTTCAAAATATCAGACATACAAAAAGAGAAAAATTTGACAACTGTTAATTAATTGTGACACAGCTATATACCGCTACAAATAGAAAACAAGTTAATTAAAAAGTCTAGTGACAATTTTAGCGCAATTTCCTTATGTTATCTAAAAATAGCTCTGTCGTAGCGTAAATCAAGAGCAGGGTTAGTAAAACCATTGGTTAGTTATTAAAACGTTTTTTATTAAATAAACCTAACTACTAACTAAACTAAGCACCTTGAAATCAAGAGGAGGGTTATTAAAACCATTGGTTAGTTGAACTTGATTATCAACATGATAATCATTAAGATGATAGATCTCTACTTCCGGCATGTATATACAACCACACCACACGCGTCATCACGTTCAATAGATGCGTCATCGCGTTCCATGGCTGCGCCATCACGTTCAGTAGGCGCGCAAGTTAATTAAAAAAGTCTAGTGACATTTATGCGCAATTTCCTTATGTTATCTAAAAATAGCTCTGACGTATAATGATGGGGTGCGTTCAAGCTAGAAGAGCGATCGGTTTGTAGGTGTTTATGTAATTTTAAAATTTGTGACCGAACCAGAGGATATTTTTGAAAACTTTCTTCGGCAATATTGTTCTAAATTATGGCAGGAATCGATTGGTACATGTTTCAAGTCGCTAAGTGGTCTGGTTGCCGAGATATGGGCCAAAAACTGCATTTTTTCGAGGTTTTTTGGCTTTTACGGGAAATACATGAAAGAAACCCGGAATTTTTATGGCCTATGCTCATTCTCGTAACTTGCTTAACATAATTGCTTTTGGAACTAGTCATCGATATTGCTTCGTTGAGGAGGAGATACGACTTAAAGCCCGGACACACATTCATCCATTCATTCATCCATCCATCCATTCCCAGAAATGACGAGTTAATAAACGCAATTCTCCAGAATGGAAATTGCGCTAAAAATAATAAGAATAAACTGCTTATGATTTTTTTGCCTAATTGAGCCATGTATACTATATTTTGAATCATGTATATTATAATCTCTAAGTGAAAAGTATATGAAATTATGTTTATAGCTTAACCAATCATTTTAACTCTAGAAGTTTTTTGGTGAGTCAATCTCAGGGGTTTAGTGAGTCAATCTCAGGGGTTTGGTGAGTCAATCTCAGGGGTTTAGTGAGTCAATCTCAGGGGTTTGGTGAGTCAATCTCAGGGGTTTAGTGAGTCAATCTCAGGGGTTTGGTGAGTCAATCTCAGGGGTTTAGTGAGTCAATCTCAGGGGTTTAGTGAGTCAATCTCAGGGGTTTGGTGAGTCAATCTCAGGGGTTTAGTGAGTCAATCTCAGGGGTTTAGTGAGTCAATCTCAGGGGTTTAGTGAGTCAATCTCAGGGGTTTGGTGAGTCAATCTCAGGGGTTTGGTGAGTCAATCTCAGGGGTTTGGTGAGTCAATCTCAGGGGTTTAGTGAGTCAATCTCAGGGGTTTAGTGAGTCAATCTCAGGGGTTTGGTGAGTCAATCTCAGGGGTTTGGTGAGTCAATCTCAGGGGTTTAGTGAGTCAATCTCAGGGGTTTGGTGAGTCAATCTCAGGGGTTTAGTGAGTCAATCTCAGGGGTTTGGTGAGTCAATCTCAGGGGGTTTGGTGAGTCAATCTCAGGGGTTTAGTGAGTCAATCTCAGGGGTTTGGTGAGTCAATCTCAGGGGTTTAGTGAGTCAATCTCAGGGGTTTGGCCTAGGTCTAGACACAAACCAGACTCATATGATTTACAATGGGATACAAGTACTAAGAAGAATTCAATACGCATATGAAACTGGTGGGGTTTTGATATCTTAAAAAAGGTTCAGAACCACCAAATTTTATAATTTATTAATTTAACAGTTAAGGCTTACAATTATTAGGTCACAAATAATTTAAAAACAATAAAACTTGTTAACCTATACATTATACACGCTAGACTAACAAAAAGTATAACTTGTTAACCTATAAATTATAAATCCTAGACTAACAAGCAGTATAGTTTATTAAACCAATTTTAAAAAATATTGGAAACTTAAAATATGATGAAGTCATAAGAAAAAAAAATCTAAAAAAAGTACTGGTACACAGAGGTCCTTTATGTACTGGTACACACAGGTCCTTTATGTACTGGTACATAGAGGTCCTTTATGTACTGGTACACACAGGTCCTTTATGTACTGGTACACAGAGGTCCTTTATGTACTGGTACACAGAGGTCCTTTATGTACTGGTACACAGAGGTCCTTTATGTACTGGTACACAGAGGTCCTTTATGTACTGGTACACAGAGGTCCTTTATGTACTGGTACACAGAGGTCCTTTATGTACTGGTACATAGAGGTCCTTTATGTACTGGTACACAGAGGTCCTTTATGTACTGGTACACAGAGGTCCTTTATGTACTGGTACATAGAGGTCCTTTATGTACTGGTACACAGAGGTCCTTTATGTACTGGTACACAGAGGTCCTTTATGTACTGGTACACAGAGGTCCTTTATGTACTGGTACACAGAGGTCCTTTATGTACTGGTACACACAGGTCCTTTATGTACTGGTACACAGAGGTCCTTTATGTACTGGTACACAGAGGTCCTTTATGTACTGGTACATAGAGGTCCTTTATGTACTGGTACACAGAGGTCCTTTATGTACTGGTACACAGAGGTCCTTTATGTACTGGTACACACAGGTCCTTTATGTACTGGTACACACAGGTCCTTTATGTACTGGTACACAGAGGTCCTTTATGTACTGGTACACACAGGTCCTTTATGTACTGGTACACAGAGGTCCTTTATGTACTGGTACACAGAGGTCCTTTATGTACTGGTACACAAAGGTCCTTTATGTACTGGTACATAGAGGTCCTTTATGTACTGGTACACAGAGGTCCTTTATGTACTGGTACATAGAGGTCCTTTATGTACTGGTACACAGAGGTCCTTTATGTACTGGTACATAGAGGTCCTTTATGTACTGGTACACAGAGGTCCTTTATGTACTGGTACACAGAGGTCCTTTATGTACTGGTACACAGAGGTCCTTTATGTACTGGTACACAGAGGTCCTTTATGTACTGGTACACAGAGGTCCTTTATGTACTGGTACACACAGGTCCTTTATGTTCTGGTACACAGAGGTCCTTTATGTACTGGTACACACAGGTCCTTTATGTACTGGTACACAGAGGTCCTTTATGTACTGGTACACACAGGTCCTTTATGTACTGGTACACAGAGGTCCTTTATGTACTGGTACACACAGGTCCTTTATGTACTGGTACACAGAGGTCCTTTATGTACTGTTAGATTGATGACCTATAAGTACTGGTACACAGAGGTCCTTTATGTACTGGTACACAGAGGTCCTTTATGTACTGGTACACAGAGGTCCTTTATGTACTGGTACACAGAGGTCCTTTATGTACTGGTACATAGAGGTCCTTTATGTACTGGTACACACAGGTCCTTTATGTACTGGTACACACAGGTCCTTTATGTACTGGTACACAGAGGTCCTTTATGTACTGGTACACAGAGGTCCTTTATGTACTGGTACACAGAGGTCCTTTATGTACTGGTACACAGAGGTCCTTTATGTACTGGTACACAGAGGTCCTTTATGTACTGGTACACAGAGGTCCTTTATGTGAGCAGAGAGTGCTTGTGACATGGATACACCTAGAACAACAGGCTGACATGGATTGAAAACAATAGCAACAATCCAGGCACGTCCCAACACTGGCTACATCTGTCTGCTCAAGCCCCTAGCCTACAAAAATATATGGGCTACTCTGGTGGAGTTGACAAGTGATGTCTGGTGGAGTTGACAAGTGATGTGTGCTGTCTGGTGGAGTTGACAAGTGATGTGTGCTGTCTGGTGGAGTTGACAAGTGATGTGTGCTGTCTAATGAAGACAAGTGATGTGTGCTGTCTGGTGGAGTTGACAAGTGATGTCTGCTGTCTGGTGGAGTTGACAAGTGATGTGTGCTGTCTGGTGGAGTTGACAAGTGATGTGTGCTGTCTGGTGGAGTTGACAAGTGATGTGTGCTGTCTGGTGGAGTTGACAAGTGATGTGTGCTGTCTGGTGGAGTTGACAAGTGATGTGTGCTGTCTAGTGGAGACAAGTGATGTGTGCTGTCTGGTGGAGTTGACAAGTGATGTGTGCTGTCTGGTGGAGTTGACAAGTGATGTGTGCTGTCTGGTGGAGTTGACAAGTGATGTGTGCTGTCTGGTGGAGTTGACAAGTGATGTGTGCTGTCTGGTGGAGTTGACAAGTGATGTGTGCTGTCTGGTGGAGTTGACAAGTGATGTGTGCTGTCTAGTGTGCTGTCTGGTGGAGTTGACAAGTGATGTGTGCTGTCTGGTGGAGTTGACAAGTGATGTGTGCTGTCTAGTGGAGACAAGTGATGTGTGCTGTCTGGTGGAGTTGACAAGTGATGTGTGCTGTCTGGTGGAGTTGACAAGTGATGTCTGGTGGAGTTGACAAGTGATGTGTGCTGTCTAGTGGAGACAAGTGATGTGTGCTGTCTGGTGGAGTTGACAAGTGATGTGTGCTGTCTGGTGGAGTTGACAAGTGATGTGTGCTGTCTGGTGGAGTTGACAAGTGATGTGTGCTGTCTAGTGTGCTGTCTGGTGGAGTTGACAAGTGATGTGTGCTGTCTGGTGGAGTTGACAAGTGATGTGTGCTGTCTAGTGTGCTGTCTGGTGGAGTTGACAAGTGATGTGTGCTGTCTGGTGGAGTTGACAAGTGCTGTCTGGTGGAGTTGACAAGTGATGTGTGCTGTCTAGTGTGCTGTCTGGTGGAGTTGACAAGTGATGTGTGCTGTCTGGTGGAGTTGACAAGTGATGTCTGGTGGAGTTGACAAGTGATGTGTGCTGTCTAGTGTGCTGTCTGGTGGAGTTGACAAGTGATGTGTGCTGTCTGGTGGAGTTGACAAGTGATGTCTGGTGGAGTTGACAAGTGATGTGTGCTGTCTGGTGGAGTTGACAAGTGATGTGTGCTGTCTGGTGGAGTTGACAAGTGATGTGTGCTGTCTGGTGGAGTTGACAAGTGATGTGTGCTGTCTGGTGGAGTTGACAAGTGATGTGTGCTGTCTGGTGGAGTTGACAAGTGATGTGTGCTGTCTGGTGGAGTTGACAAGTGCTGTCTGGTGGAGTTGACAAGTGATGTGTGCTGTCTGGTGGAGTTGACAAGTGATGTCTGCTGTCTGGTGGAGTTGACAAGTGATGTGTGCTGTCTGGTGGAGTTGACAAGTGATGTGTGCTGTCTGGTGGAGTTGACAAGTGATGTGTGCTGTCTGGTGGAGTTGACAAGTGATGTGTGCTGTCTGGTGGAGTTGACAAGTGATGTGTGCTGTCTGGTGGAGTTGACTAGTGATGTGTGCTGTCTGGTGGAGTTGACAAGTGATGTGTGCTGTCTGGTGGAGTTGACAAGTGATGTGTGCTCTCTGGTGGAGTGGACAAGTGATGTGTGCTGTCTGGTGGAGTTGACAAGCGATGTGTGCTGTCTGGTGGAGTTGACAAGCGATGTGTGCTGTCTAGTGGAGTTGACAAGTGATGTGTGCTGTCTGGTGGAGTTGACAAGTGATGTGTGCTGTCTGGTGGAGTTGACAAGTGATGTGTGCTGTCTGGTGGAGTTGACAAGTGATGTGTGCTGTCTGGTGGAGTTGACAAGTGATGTGTGCTGTCTGGTGGAGTTGACAAGTGATGTGTGCTGTCTGGTGGAGTTGCCATTGTTTTCTCTAAGCTACACAGTGCCAGCTACAACTTACCATCCTGATGAGCCCCAGCTACAACTTACCATCCTGATGAGCCTCCTACTATGATCAATTACACAGTGATTATAACTAGGATTGTTCACACCTAAGCTACTCAAACTTTTCACCTGTTAGCCCAAGCACAGCATTTCAAGAAAAAAATAAGGAAGGAACAAGAAATGGGTTAATGAAGGTTTTAAAAGGATAAAAAAGCAAAGCATGATAACAACCAATCCTGCAGCTTTTACATGGGCAATACAAGTGACCTCCACCAGGGGGGTTAGTTAGCCATGCATCCGCCATGACAGTAGATGGACAGACAGCCATGACAGTAATGGACGAACAAAACAAATATTGTGCCATCACCTTGGATGCACCTCCAATGCACGATATGAGTCAAGTTAGGTCAAGTTGAACTAAAGTAACACAAGCAGACTATGACCAAGTGTTAGCTTACTTGAGTGGGTACCATTCAAATTGGTCAGAGTTTAGCTATTCAAACATCTTGATCAGATAGTGTGCACAAAGCTTATTATAGCTTGGCTATTCAAACACATCTAGTGTGCACAAGGTACAGTGTTAGTTTGAGTCTGCTACTAAAACATCTGTTGTGTGAACAAAGTGTATCTTAGTTTGGCTATTAAAACAGCTGGTGTGTGTCTTAGTTTGGCTATTAAAACATCTGTAGTATGTACAAAGTATATCTTAATTTGGCTATTAAAACATCTGGTGTGTGTCTTAGTTTGGCTATTAAAACATCTGGTGTGTGTACAGTGTGTTTTAGTTTGGCTATTAAAACATCTGGTGTGTGTCTTAGTTTGGCTATTAAAGCATCTGTTGTATGTACAAAGTATATCTTAGTTTGGCTATTAAAACATCTGGTGTGTGTTTTAGTTTGGCTATTAAAACATCTGTACTAATGTGTAGGGATAAGAAGAAAAGCACAAACAACAAAAGAGGATAAATATAAAAATATCTGGAATATTGCAACTGAATCATAGCACATCTCACCGTTTTTGTATGAGTTCTAGCTTGGTATAAAGGCTGAAATAAAGATAAGATTACCCCAATCAAATAAAAGGGAAGGAAATCTTCTAAGTTTTTTTAGGTTTGGTATAAAGGCTGGAATAAAGGTTGCCCCAATCAAACAAAGGGGAAGGAACTGACTGAAATTTTTAGTGGGCTTAAGCCTGGGCTGCTGCATGGGACTTTTCTTTTTTCAAGTAGACTGAATTTAATTACTTAAAAACTGAATTTTGTTTTGTCATTTGGTAGGTCAGAAGTTAAATGTCAGTATCTCTAGCTGTCATGTAAGCAGGTCTGAACTTAAGACAGCTGTCATGTAAGCAGGCCTGAACTTAAGACAGCTGTCATGTAAGCAGGCCTGAACTTAAGACAGCTGTCATGTAAGCAGGCCTGAACTTAAGACAGCTGTCATGTAAGCAGGCCTGAACTTAAGACAGCTGTCATGTAAGCAGGCCTGAACTTAAGACAGCTGTCATGTAAGCAGACCTGAACTTAAGACAGCTGTCATGTAAGCAGGCCTGAACTTAAGACAGCTGTCATGTAAGCAGGCCTGAACTTAAGACAGCTGTCATGTAAGCAGGCCTGAACTTAAGACAGCTGTCATGTAAGCAGGCCTGAACTTAAGACAGCTGTCATGTAAGCAGACCTGAACTTAAGACAGCTGTCATGTAAGCAGGCCTGAACTTAAGACAGCTGTCATGTAAGCAGGCCTGAACTTAAGACAGCTGTCATGTAAGCAGGCCTGAACTTAAGACAGCTGTCATGTAAGCAGGCCTGAACTTATTAAGTCAACTGTCATGTCATCATGTCATGAGGTAAAAAGCCAAATGCCAGCAAATGCGACTAGAGGGGGAAGCCACTCCACCAACCAGAGGCCACTACTACCAAGAAAGCTTAATGATGCTGTTAGTGCTTTCAATAGTTCTTCACACAAAGCAGAAAAATGGAATTCATTGTCAAAAGGAAAGCGCTAGTTAAAGAAAGCTGGAAATGTCTAATCATACAAACTTGTGCATGTGTACAAACCAAAGCTTGGACAAGAATGGAAATATTCTCTTGCTGCCATACTTGGTGTAGACTAAAAATTTTTCTTCTAGTTCCAGCATTAGTCAGCTGAACAGGTGAGGTAGAGCCACACCCCTAAGAGAGCCAAGAGGAAGAAGGGTCGTCACTTACCACAGTGGAGCCCCGCCCTGTCTGCAGGTTGAACTGGCTGGAACTGGGGGAGGGCATGTAGGAGGTGCTGGGTGTCTGGGTGCCACTCATGGGCTGCAGGGTGTCCATTGGCGTCTGGACCACCAGGAAGTCTGGGTTCTCTGAGCCTGGGTTGGGGCTAGACATAGACAGAGGTACAGCGTCAACGTTCTGACACAGATACAACATTCTGACACAGATACAACATTCTGACACAGGTACAACATTCTGACACAGGTACAACTCTGACACAGATACAACATTCTGACACAGATACAACATTCTGACACAGATACAACATTCTGACACAGATACAACATTCTGACACAGATACAACATTCTGACACAGGTACAACATTCTGACACAGATACAACATTCTGACACAGGTACAACATTCTGACACAGATACAACATTCTGACACAGATACAACATTCTGAAGCAGCACAAGACAGTAACAAACTCAGGTTAACCAGTTCACATTTTTGTTAAATTAAATTTAAATGATTTTCTCATTACATAAATAGATTGTTCAACGCAATAGTTTACTACAGAGGACCATTTCATTGAATCCCCCATCTTGTGTTACTGGCATTGAAATGAAAATTATGTTTAGCAAACAGCACACTGAAATAATGACAAACCAGAAGCTATCTGGCACAACTGCACAGACTAAATTATAGTTCCAGTTAAAATTGGCCATGACATTAAAACAAGTCCCAGTTAAAATTGGCCATGACATTAAAAAAAGTCCCAGTTAAAATTGGCCATGACATTAAAACAAGTCCCAGTTAAAATTGGCCATGACATTAAAACAAGTCCCAGTTAAAATTGGCCATGACATTAAAACAAGTCCCAGTTAAAATTGGCCATGACATTAGAACAAGTCCAGTTAAAATTGGCCATGACATTAGAACAAGTCCAGTTAAAATTGGCTCTTCTTTTAGCTTGATGTAAATGAACATTTGATTTCATTTCTTAAAGTTTGTTAGTAAAGCTGTGATAGGGTTACAAGCTAGACTGATCCAGCAGTAGAGATGTTATTAAAACCTGCAGCATTAGTGCCATACAAGGTAAAGAATAGACATGCTTGTTAGTGTTACCTCCCTTGTATTATGTATATGTTAGTGATGTCCCTTGAGTGTGTAATCTCTGTGTAGTGTGTAAGCTGTGTGTTTACATCAGGCTGTACTATGAACCTGATCTATTGATTGTAATTGCTGTCAGAGACTGATCTGTTAAATGAAACTTGATGGCTTCTATTGTTGCCTTCTAAATACTACCAGTTAGTGCTACTGTTTGACCAGTTGAGTAATGGAACAGTTAGTGCTACTGTTTGACCAGTTGAGTAATGGAACAGTTAGTGCTACTGTTTGACCAGTTGAGTAATGGAACAGTTAGTGCTACTGTTTGACCAGTTGAGTAATGGAACAGTTAGTGCTACTGTTTGACCAGTTGAGTAATGGAACAGTTAGTGCTACTGTTTGACCAGTTGAGTAATGGAACAGTTAGTGCTACTGTTTGACCAGTTGAGTAATGGAACAGTTAGTGCAGCTGTTTGACCAGTTGAGTAATGGAACAGTTAGTGCTACTGTTTGATCAGTTGAGTAATGGAACAGTTAGTGCTACTGTTTGACCAGTTGAGTAATGGAACAGTTAGTGCTACTGTTTGACCAGTTGAGTAATGGAACAGTTAGTGCTACTGTTTGACCAGTTGAGTAATGGAACAGTTAGTGCTACTGTTTGACCAGTTGAGTAATGGAACAGTTAGTGCTACTGTTTGACCAGTTGAGTAATGGAACAGTTAGTGCTACTGTTTGACCAGTTGAGTAATGGAACAGTTAGTGCTACTGTTTGACCAGTTGAGTAATGGAACAGTTAGTGCTACTGTTTGACCAGTTGAGTAATGGAACAGTTAGTGCTACTGTTTGACCAGTTGAGTAATGGAACAGTTAGTGCTACTGTTTGACCAGTTGAGTAATGGAACAGTTAGTGCTACTGTTTGACCAGTTGAGTAATGGAACAGTTAGTGCAGCTGTTTGACCAGTTGAGTAATGGAACAGTTAGTGCTACTGTTTGATCAGTTGAGTAATGGAACAGTTAGTGCTACTGTTTGACCAGTTGAGTAATGGAACAGTTAGTGCTACTGTTTGACCAGTTGAGTAATGGAACAGTTAGTGCTACTGTTTGACCAGTTGAGTAATGGAACAGTTAGTGCTACTGTTTGACCAGTTGAGTAATGGAACAGTTAGTGCTACTGTTTGACCAGTTGAGTAATGGAACAGTTAGTGCTACTGTTTGACCAGTTGAGTAATGGAACAGTTAGTGCTACTGTTTGACCAGTTGAGTAATGGAACAGTTAGTGCAGCTGTTTGACCAGTTGAGTAATGGAACAGTTAGTGCTACTGTTTGATCAGTTGAGTAATGGAACAGTTAGTGCTACTGTTTGACCAGTTGAGTAATGGAACAGTTAGTGCTACTGTTTGACCAGTTGAGTAATGGAACAGTTAGTGCTACTGTTTGACCAGTTGAGTAATGGAACAGTTAGTGCTACTGTTTGACCAGTTGAGTAATGGAACAGTTAGTGCTACTGTTTGACCAGTTGAGTAATGGAACAGTTAGTGCTACTGTTTGACCAGTTGAGTAATGGAACAGTTAGTGCTACTGTTTGACCAGTTGAGTAATGGAACAGTTAGTGCTACTGTTTGACCAGTTGAGTAATGGAACAGTTAGTGCTACTGTTTGACCAGTTGAGTAATGGAACAGTTAGTGCTACTGTTTGACCAGTTGAGTAATGGAACAGTTAGTGCTACTGTTTGACCAGTTGAGTAATGGAACAGTTAGTGCAGCTGTTTGACCAGTTGAGTAATGGAACAGTTAGTGCTACTGTTTGATCAGTTGAGTAATGGAACAGTTAGTGCTACTGTTTGACCAGTTGAGTAATGGAACAGTTAGTGCTACTGTTTGACCAGTTGAGTAATGGAACAGTTAGTGCTACTGTTTGACCAGTTGAGTAATGGAACAGTTAGTGCTACTGTTTGACCAGTTGAGTAATGGAACAGTTAGTGCTACTGTTTGACCAGTTGAGTAATGGAACAGTTAGTGCTACTGTTTGACCAGTTGAGTAATGGAACAGTTAGTGCTACTGTTTGACCAGTTGAGTAATGGAACAGTTAGTGCTACTGTTTGACCAGTTGAGTAATGGAACAGTTAGTGCTACTGTTTGACCAGTTGAGTAATGGAACAGTTAGTGCTGCTGTTTCATGCTTGAGTTACTTTGATTACATCATAGGGTATGGGTGTATACACAGTTAACCATGCAGTTAAAGGTAAGAAGTTCAGAGCCTAACAGCCAAAGGTAGGGAGCTCAGAATTCAGTTTGACGTTAGGTGGTCAACAGTTCAACAGCCAAAGGTATTGAGTTAAAAAAAGAATGAGTGAAAGAATGTAATCAATCCAGAGACCCACACTAAGTTACAGCCAAACACTTGAAGTTCTAGTGTAAAACAATCCAGAGACCCACACTAAGTTACAGCCAAACACTTGAAGTTCTAGTGTAAAACAATCCAGAGACCCACACTAAGTTACAGCCAAACCACTTCAAGTTCTAGTGTAAAACAATCCAGAGACCCACACTAAGTTACAGCCAAACACTTGAAGTTCTAGTGTAAAACAATCCAGAGACCCACACTAAGTTACAGCCAAACCACTTCAAGTTCTAGTGTAAAACAATCCAGAGACCCACACTAAGTTACAGCCAAACACTTGAAGTTCTAGTGTAAAACAATCCAGAGACCCTCACTAAGTTACAGCCAAACCACCTGAAGTTCTAGTGTAAAACAATCCAGAGACCCACACTAAGTTACAGCCAAACCACTTCAAGTTCTAGTGTAAAACAATCCAGAGACCCACACTAAGTTACAGCCAAACCACTTCAAGTTCTAGTGTAAAACAATCCAGAGACCCACACTAAGTTACAGCCAAACCACCTGAAGTTCTAGTGTAAAACAATCCAGAGACCCACACTAAGTTACAGCCAAACCACTTCAAGTTCTAGTGTAAAACAATCCAGAGACCCACACTAAGTTACAGCCAAACACTTGAAGTTCTAGTGTAAAACAATCCAGAGACCCACACTAAGTTACAGCCAAACCACTTCAAGTTCTAGTGTAAAACAATCCAGAGACCCACACTAAGTTACAGCCAAACACTTGAAGTTCTAGTGTAAAACAATCCAGAGACCCTCACTAAGTTACAGCCAAACCACCTGAAGTTCTAGTGTAAAACAATCCAGAGACCCACACTAAGTTACAGCCAAACCACTTCAAGTTCTAGTGTAAAACAATCCAGAGACCCACACTAAGTTACAGCCAAACCACTTCAAGTTCTAGTGTAAAACAATCCAGAGACCCACACTAAGTTACAGCCAAACCACCTGAAGTTCTAGTGTAAAACAATCCAGAGACCCACACTAAGTTACAGCCAAACCACTTCAAGTTCTAGTGTAAAACAATCCAGAGACCCACACTAAGTTACAGCCAAACCACTTCAAGTTCTAGTGTAAAACAAAAGCTCAGTTACTTACAAAATCCTGCACAGCAACCACAACACAATGATGGAAAGGGAGAAGTGATCATTTGACAAGCACATACAAGAAACACTTTGTTACAGGATTTTATTATGGGACATTTTATTATGGGACATTTTATTATGGGACATTTTATTATGGGACATTTTATTATGGGACATTTTATTATGGGACATTTTATTATGGGACATTTTATTATGGGACATTTTATTATGGGACATTTTATTATGGGACATTTTATTATGGGACATTTTATTATGGGACATTTTATTATGGGACATTTTATTATGGGACAGCCCAGAAGCTCTGGTGCTAGGTGAACCTGCTGACCTGTGTGTTAGCTTACAACAGTGCTCACATAGAAGCTAGCTAACATCCCTAGCTAACACCAGGTACCCACCAGAGCTGAGAGGACTCAAGGCTAACCAACCAAACATATACATCACATATTTTGATATTTTGTAAGTGTTAGTTTCATTTAAGTTAAATGGTTGCAGTAAATCTGTGCATGTAAGCTAATTATATATCAACGTCAAGGATATATTACAATAAACAAATGAGAATTTCAATTTAGAAAACCATTACAATCTGATTGTAAAGAAATTAAAATGCAGAGTTTATAATAAGTGTCAGAAAAGTCAGTCTTAGATAACTAACATCATACACACAATTCATTTAAGTCAGTCTTTGATAACTAACATCTCAATATCATACACACAATTCATTTAAGTCAGTCTTTGATAACTTACTTCTTTAACATCTCAATGTCGTATTCATTTTCATCCTCCAACCATACTGGTGGCTGCAGCAAGTAGCCGATGTCTAATTCAACAATTTCTTTTTGTGTAGCTAAGGTCAGCAGGTTGGTGTTAGCCTGGGAAAATTGAAGGAAAATCTCAACCATTCGCCGTGACGCTATTTATCTCATCCATTCATGTCATAGGAACCCAATGAATGGCATCAAGTCATACAATAAATCTTTCTTTAGGGAACCCAATGAATGGCATCAAGTCATACAATAAATCTTTCTTTAGGGAACCCAATGAATGGCATCAAGTCATACAATAAATCTTTCTTTAGGGAACCCAATGAATGGCATCAAGTCATACAATAAATCTTTCTTTAGGGAACCCAATGAATGGCACCAAGTCATACAATAAATCTTTCTTTAGGGAACCCAATGAATGGCAAGTCATACAATAAATCTTTCTTTAGGGAACCCAATGAATGGCACCAAGTCATACAATAAATCTTTCTTTAGGGAACCCAATGAATGGCAAGTCATACAATAAATCTTTCTTTAGGGAACCCAATGAATGGCACCAAGTCATACAATAAATCTTTCTTTAGGGAACCCAATGAATGGCATCAAGTCATACAATAAATCTTTCTTTAGGGAACCCAATGAATGGCAAGTCATACAATAAATCTTTCTTTAGGGAACCCAATGAATGGCATCAAGTCATACAATAAATCTTGAAATGACTGGCAAAAGAAAACAACGGCACCTGGTTAATGGCAAACGATGTAATGATATCTTGTTCTTTGTGGATAATTTTCATTGGATCTCTGATTTGTTGTTCATTGTCACTGCTAGATGTTCTCATGGAGGCCATCTGAGGCGTTGGGTGAAAACAAATTTAGTTTACGCATCTAATTTAATTCATAGTAAATAGCTAATTGAGTTGACAGTAAACATTTAATTTAGTTGACAGTAAACATCTAATTGAGTTGACAGTAAACATCTTATTGAGTTAACAATACACATCTAATCTATTGAGTTGACAGTAAAAATGTAACAGAAAGAACTAACTTCACTATCCTCTGGTTCCTTCTTCCTTTTGTAAACAAATCTGAGGAAAATTTCCTTCAGGTTTTCCTGTTGTAGCAAGTAGAACCAGAGTCTTCTGATGGGGAGAGTCGAGCGGTTGGAGCTGAAAATATTTCATTTAAAAAAAAAAAAAGCTTTACATGGTCGTCCATAAACTGATTCAATATTTGATCTATGGACTTATGACCATTGTATTTTGGGTGGACTCAAGACCATTGTATTTTGGGTGGACTCATGACCATTTTGGGTACGGTCAAAACAAAACTGACATGGACTTAATGGAGGCCATAACTCACATGAATGGGCCGTTATACAAAACTCACATGAATGGGCCGTTATACAAAACTCACATGAATGGGATGTTATACAAAACTCACATGAATGGGATGTTATACAAAACTCACATGAATGGGCCGTTATACAAAACTCACATGAATGGGATGTTATACAAAACTCACATGAATGGGCCGTTATACAAAACTCACATGAATGGGCTGTTATACAAAACTCACATGAATGGGCCGTTATACAAAACTGACATGAATGGGCTGTTATACAAAACTCACATGAATGGGCCATTATACAAAACTCACATGAATGGGATGTTATACAAAACTCACATGAATGGGCCGTTATACAAAACTGACATGAATGGGCCGTTATACAAAACTCACATGAATGGGCCATTATACAAAACTCACATGTATGGGCCGTTATACAAAACTCATGAATGGGCCGTTATACAAAACACATGAATGGGCTGTTATACAAAACACATGAATGGGCCGTTATACAAAACTGACATGAATGGGCTGTTATACAAAACTCACATGAATGGGCCGTTATACAAAACTCACATGAATGGGATGTTATACAAAACTCACATGAATGGGATGTTATACAAAACTCACATGAATGGGCCGTTATACAAAACTCACATGAATGGGATGTTATACAAAACTCACATGAATGGGCCATTATACAAAACTCACATGAATGGGATGTTATACAAAACTCACATGAATGGGCCGTTATACAAAACTGACATGAATGGGCCGTTATACAAAACTCACATGAATGGGCCATTATACAAAACTCACATGTATGGGCCGTTATACAAAACTCATGAATGGGCCGTTATACAAAACACATGAATGGGCTGTTATACAAAACACATGAATGGGCCGTTATACAAAACTGACATGAATGGGCTGTTATACAAAACTCACATGAATGGGCCGTTATACAAAACTCACATGAATGGGCCGTTATACAAAACTCATGAATGGGCCGTTATACAAAACATACATGAATGGGCTGTTATACAAAACTCACATGAATGGGCCGTTATACAAAACTCACATGAATGGGCCGTTATACAAAACTCATGAATGGGCCGTTATACAAAACTGACATGAATGGGCTGTTATACAAAACTCACATGAATGGGCCGTTATACAAAACTCACATGAATGGGCCGTTATACAAAACTGACATGAATGGGCCGTTATACAAAACTCATGAATGGGCCGTTATACAAAACTCACATGAATGGGCCGTTATACAAAACTGACATGAATGGGCTGTTATACAAAACTCACATGAATGGGCCGTTATACAAAACTCACATGAATGGGCCGTTATACAAAACTCATGAATGGGCCGTTATACAAAACTGACATGAATGGGCCGTTATACAAAACTCACATGAATGGGCTGTTATACAAAACTCACATGAATGGGCCGTTATACAAAACTCACATGAATGGGCTGTTATACAAAACTCACATGAATGGGCCGTTATACAAAACTCACATGAATGGGCCGTTATACAAAACTCATGAATGGGCCGTTATACAAAACTGACATGAATGGGCTGTTATACAAAACTCACATGAATGGGCCGTTATACAAAACTCATGAATGGGCCGTTATACAAAACTGACATGAATGGGATGTTATACAAAACTGACATGAATGGGATGTTATACAAAACTCACATGAATGGGCTGTTATACAAAACTCACATGAATGGGCTGTTATACAAAATTGACATGAATGGGCTGTTATACAAAACTCACATGAATGGGCTGTTGTCTGGGCTGTACAAGGCTTGCAGCTTGGACTGAGGCTGACCATTAGCCAGGTCCCCCATGATGTTGGGGATGTAATTGTCTGGAGCCCCCCCATACTGGTTCAGCTGGGACTGGAGCAGCTGGTCCCACTGTTCCAGGACTTTGATCAGCGCATGCAGTGCTGGGGATGCATTGGGCAGCTCTGTCAAAGAGAAACCCAAGCATTTAGCTGTGCTATCAAACAAGTGCTGGAACCTTTTAACTTGCTCCAAGCATCAAGCAGGGGAAACAAACTGAACTTTGCTAGTGAGTAAAGTAACCTGAACTTTGCTAGTGAGTAAAGTAACCTGAACTTTGCTAGTGAGTAAAGTAACCTGAACTTTGCTAGTGAGTAAAGTAACCTGAACTTTGCTAGTGAGTAAAGTAACCTGAACTTTGCTAGTGAGTAAAGTAACCTGAACTTTGCTAGTGAGTAAAGTAACCTGAACTTTGCTAGTGAGTTAAGTAACCTGAACTTTGCTAGTGAGTAAAGTAACCTGAACTTTGCTAGTGAGTAAAGTAACCTGAACTTTGCTAGTGAGTAAAGTAACCTGAACTTTGCTAGTGAGTAAAGTAACCTGAACTTTGCTAGTGAGTAAAGTAACCCACCTGACAGTTCAATGCCAATCTCAGGCAAGTAACCTGAACTTTGCTAGTGAGTAAAGTAACCTGAACTTTGCTAGTGAGTAAAGTAACCCACCTGACAGTTCAATGCCAATCTCAGGCAAGTAACCTGAACTTTGCTAGTGAGTAAAGTAACCCACCTGACAGTTCAATGCCAATCTCAGGCAAGTAACCTGAACTTTGCTAGTGAGTAAAGTAACCTGAACTTTGCTAGTGAGTAAAGTAACCCACCTGACAGTTCAATGCCAATCTCAGGCAAGTAACCTGAACTTTGCTAGTGAGTAAAGTAACCTGAACTTTGCTAGTGAGTAAAGTAACCCACCTGACAGTTCAATGCCAATCTCAGGCAAGTAACCTGAACTTTGCTAGTGAGTAAAGTAACCCACCTGACAGTTCAATGCCAATCTCAGGCAAGTAACCTGAACTTTGCTAGTGAGTAAAGTAACCTGAACTTTGCTAGTGAGTAAAGTAACCCACCTGACAGTTCAATGCCAATCTCAGGCAAGTAACCTGAACTTTGCTAGTGAGTAAAGTAACCCACCTGACAGTTCAATGCCAATCTCAGGCAAGTAACCTGAACTTTGCTAGTGAGTAAAGTAACCTGAACTTTGCTAGTGAGTAAAGTAACCCACCTGACAGTTCAATGCCAATCTCAGGCAAGTAACCTGAACTTTGCTAGTGAGTAAAGTAACCCACCTGACAGTTCAATGCCAATCTCAGGCAAGTAACCTGAACTTTGCTAGTGAGTAAAGTAACCTGAACTTTGCTAGTGAGTAAAGTAACCCACCTGACAGTTCAATGCCAATCTCTGGCAAGAATTTGGAAAGGTTGCTGATGACAGACTTGAGGACAGCATGACGGATGATGCACCAGCTGAAGGAACCTGAGTCACAGTGCTCACTGTTGGCGGCCTTCTTACCTCTGTAAACACAAGAGGGCTTTGTTACATGATTCAAACACATCCTTCTTACAATCTTTGACCATTTCAACCCTATCTTTCTTACAATCTTTGAACGGATCAACCCTATCTTTCTTACAATCTTTGAACGGATCAACCCTATCTTTCTTACAATCTTTGAACGGATCAACCCTATCTTTCTTACAATCTTTGAACGGATCAACCCTATCTTTCTTACAATCTTTGAACGGATCAACCCTATCTTTCTTACAATCTTTGAACGGATCAACCCTATCTTTCTTACAATCTTTGAACGGATCAACCCTATCTTTCTTACAATCTTTGAACGGATCAACCCTATCTTTCTTACAATCTTTGAACGGATCAACCCTATCTTTCTTACAATCTTTGAACGGATTAACCCTATCTTTCTCACAATCATTCTTCTAGGGTGAGTTGGTACAAATGTTTACAGTTGAGTCAGGACCACATAAAAATGTGAGTTGGTACAAATGTTTACAGTTGAGTCAGGACCACATAAAAATGTGAGTTGGTACAAATGTTTACAGTTGAGTCAGGACCACACAAAAATGTGAGTTGGTACAAATGTTTACAGTTGAGTCAGGACCACACAAAAATGTGTCACTCACAGAGAAGTTGGAGGTTTTTTATAAGGAATATCTTCATCATCGTCCTCATCTGTAGATGACCAGTCCTCCTCTGACTCAACAGAATCATCTGAGTCGTAGTCCAAGATGGTGTCAGAAGACACAAATGGCTGTTGATGAAACAATGATGGGGGGAGGGGGGTTTATTGGATTTGCTAATTGAGTGCAATTAGAGGTTTGTAAGTAGCTGTGTCTAGTTTCAGGCAAATGTCATGCTGACCTTGGTCATGAAGTAGTTGACCATGCTTAATTCCGGTGGGATAAACTTCTCCCTGTAAGTTTCCTTGACCTCAATAGGTGAGCTGGTGGGCGGGGCCACCCCACTGCTGGACATGACTTTATAGTTGAAGTTCATTCGGTGCTTGCTGACTTCATCCTGAGACCCTGCTCAAAGAAAACATTCAAACATGACTTCATCCTGAGACCCTGCTCAAAGAAAACATTCAAACATGACTTCATCCTGAGACCCTGCTCAAAGAAAACATTCAAACATGACTTCATCCTGAGACCCTGCTCAAAGAAAACATTCAAACGTGACTTCATCCTGAGACCCTGCTCAAAGAAAACATTCAAACGTGACTTCATCCTGAGACCCTGCTCAAAGAAAACATTCAAACATGACTTCATCCTGAGACCCTGCTCAAAGAAAACATTCAAACATGACTTCATCCTGAGACCCTGCTCAAAGAAAACATTCAAACATGACTTCATCCTGAGACCCTGCTCAAAGAAAACATTCAAACGTGACTTCATCCTGAGACCCTGCTCAAAGAAAACATTCAAACATGACTTCATCGTGAGACCCTGCTCAAAGAAAACATTCAAACATGACTTCATCCTGAGACCCTGCTCAAAGAAAACATTCAAACGTGACTTCATCCTGAGACCCTGCTCAAAGAAAACATTCAAACATGACTTCATCCTGAGACCCTGCTCAAAGAAAACATTCAAACGTGACTTCATCCTGAGACCCTGCTCAAAGAAAACATTCAAACATGACTTCATCCTGAGACCCTGCTCACACCACATACAAAAAAAAAAAATCTTTAAATCTCTTATACATACATTTAACATTTTTAAAAAAAAATTGTTTTTCAAGTTTTTAAAAAACATTTGCTATTTCCCAACAAAATTAAAAAATGTATTCACATCCTTTACAATGTAAAATAATCACATTTTTGTCAAAGTTTTATTGTTATCCAACTGAATAAAAAAATAATATATAACCAAATATTTTGAGGCAACCGCACAGAATAAACATAAAAAATCATTTGAAAAAGTGAGCGGCCCACAAGTGCTTGCCCCCCCCCCCCCCCATACCACTCTATAAAACTGATAACTGAGGCTACTTCCTACTTGGGATAGTTTTCTCTGACTTGATGGCTGTTTTGTTGGCCCCACCAAAGTGAGCGTCCCGCAAGTGCTTGCCCCCCCCCCCCCCCACCCATACCACTCTATAAAACTGATAACTGAGGCTACTTCCTACTTGGGATAGTTTTCTCTGACTTGATGGCTGTTTTGTTGCCCCCACCAAAGAGAGCGGCCCAGGTTCGCCTGTCCAACTTGTTGGCCACCAGCCTGTAGATCATCTGAGGGTCGTACATGCTGAGTGCTGAGACCAGCAGACTTGTGTACACTGCCAGCAGGGACTCTGTCAGCAGCACTGTCAACTTGGGGGCGTCTTCGTCTCTCTCTCTGGCTAACAGAACCTTCAGAGATGCCACACCTGAAAATATGACATTTGTAGAGATGCCACACCTGAAAATATGACATTTGTAGGGATGTGACACCTGAAAATATGACATTTGTAGAGATGCCACACCTGAAAATATGACATTTGTAGGGATGTCACACCTGAAAATGACATTTGTAGAGATGTCACACATGAAAATATGACATCAGTAAAGATGTCACACCTGAGAATATGACATTTGAAGAGATAGCACACCTGAGAATATTTGTTTTAACAAAAGCTCTTTATCCATTAGAATAAGATTGTAATAAGTACCTGGCCACTTCCCCGGGGGTGTGTTGACAACTTCCTCCCCACTGCTGACACTACGCTGACGTATACGCTTGACACCTGCCATCAGATGGCTTGACGGGTAGGAGAACTCAGGGCTAAAACACACAAGTACATCAGTTCAATATTTCAGATCAGAGGGTAGGAGAACTCAGGGCTAAAACACACAAGTACATCAGTTCAATATTTCAGATCAGAGGGTAGGAGAACTCAGGGCTAAAACACACAAGTACATCAGTTCAATATTTCAGATCAGAGGGTAGGAGAACTCAGGGCTAAAACACACAAGTACATCAGTTCAATATTTCAGATCAGAGGGTAGGAGAACTCAGGGCTAAAACACACAAGTACATCAGTTCAATATTTCAGATCAGAGGGTAGGAGAACTCAGGGCTAAAACACACAAGTACATCAGTTCAATATTTCAGATCAGAGGGTAGGAGAACTCAGGGCTAAAACACACAAGTACATCAGTTCAATATTTCAGATCAGAGGGTAGGAGAACTCAGGGCTAAAACACACAAGTACATCAGTTCAATATTTCAGATCAGAGGGTAGGAGAACTCAGGGCTAAAACACACAAGTACATCAGTTCAATATTTCAGATCAGAGGGTAGGAGAACTCAGGGCTAAAACACACAAGTACATCAGTTTAGATCAGAGGGTAGGAGAACTCAGGGCTAAAACACACAAGTACATCAGTTCAATATTTCAGATCAGAGGGTAGGAGAACTCAGGGCTAAAACACACAAGTACATCAGTTCAATATTTCAGATCAGAGGGTAGGAGAACTCAGGGCTAAAACACACAAGTACATCAGTTTAGATCAGAGGGTAGGAGAACTCAGGGCTAAAACACACAAGTACATCAGTTTAGATCAGAGGGTAGGAGAACTCAGGGCTAAAACACACAAGTACATCAGTTCAATATTTCAGATCAGAGGGTAGGAGAACTCAGGGCTAAAACACACAAGTACATCAGTTCAATATTTCAGATCAGAGGGTAGGAGAACTCAGGGCTAAAACACACAAGTACATCAGTTCAATATTTCAGATCAGAGGGTAGGAGAACTCAGAACTAAAACACACAAGTACATCAGTTCAACATTTCAGATCAGAGGGTAGGAGAACTCAGGGCTAAAACACACAAGTACATCAGTTTAGATCAGAGGGTAGGAGAACTCAGGGCTAAAACACACAAGTACATCAGTTCAACATTTCAGATCAGAGGGTAGGAGAACTCAGAACTAAAACACACAAGTACATCAGTTCAACATTTCAGATCAGAGGGTAGGAGAACTCAGGGCTAAAACACACAAGTACATCAGTTCAGATCAGAGGGTAGGAGAACTCAGGGCTAAAACACACAAGTACATCAGCTCAATATTTCAGATCAGAGGGTAGGAGAACTCAGGGCTAAAACACACAAGTACATCAGTTCAATATTTCAGATCAGAGGGTAGGAGAACTCAGGGCTAAAACACACAAGTACATCAGTTTAGATCAGAGGGTAGGAGAACTCAGGGCTAAAACACACAAGTACATCAGTTTAGATCAGAGGGTAGGAGAACTCAGAACTAAAACACACAAGTACATCAGTTCAATATTTCAGATCAGAGGGTAGGAGAACTCAGGGCTAAAGCACACAAGTACATCAGTTCAATATTTCAGATCAGAGGGTAGGAGAACTCAGGGCTAAAACACACAAGTACATCAGTTCAACATTTCAGATCAGAGGGTAGGAGAACTCAGGGCTAAAACACACAAGTACATCAGTTCAATATTTCAGATCAGAGGGTAGGAGAACTCAGGGCTAAAACACACAAGTACATCAGTTTAGATCAGAGGGTAGGAGAACTCAGAACTAAAACACACAAGTACATCAGTTCAATATTTCAGATCAGAGGGTAGGAGAACTCAGGGCTAAAACACACAAGTACATCAGTTCTATATTTCAGATCAGAGGGTAGGAGAACTCAGAACTAAAACACACAAGTACATCAGTTCAACATTTCAGATCAGAGGGTAGGAGAACTCAGGGCTAAAACACACAAGTACATCAGTTTAGATCAGAGGGTAGGAGAACTCAGGGCTAAAACACACAAGTACATCAGTTCAACATTTCAGATCAGAGGGTAGGAGAACTCAGAACTAAAACACACAAGTACATCAGTTCAACATTTCAGATCAGAGGGTAGGAGAACTCAGGGCTAAAACACACAAGTACATCAGTTCAGATCAGAGGGTAGGAGAACTCAGGGCTAAAACACACAAGTACATCAGTTCAACATTTCAGATCAGAGGGTAGGAGAACTCAGGGCTAAAACACACAAGTACATCAGTTCAATATTTCAGATCAGAGGGTAGGAGAACTCAGGGCTAAAACACACAAGTACATCAGTTCAATATTTCAGATCAGAGGGTAGGAGAACTCAGGGCTAAAACACACAAGTACATCAGTTCAATATTTCAGATCAGAGGGTAGGAGAACTCAGGGCTAAAACACACAAGTACATCAGTTTAGATCAGAGGGTAGGAGAACTCAGGGCTAAAACACACAAGTACATCAGTTCAATATTTCAGATCAGAGGGTAGGAGAACTCAGGGCTAAAACACACAAGTACATCAGTTCAATATTTCAGATCAGAGGGTAGGAGAACTCAGGGCTAAAACACACAAGTACATCAGTTCAATATTTCAGATCAGAGGGTAGGAGAACTCAGGGCTAAAACACACAAGTACATCAGTTTAGATCAGAGGGTAGGAGAACTCAGGGCTAAAACACACAAGTACATCAGTTCAATATTTCAGATCAGAGGGTAGGAGAACTCAGGGCTAAAACACACAAGTACATCAGTTCAATATTTCAGATCAGAGGGTAGGAGAACTCAGGGCTAAAACACACAAGTACATCAGTTCAATATTTCAGATCAGAGGGTAGGAGAACTCAGGGCTAAAACACACAAGTACATCAGTTCAATATTTCAGATCAGAGGGTAGGAGAACTCAGGGCTAAAACACTCAAGTACATCAGTTTAGATCAGAGGGTAGGAGAACTCAGGGCTAAAACACACAAGTACATCAGTTCAATATTTCAGATCAGAGGGTAGGAGAACTCAGGGCTAAAACACACAAGTACATCAGTTTAGATCAGAGGGTAGGAGAACTCAGGGCTAAAACACACAAGTACATCAGTTCAATATTTCAGATCAGAGGGTAGGAGAACTCAGGGCTAAAACACACAAGTACATCAGTTCAATATTTCAGATCAGAGGGTAGGAGAACTCAGGGCTAAAACACACAAGTACATCAGTTCAATATTTCAGATCAGAGGGTAGGAGAACTCAGGGCTAAAACACACAAGTACATCAGTTTAGATCAGAGGGTAGGAGAACTCAGGGCTAAAACACACAAGTACATCAGTTTAGATCAGAGGGTAGGAGAACTCAGAACTAAAACACACAAGTACATCAGTTCAATATTTCAGATCAGAGGGTAGGAGAACTCAGGGCTAAAACACACAAGTACATCAGTTCAATATTTCAGATCAGAGGGTAGGAGAACTCAGAACTAAAACACACAAGTACATCAGTTCAACATTTCAGATCAGAGGGTAGGAGAACTCAGGGCTAAAACACACAAGTACATCAGTTCAATATTTCAGATCAGAGGGTAGGAGAACTCAGAGCTAAAACACACAAGTACATCAGTTTAGATCAGAGGGTAGGAGAACTCAGGGCTAAAACACACAAGTACATCACATCAATATTTCAGATCCAAAAGGAGACAGACAAAACTTACTTTATAAAACCATCAATGCCAACATGAGTGACGTCGACATTGAAAGTGTCACTGTCACACAGACTCTGGTAGATGCATGAGGACAGTGCCACTGCCAGGTCCCTGACCGTGCTGACCAGCACAATGTCCGTGTTGATGTCTGGTGGCTGGGCCATCTCAATCACAGCCTGCAACAGGTCCTGTAGTGGTGGACAGTCAGGGTTAAACTTTGGGGGCTGGTGGGGGTTTAACTGTGTGGGCTGGTGAGGGTTAAACTGTGGGGGCTGGTGAGGGTGAAACTGTGGGGGGCTGGTGAGGGTTTAACTGTGTGGGCTGGTGAGGGTTAAACTGTGGGGGCTGGTGAGGGTTTAACTGTGTGGGCTGGTGAGGGTTAAACTGTGGGGGGCTGGTGAGGGTTAAACTGTGTGGGCTGGTGAGGGTTTAACTGTGTGGGCTGGTGAGGGTTAAACTATGGGGGCTGGTGAGGGTTTAACTGTGTGGGCTGGTGAGGGTTAAACTGTGGGGGGCTGGTGAGGGTTAAACTGTGTGGGCTGGTGAGGGTTAAACTGTGGGGGGCTGGTGAGGGTTAAACTGTGTGGGCTGGTGAGGGTTTAACTGTGTGGGCTGGTGAGGGTTAAACTATGGGGGCTGGTGAGGGTTTAACTGTGTGGGCTGGTGAGGGTTAAACTGTGGGGGCTGGTGAGGGTGCAACTGTGGGGGGCTGGTGAGGGTTAAACTGTGTGGGCTGGTGGGGGTTTAACTGTGTGGGCTGGTGAGGGTTAAACTGAATAGATTTTCAATTCTTTAAACATGCCATAATTTATTAATTTATACTGTTATTTCACCTTAGATTTGAACCTAAAGCAGAAATAAAAGGTGACAAAACATAACTTTTTTGTTCCAGTTGTCATAAACAAAAACTATCAAAGGATGAAACATATCCAGAGAATGAAAACACAGATTTTTTCATTGACTGGTTGAGTACAGGCAACACTCATGTGAAAATCTTGTTATGTTAAAGAGCCATAAAGTTTTCTCAAAAAATTATAATTTAATATTTATGTTAACAAAAAAACAAAAATAATTTCCTCTCAATCACAAAATAAAATTAACTTGAAACTACTCCATTTACCCTAGTCGTAAAACTCCACCACACCGCAGAATAATGTCCCCCTCCTCCCGAACAAATACAATTTATATATAAAATATATACTTTACCAGTGTCAGCATTCCCCTCCCTGGAGAATTTAAACCCCCCCACCACCCAAAACAAAAATTTAAAATGCCCCCCCCCCCCCCCCGAAAAAAAGTCTGAACGAAACACTATCTGCATGATAGAGGGAGACTAAATTTTCTGGGGAGGGGGTGGACACTAGTAAAAGTATATTTTTTATATAAATTCAATATCGTTATTGAAGAGCTGCCTGAAAGAAACTCAATATGCTACTTTTTTCAAGCTTAGGAGCAAGATTTAGGGGTATGACTACGACTATATTATGATTATATTTATGACTATATGAATGTGCAGTAACCCAAATGTACCAACATGTGGATCAATTATATCAGTTTAAAATGCTGATTCTGGACAAAAATCTGTTTTCAATTACATTTTTGTTTCCGGTTAAATTTGAAGATGAGGTGGTGATTATGGTTCCGGTTTTGAGAAAACGACAACACTATCAACCTAGCCATTTATCTAGCTAATTAAAATTTTTAATATGCTCACATTTTCAAAGTATACTGATATATATATATATATATATATATATATATATATATATATATATATATATATATATGAATTAAAAACTAATCAAGCACCCAAATACTAAAGGGAAAATACCACCTAGTTACTAAGGTAAAATAAAAAGGTATCAAAAGTCAAGTGTCAAATCACGGATGGTAGGAAAACGTTGGGTGAAATGAATTAATGGCTCAGTAAGTTTCTTATTCAAATGACCAGCTTTATGCATACCCGTATGCTGCTTTACCCTACCCATATGCTGCCCATACATACCTGTATGCTGCCCTACCCTACCTGTATGCTGCCCTACCCTACCCGTATGCTGCCCTACCCTACCTGTATGCTGCCCTACCCTACCCATATGCTGCCCATACATACCTGTATGCTGCCCTACCCTACCCATATGCTGCCCTACCCTACCCGTATGCTGCCCTACCCTACCTGTATGCTGCCCTACCCTACCTGTATGCTGCCCTACCCTACCTGTATGCTGCCCTACCCTACCCGTATGCTGCCCTACCCTACCCGTATGCTGCCCTACCCTACCCGTATGCTGCCCTACCCTACCTGCATGCTGCCCTACCCTACCTGCATGCTGCCCTACCCTACCTGCATGCTGCCCTACCCTACCTGTATGCTGCCCTACCCTACCCGTATGCTGCCCTACCCTACCCGTATGCTGCCCTACCCTACCTGTATGCTGCCCTACCCTACCCGTATGCTGCCCTACCCTACCCGTATGCTGCCCTATCCTACTCGTATGCTGCCCTACCCTACCTGTATGCTGCCCTACCCTACCTGTATGCTGCCCTACCCTACCTGTATGCTGCCCTACCCTACCTGTATGCTGCCCTAACATACCTGTATGCTGCCCTAACATACCTGTATGCTGCCCTAACATACCTGTATGCTGCCCTAACATACCTGTATGCTGCCCTACCCTACCTGTATGCTGCCCTACCCTACCAGTATGCTGCCCTAACATACCAGTATGCTGCCCTACCCTACCTGTATGCTGCCCTACCCTACCAGTATGCTGCCCTACCCTACCAGTATGCTGCCCTACCCTACCTGTATGCTGCCCTACCCTACCCGTATGCTGCCCTACCCTAGCCGTATGCTGCCCTACCCTACCTGTATGCTGCCCTACCCTACCTGTATGCTGCCCTAAAATACCTGTATGCTACCCTAACATACCTGTATGCTGCCCTAACATACCTGTATGCTGCCCTAACATACCTGTATGCAGCCCTAACATACCTGTATGCTGCCCTGCAGGTACTGGATGGGGTCAGCTATGACACTGCGACTGCTGGTAATGCTGGCTGAGAGGAGGGGCAGGGTTGTGGGATAGGGCAATGGTGACAGCAGCTGTTGCTGGGGCCTCTCTTGTTGGAGCTCCTGATGTCAGATACATTCTTGTTTAATTCATGGGTACACACATCTAACCTAGTGTATGTGTACACACATCTAACCTAGTGTATGTGTACACACATCTAACCTAGTGTATGTGTACACACATCTAACCTAGTGTATGTGTACACACATCTAACCTAGTGTATGTGTACACACATCTAACCTAGTGTATGTGTACACACATCTAACCTAGTGTATGTGTACACACATCTAACCTAGTGTATGTGTACACACATCTAACCTAGTGTATGTGTACACACATCTAACCTAGTGTATGTGTACACACATCTAACCTAGTGTATGTGTACACACATCTAACCTAGTGTATGTGTACACACATCTAACCTAGTGTATGTGTACACACATCTAACCTAGTGTATGTGTACACACATCTAACCTAGTGTATGTGTACACACATCTAACCTAGTGTATGTGTACACACATCTAACCTAGTGTATGTGTACATATCTAACCTAGTGTATGTGTACATATCTAACCTAGTGTATGTGTACAAGCCTAGCTAAGGTAACATGCACTATTGCCGTATATCAAGTGAGTTGACTGACCTGCAGCAAGAGCAGGATCTCCATGCGTACTGAGGCCAGGCCGCCACCACCAGAGCCTTGAAGGATGCAGTAGGATGCCAGTGTACGCAGCAGATGCTGGTTGGCCCGCAGCCACGCCTTCCTCCTGGCCACACGGGCCACCTTACTCTGGAGGTCCTGCTTCTCTGCTTTCATCACTTCATACAAAGATGCTTTCCCTACAGAAGCATCAGACCTGATGGAAACAGTTCGACCGCGCTTGGCTGAGCTGAAATAGTCTTCACTCTCATCAAAACTTGGTTCATCTAAGAAACTTTCATCTGCTGTGTGGGATAAAAGAAATTGTCAACACATAGAGGAATATGATACATAGGCTAATGAGTTAGACAATATCCAGTGGGATCCAGTAGGAGACTAGACATTGGGGGGGGGGGGGGGGGGGGGGTGAGATGTAGGAGATTAGACATTGGGGGGGGGGGTGAGATGTAGGAGACAAGATATTGGTGGGTGAGATGTAGGAGACTAGACACTGGGGGGGGGGGGGGCGGTGAGATGTAGGAGACTAGACATTGGAGGGGGGGGAGGTGAGATGTAGGAGACTAGACACTGGTAGGTAAAAAAAATAATCAATTTACTTGTGTCAGGTAGAGGTAAAGGTGTGCTGTCCAAACTTTTCCCATAGTTACATAAAACTCTGAGTATCTCAACCTCCTTCTCAAGCCATATGTACAACTGTTGGCGGAGTTGTCCCCCATCAACTTCAAACCCTGTTGCTAGGTTACCCAGTTCTTCACTCAACACCTGATCAAATGTACACAAACTTTTTTAAGGGGATGACAATAGCTCACCCAAATGTAGCTTTAATGCCCTCATTACAAACACACAAAAAAACCTTATAATTACATGCTTTATCAGCTCAATCTGAAGTGCTCACACAGATTCAAGCTATTCTATTGTGCTACACAGATTCAAGCTATTCTATTGTGCTACACAGATTCAAGCTATTCTATTGTGCTAACACAGATTCAAGCTATTCTATTGTGCTCACACAGATTCAAGCTACTCTATTGTGCTACACAGATTCAAGCTATTCTATTGTGCTACACAGATTCAATCTATTCTATTGTGCTCGCACCGACCTTCCAGCTACTAACAACCACTTTCAACATATTCAAATTTGAGACCACACCCACCTTCAAGTTATAAATACAAGACCACACCCACCTTCAAGTTATAAATACAAGACCACACCCACCTTCAAGTTATAAATACAAGACCACACCCACCTTCAAGTTATAAATACAAGACCACACCCACCCTGAAATGACGATGAAACATTGTAAAAAAAAAAAAAGGAATCACGGTATTGTTGTTTTCGGCTGCCATCATTACCATGACGACGGTAAAAAAAAGTAGGTCAAGCGACAGACTACTTCTAAGCAAGCTATAAAACTTAAGACCCCACCCACCTTCAAGCAAGCTATAAACTTGTACTGTTGTGACATAATATCAATGTGGTTTCCTTCCTCTGTCATTTCCTCATCCTCATCGTGGCCATTGACAAGTGAACTTTGACCTTTAGACTTGACCTCTTCAGATATATTCTCAGCTGGCTCATTCTCGTCCTCATCATCCTCACCTAGTCCCAAGTCCAACTCAAGGTCAAGGTCATCTTGAAAATGGACACGACTTGGAGTGCTCCAGTCCATGGAGACAGCTGTCTGTTTGAGCTGTCCAAAGCTGTCTGCCCTGCTGTCTTGAAGTTCAGCAAATGGGTCAGGAGACTTGAGAGGTGAGAGTTTTTCTTGCGCCATGATGTTCAGGTCCTGGAAGGTTCCAGTGGTGTTGTCTATCTCATAGAGTGACTGGCGCCTCCTGTTGGCGAAGTATGCCATCTTCTGGAGATCCTCCTCCACTAGCAGCGGACACTTGGGCAGCTTTCTCATCACCTCAATGGACACCAGCGGGCAGCCATTCTGGAAGTGAGCATGGGCTGTGGCAAAGAAGAGCTGGCGCTCCGAGGGTGTGACCTGGTCCAAGGTGGTGATGCCCTCAGAGACAAGCGAGTCTGTGTGTGTGAAGCCAGTGATGAGCTTGGTTCGTCTCTTGAGTGAAGAGGATGCCAGGCGTAGACGAGTTATCAGGGGATGTGTCCTTAAATAATTGTAGAAGTTAAACACTTTGGTTATCTGCAACAGCTTGTCCATGTCACCATACTCTGCATGGGATTTACCAACATTTTTCTACAGAAAAAAAAGAAAGCAAAAATTACAATTGCTAGAACAACCAATGATTTCATTTAAATAATAAATACACCCTTTGTAGTGAGTGATCCAAATTTAAAGAAGAAAAATGACCTCAAGCAAAGTTTGGAGGGACGACTCGTAGTCTTTGATTTGCCAGAGTGCCATGGAGCGCAGGAAGGGATCTGGAGAAGCTTTCCTGGCATCATAGTTGTGGCCATCTTTGTCCAGTCCCAGAATTCTCTCATAATACAAGTTTCTGACAGTGTCAGGCAGCAGAGTGTCGTCAAACAGACGACACAAGACAATGGCCAGCTGGACATCTTCTAGTTTGTCCAAAATTACCTGCACAAAAGTAAACATTCAAGTACAACCTGCGCAAAAGGAAACATTCAAGTACAACCTGCACAAAAGTAAACATTCAAGTACAACCTGCGCAAGAGGAAACATTTTCACCCCTGCGCAAAAGGAAACATTTTCACTCAAGTACAGCATGCACAAAAGGAAACATTTTCACTCAAGTACAGCATGTACAAAAGGAAACATTTTCACTCAAGTACAGCATGCACAAAAGGAAATCTTCACTCAAGTACAGCCTGCACAAAAGGAAACATTTTCACTCAAGTACAGCATGCACAAAAGGAAACATTTTCACTCAAGTACAGCATGCACAAAAGGAAACATTTTCACTCAAGTACAGCCTGCACAAAAGGAAATCACTCAAGTACAGCATGCACAAAAGGAAACATTTTCACTCAAGTACAGCCTGCACAAAAGGAAATCACTCAAGTACAGCATGCACAAAAGGAAATCACTCAAGTACAGCCTGCACAAAAGGAAACATTTTCACTCAAGTACAGCCTGCACAAAAGGAAATCACTCAAGTACAGCATGTACAAAAGGAAATCACTCAAGTACAGCCTGCACAAAAGGAAACATTTTCACTCAAGTACAGCCTGCACAAAAGGAAACATTTTCACTCAAGTACAGCATGCACAAAAGGAAATCACTCAAGTACAGCATGTACAAAAGGAAATCACTCAAGTACAGCCTGCACAAAAGGAAACATTTTCACTCAAGTACAGCATGCACAAAAGGAAGTATTTTCACTCAAGTACAGCCTGCACAAAAGGAAATCACTCAAGTACAGCCTGCACAAAAGGAAACATTTTCAATCAAGTACAGCCTGCACAAAAGGAAACATTTTCACTCAAGTACAGCCTGCACAAAAGGAAACATTTTCAATCAAGTACAGCCTGCACAAAAGGAAACATTTTCACTCAAGTACAGCCTGCACAAAAGGAAACATTTTCAATCAAGTACAGCCTGCACAAAAGGAAACATTTTCACTCAAGTACAGCATGCACAAAAGGAAACATTTTCACTCAAGTACAGCCTGCACAAAAGGAAACATTTTCAATCAAGTACAGCCTGCACAAAAGGAAACATTTTCACTCAAGTACAGCCTGCACAAAAGGAAACATTTTCACTCAAGTACAGCATGCACAAAAGGAAATCTTCACTCAAGTACAGCCTGCACAAAAGGAAATCACTCAAGTACAGCATGCATAAAAGGAAACATTTTCACTCAAGTACAGCATGCACAAAAGGAAATATTTTCACTCAAGTACAGCCTGCACAAAAGGAAACATTTTCACTCAAGTACAGCCTGCACAAAAGGAAACATTTTCACTCAAGTACAGCATGCACAAAAGGAAACATTTTCACTCAAGTACAGCATGCACAAAAGGAAATCACTCAAGTACAGCATGCACAAAAGGAAACATTTTCACTCAAGTACAGCCTGCACAAAAGGAAACATTTTCACTCAAGTACAGCCTGCACAAAAGGAAACATTTTCACTCAAGTACAGCCTGCACAAAAGGAAACATTTTCACTCAAGTACAGCATGCACAAAAGGAAATCACTCAAGTACAGCCTGCACAAAAGGAAACATTTTCACTCGAGTACAGCATGCATAAAAGGAAACATTTTCACTCAAGTACAGCATGCACAAAAGGAAATCACTCAAGTACAGCATGCACAAAAGGAAACATTTTCACTCAAGTACAGCCTGCACAAAAGGAAACATTTTCACTCAAGTACAGCCTGCACAAAAGGAAACATTTTCACTCAAGTACAGCCTGCACAAAAGGAAACATTTTCACTCAAGTACAGCATGCACAAAAGGAAACATTTTCACTCAAGTACAGCCTGCACAAAAGTAAATCACTCAAGTACAGCCTGCACAAAAGGAAACATTTTCACTCAAGTACAGCATGCACAAAAGGAAACATTTTCACTCAAGTACAGCCTGCACAAAAGGAAATATTTTCACTCAAGTACAGCCTGCACAAAAGGAAACATTTTCACTCAAGCATTTGAAATGGCCCTGACAAAACAAAAACAGACATGGTGCGCAATTAAAGGTCCAATAAAAATAAGGTCCCCAAAAATAAGGCTCTTAACTTTTGGCTGCCAATAATATATATCTTTTTGAGGTCCCTTAATGTAGGGTCTGTGATAAAGTGGTGGTAGACTTAATGGCAGCTACTGTTGTGTTCTACATGCTAGATAAAGTGGTGGTAGACTTGGCAGCTACTGTTGTGTTAGAGAACTACAGGTTGATTCATGGAAAATCTAATGCTGGTCTACAACACTGACCCCCCCCCCCTCCCAGCCCATTACCAGCCCCCAGGAAATCTTACATTGATGGCGTTGTCCACTTGTCCAGCCAGAAAAAACAGAGCAGCTGCGTGCTGGTACTGACCCTTGGACAGCAAATGGAAAGCATTTTTCATGGCCACACGGCGGTGAGTTTCTGTGCTGAAGTCTTGGCCAAAAAATGATTCCATTTTACTATCCTGAACTGTCCTGTGGGGTGAAAAAATAATGGGACATTTTAACATGGGAGCAAACATATTGCCAAAAGTGGTCACCTAACCCTAACAACTGACATGAACATGACCTAACCATAACAACTGACATGAACATGACCTAACCTTAAGGGGATATGCTATGTTTTTTTCTATTTTTTACAGTTTAAGATCTAAAGCCTTTTGAATACTTTAATCATATTTGTCATATAAAAGTAAGTATTAAACAGCAAAAAAAAAGGATCGAAAATAATTTTGGTTGTCATGGAAACCAAAAAACCTCCGCCATTTTGAATTTTTCGGTACTTTTAAAAATGCTAAGGCTTTTTTATTTATCCATGTATAGCAATCAAATTTAAACTGCTTATATTTCAGTATATATTAAAACTTTTGTCATGACAACTTTTTGAAATAATTACTAGTAAGAATTTTACAAGGTCTAAAAAATCGTACCCTTTTTAGTATTCAAAAGTTTCAAAATGTGCATATTAATTACCAAATACTTTTTTTCTATGAAAGCAATCACAATTCCCTCGTGACAAAAGTTGAATTTTCGCATCAAGAACATTTACTGAAAATATGGTTGGCATTGTTTAATAAATAAAAAAGTAGTAGGCTTTTTAGTGTTAAGAACCTGCGAACTGAGAAAAACAGCCAAAAGTAACTAAAACTGGGTCAGGAAAGTACCATATCTGTGTAAACTGCAAAGCCGATTGTAAGCTTTGTGTGTTTCCGAGATGTAGGAAATTAAGTTTATTAAATACATGAGAAATCCAGCTTTCCAATGATGGTAAATATAATATAATGACGGATATAAAACTTTTCATAGAGAGCTTGTAAGATTGGGAAAAATTGATTATTTTTTAATTAATAGGGTCATAAAAATCGTAATTCAAACTCATAAAATATTTTTTTCTCTTTAAAGTTATTATTTTCTATATACAAAAATGGACAAAGTATCCAAAAGTGCAAGAAACCCATCATGACAAAAAACAAGAAATTTTGTGATTTTTTTCCGCGCATATCCCCTTAACAACTGACTTATATATGACCTAACCATAACAACTGACTTGAACATGACCTAACCCTAACAACTGACTTGAACATGACCTAACCATAACAACTGACATGAACGTGACCTAACCATAACAACTGACATGAACGTGACCTAAGCATAACTAACATGAACGTGACCTAACCATAACAACTGACATGAACATGACCTAAGCATAACTGACATGAATGTGACCTAACCATAACAATTGAAATGAACGTGACCTAAGTATAACTAGCATGAACGTGACCTAACCATAACAACTCACTTGAACATGCTTTTAACAATTGTTTTCTTTTTCATGGCCAGATAGTAGATAGCAGCATCCATAGGTTTTTTACTTTTCTTAAAGGCTGTGTTTGCCACCTTGACCATCAGAGTTTTCAGCTGGGTGATGTTGTTGAGCCACCAGCCTATGCCATACAGTTTCAGCTCTTCCCACACAGGTTCTTCTGCCTTCACACAGGGGATAGCTGACAGCAGTTCCTGAAATTATAAGTTTTGTCAAGTTTACTGGGGATAGCTTTGTCAAGTGTACTGGGGATAGCTGACAGCAGTTCCTGAAATTATAAGCTGTGTCAAGTTTACTGGGGATAGCTGACAGCAGTTCCTGAAATTATAAGCTGTGTCAAGTTTACTGGGGATAGCTGTGTCAAGTTTACTGGGGATAGCTGACAGCAGTTCCTGAAATTATAAGCTGTGTCAAGTTTACTGGGGATAGCTGACAGCAGTTCCTGAAATTATAAGTTTTGTCAAGTTTACTGGGGATAGCTGTGTCAAGTTTACTGGGGATAGATGACAGCAAGTCCTGAAATTATAAATTTGTCAAGTTTAATGGGGATAGCTGTGTCAAGTTTACTGGGGATAGCTGACAGCAGTTCCTGAAATTATAAGCTTTGTATAAGAGAGTTAAATTATAAGAGAGTTAAATAGTGTGACTTCAGTACATGTTTCATATGTAGGTATAAAATGTGAAATAGTCATGTCATAGATCTTTCTGTCATGTGACTGATATGGCATGTGACTGATATGGCATGTGACTGATATGGCATGTGACTGATATGGCATGTGACTGATATGGCATGTGACTGATATGGCATGTGACTGATATGGCATGTGACTGATATGGCATGTGACTGATATGGCATGTGACTGATATGGCATGTGACTGATATGGCATGTGACTGACCTGGATGGACTCTGAATGGAAAGCCCAAACCAAATGGAATGTTCTGATGCCTTTCTCTAACAAAGGAACCCGCTGTATAGGAGGCAGAGTCTTGACCAGACACTGGTACTGTCGTATGGCCAACAGGAACCTCAGGCCACATTCATCAACACTGTCCTGCTGTTCTTTCTTCTCAGCTGCAAGACACAACACAGCTCAAGTTTGGTGACTAAAGTCGATACAAGTGGTCAAATTTGGTGTCAAAAGTTGATACAAGTGGTCAAGTTTGGTGACAAAAGTTGATACAAGTGATCAAGTTTAGTGACAAAAGTTGATACAAGTGATCAAGTTTAGTGACAAAAGTTGATACAAGTGGTCAAGTTTGGTGACAAAAGTTGATACAAATGGTCAAGTTTGGTGACTAAAGTTGATACAAATGGTTAAGTTTGGTGACTAAAGTTGATACAAATGGTCAAGTTTGGTGACTAAAGTTGACACAAATGGTCAAGTTTGGTGACTAAAGTTGATACAAATGGTCAAGTTTGGTGACAAAAGTTGATACAAGTGATCAAGTTTAGTGACAAAAGTTGATACAAGTGGTCAAGTTTGGTGACAAAAGTTGATACAAGTGGTCAAGTTTGGTGACAAAAGTTGATACAAATGGTCAAGTTTGGTGACAAAAGTTGATACAAGTGGTCAAGTTTGGTGTCAAGTGATTAGACAAGTAGAAAAATATGAGGTTAACAAAGTTGATTTCTGGATTTGAATAGATGACCCAGAGTTTACCCATCCCATCAATAGATGGCCCAGAGTTTACCCATCCCATCCATAGATGGCCCAGAGTTTACCCATCCCATGAATAGATGGCCCAGAGTTTACCCATCCCATCAATAGATGGCCCAGAGTTTACCCATCCATAGATGGCCCAGAGTTTACCCATCCCATCAATAGATGGCCCAGAGTTTACCCATCCCATCAATAAATGGCCCAGAGTTTAGTGAGAAATTATCAGATCAAGTTTGTCATTTGGAAGAGATAAGATACAAATACTTAGAAGTTATTAGACAGCATCGTTACCATGTGTGGCATCTCTGAAGTCTAAGGTTGTTGATCCCACGACCTCGGCTAGTGCAGCCAAATAGAACTGGTCGTTGCCAGATAGGCCAGGCAGGTTGAGCTTGAAGAGATACTCCCTGAGCACCGCAGCCTGCGCCAGGTTAAAGCTGTACGGGTCTGTGTGGGGCTTGCTGCCACTGGAGGGCAGGCGAGGACGGCGGGCGCTACCTGTGCTCTCTGCTGATGTAGAGAGGAGCTGCTCATCCAGATCATCTTCAGTTTTCTTCATGTTGCTTTCTAGAATCTCAGAGTAGTCTTTCTCTGTGTTGGCGTGGCCAGCTTTGATGTCAGAGTGGAAGGACGAGGTGTCTCTGTCAGCAGCTATCAGGGCATACAGCGGCAGGGGGGGGATGGATTTGATCTCCACATAATTGATGGAAGCCGCGTCGCCATCTCCCAAGTCTTGCTCACTGCGCACTGATGAACTTCTTTGTCTTGGCAACTTGACTGACAAATGGCCGTTGTCCAAGTGTTCTTCAGAGTACATGGTCTGCACACCACTGGAGCAGCTGATGCAGCGCACCAGGTGAGCCAGGATGGCCTTGACCCTCTTGGTCTTGCCAAAGTTGAGCAGCTCCATCAGCAGCTTGGGGTGATATTGGGGCAGGACAGGGTTGGCAAACCTGCCAGCCTCAAACAAACCGGTGTCAAAGAGCACCGGCAGGTTGGAGATGTTTTGAGGCTGGCTTGGCTTTACAGCTCCCACTGGCATTTTCTTGGCTACTGGCAGCTGGGCACTGCTGGCAGAGACGTGCTTGAAGTTGGACATGGACAAGGAGGTTTTGAAGTTGGACTTGGACTTAAAGTTGCTACACAAGTTCAGGCTGGAGGCTGCGGTCACAAGTTTGGCCTCAGTCAAGGTGCGCCAGTCATCTGTCGCCACTTCTTCTACCTGCTCTTCAAGGTCAAGGTTGGTGGGCTTCCACTGGGTGAACACCTGAAATAGGAGAGTCAAACAACACCTGACATGGGAGAGTCAAACAACACCTGACATGGGAGAGTCAAACAACACCTGACATGGGAGAGTCAAACAACACCTGACATGGGAGAGTCAAACAACACCTGACATGGGAGAGTCAAACAACATCTGACATGGGAGAGTCAAACAACACCTGACATGGGAGAGTCAAACAACATCTGACATGGGAGAGTCAAACAACACCTGACATGGGAGAGTCAAACAACACCTGACATGGGAGATTCAAACAACTGACATGGGAGAGTCAAACAACACCTGACATGGGAGAGTCAAACAACACCTGACATGGGAGAGTCAAACAACTGACATGGGAGAGTCAAACAACATCTGACATGGGAGAGTCAAACAACATCTGACATGGGAGAGTCAAACAACACCTGAAATAGGAGAGTCAAACAACACCTGACATGGGAGAGTCAAACAACACCTGACATGGGAGAGTCAAACAACACCTGACATGGGAGAGTCAAACAACTGACATGGGAGAGTCAAACAACACCTGACATGGGAGAGTCAAACAACACCTGACATGTGAGAGTCAAACAACTGACATGGGAGAGTCAAACAACATCTGACATGGGAGAGTCAAACAACACCTGACATGTGAGAGTCAAACAACAACTGAAATAGGATTTTTAATATTTTTAAATATTCTACTTGGGATATTTTGTCCTGCAACCGCCCCAGCCACTACCTATGACTTCTATCTACCAGCAACTGACACTACCTATGACTTCTATCTACCAGCAACTGACACTACCTATGACTTCTATCTATCAGCAACTGACACTACCTATGACTTCTATCTATCAGCAACTGACACTACCTATGACTTCTATCTACCAGCAACTGCCACTACCTATGACTTCTATCTACCAGCAACTGACACTACCTATGACTTCTATTTACCAGCAACTGACACTACCTATGACTTCTATCTATCAGCAACTGACACTACCTATGACTCCCATCTACCAGCAACCAACCCAGCCACTACCTATGACTCCTATCTACCAGCAACTGACACTACCTATGACTCCTATCTACCACCAACCAACCCAGCCACTACCTATGACTCCTATCTACCAGCAACCAAACTAGCCACTACCTATGACTCCTATCTACCAGCAACCAACCCAGCCACTACCTATGACTCCTATCTACCAGCAACTGACACTACCTATGACTCCTATCTACCAGCAACCAACCCAGCCACTACCTATGACTCCTATCTACCAGCAACCAACTCAGCCACTACCTATGACTCCTATCTACCAGCAACCAACCCAGCCACTACCTATGACTCCTATCTAGCAGCCAATACTACAGATGAGAATGAATCAGCTGGTCAAGTCAATCAAACAAACCTGCATCTCGTTGTCCATGCCCACCACCAAGATTCCTGCCCGCACCCAACTCATGTGCATGGGTAGGGGAGGTAAGCCATCAGCCGTGGAGAGTTCTATCCCCTTGAGCTGCATCCATCGGATCTCCTCCTGCACCTCCTCTGCCACCATGGACTTGTTGATGGTCAGCAGTTTGCTGCTGGCAAAGGCTGACCTCTTGTCCTCCTTGGTGCTCTCACTCTCATGGTTCAGTGACCTCAGGGATCTGGCAATCTCATACGACACCTGGTTTTTACAAAGGTCAACCATTTAGGTAGCGATATAAGATACTTTTATTGAATCATTTGACCATTTAGGCAGCGATATAAGATACTTTTATTGAATCATTTGACCATTTTGGCAGCGATACAAGATACTTTTATATAATAATTTGACCATTTTGGCAGCGATACAAGATACTTTTATCTGCCATGATGTCATTAGAATGGCCTGAGGTAAGAGCAAGTTGTACCTGTCCATAAATGAAGATCTGTGAAACAAGATACTTTTATCTGCCATGATGGCATTAGAATGGCCTGAGGTAAGAGCAAGTTGTACCTGTCCATAAATGAAGATCTGTGAAACAAGATACTTTTATCTGCCATGATGGCATTAGAATGGCCTGAGATAAGAGCAAGTTGTACCTGTCCATAAATGAAGATCTTGGATCCCACGCCAACAGTGAGCAGGTGAGAGCCATCTTCAGTGGAGACCCAGTCAAGCTGCACCAGACACTTCTGCTGGAGGAGTCCCTTCTTGTTACCAGCCTGGGAGATGGACTTCCTGACCGACTGGATGGTGCTCAGGCTGGGCACGGACTTGGTCCTGGTCATGAAGGCTGTGGCTGTTTGCACAGCGGGCTTGTCCAGGGGGTCGGCCATCTGGGGGGTGTCGTAGCTGTGGAGCAGGCACAGGTCAATCTCATGTTTGGGGTCCGGGATTTTGGTGTTGTTCAGCTCTATGATGTCTTCTTGAACCCACTCAGATCCACCTGGGGAAACAAAATTTGTTCAGCTACATCACAAGCAATGTAACATGACAAGCTATGTGACATCACAAGCTATGTGACATGACAAGCTATGTGACATGACAAGCTATGTGACATCACAAGCTATGTGACATGACAAGCTATGTGACATCACAAGCTATGTGACATGACAAGCTATGTGACATGACAAGCTATGTGACATCACAAGCTATGTGACATGACAAGCTATGTGACATGACAAGCTATGTGACATGACAAGCACATATACAGACACCAATGTGACATCACAAGCACATATTCAGACACCAATGTGACATCACAAGCTATGTGACATCACAAGCACATATTCAGACACCAATGTGACATCACAAGCTATGTGACAACACAAGCACATATTCAGACATCAATGTGACATGACAAGCAAATATACAGACATCAATGTGACATGACAAGCAAATATACAGACATCAATGTGACATGACAAGCAAATATTCACACATGGCTGGAGCTCTACAACTTAGAGCTTCTGGCTGGACTAGGATAAATCATTCATTTATTGAAGTGTAAAAATAGATGACAAGTCAATTCATAGGGTGCATGGTAGTCATTGGGTTAATGTTAGTAAAGAGAAATACTGACCGGTAGATTCACATTCGTAGATGATGACGCGCAGGTTGACAAACTTGTTCTCTGGATGTTGGGGCTGACTTCTGACTGGCCCAGACCTGAAGGCCACAGCCAGGCGACCACTGTAGGCACAACATACAGCGATGGGCTTGCCTGGGGGAAACAGACAACAGGGGTCAGACAACAGGGGTCAGACGGCCGGGGTCAGAGAGCAGGGGTCAGACAGCAGGGGTCAGACAGCAGGGGTCAGACAACAGGGGTCAGACAACAGGGGTCAGACAGCTAGGTCCCCATGTTCAATGAATGCAGTTGTCAGCAGGAGAAATGACATTACAGCTAAACATGTCTAGGACATGTCAAAATGTGCTAAACCTGACATGTACAAAGTGACCTGCACTGACCTTGTGCTAAACCTGACATGTACAAAGTGACTGACCTTCCACCTTGACAGCGCTGGACTTGTTGAGGGAGGAGGTGGTCAGCTCCCACTGGCTCCAGCTGTAGCTGTGCTCTCTCCTCATCTCCTCCCTCCTGGACCTGACCTGGGGCTGGACCTGGGTCTCATCCATGGAGAACTCGTAGCTGGTCACGCTGCAGCTGCTGGTCTCTGCAGGCATGCTGGCCACGCTGCACCTCCAGAAGCGCACCTTCCCATCTGAACAGGCCGTGACAAACTGGTAGGGGGCCAAGCAGGCCGGGTAGATGGAGGCAGAGCTCAGATGGCCACCTGACACAGCGGCAGACACCACCTCCACATCAGTGGGCAGTGAGAGCTTTTGGGTGCACACCTGACAGGATCAAGTGGACACGGTATCAAACTAGTGGACACAACTAGTGGACACAACTAGTGGACACAACTAGTGGACACATCTAGTGGACACAACTAGTGGACACAACTAGTGGACACAACTAGTGGACACAACTAGTGGACACAACTAGTGGACACAACTAGTGGACACAACTAGTGGACACAACTAGTGGACACAACTAGTGGACACAACTAGTGGACACAACTAGTGGACACAACTAGTGGACACAACTAGTGGACACAACTAGTGGACACAACTAGTGGACACAACTAGTGGACACAACTAGTGGACACAACTAGTGGACAGGGCATCAATCTAGTGGGCACAGCATTAGACTAGTGCAGGTAAACATTTGACTAGTGGTCCTAACCTTACGCCTACTTTAGTGGTCCTAACCTAACCACCTACTTTAGTGGTCCTAACCTAACCACCTACTTTAGTGGTCCTAACCTAACCACCTACTTTAGTGGTCCTAACCTAACCACCTACTTTAGTGGTCCTAACCTAACCACCTACTTTAGTGGTCCTAACCTAACCACCTACTTTAGTGGTCCTAACCTAACCACCTACTTTAGTGGTCCTAACCTAACCACCTACTTTAGTGGTCCTAACCTAACCACCTACTTTAGTGGTCCTAACCTAACCACCTACTTTAGTGGTCCTAACCTAACCACCTACTTTAGTGGTCCTAACCACCTACTTTAGTGGTCCTAACCTAACCACCTACTTTAGTGGTCCTAACCTAACCACCTACTTTAGTGGTCCTAACCTAACCACCTACATTAGTGGTCCTAACCTAACCACCTACTTTAGTGGTCCTAACCACCTACTTTAGTGGTCCTGACAGACATGGTCATGACGTGGCTGGATGAAGACTTGGGGAAGACAGCGCTGTAGTCCACTCCATTGGGACTGAGTTCATCGTTGTAGCTGTCCACAAGAGACTTGTATTGGTCCCACTCACCAGCTAACCAGACAAATGAGGTCATGGCAAGTTTACAGCAAACCAAACTCATCATGTGTTACATGCTATTAAAATGTGTTACCATTGCCTGTCATAGAGTGCTATGTCATAGAGTGGTATTAAAATGTGTTACCATTGCCTGTCATGTCATAGAGTGGTATTAAAATGTGTTACCATTGCCTGTCATGTCATAGAGTGCTATTCAAATGTGTTACCATTGCCTGTCATAAAGTGCTATTAAAATGTGTTACCATTGCCTGTCATAAAGTGCTATTAAAATGTGTTACCATTGCCTGTCATAAAGTGCTATTAAAATGTGTTACCATTGCCTGTCATAGAGTGGTATTAAAATGTGTTACCATTGCCTGTCATAGAGTGGTATTAAAATGTGTTACCATTGCCTGTCATAGAGTGCTATTAAAATGTGTTACCATCGCCTGTCATAGAGTGCTATTAAAATGTGTTACCATTGCCTGTCTTGTCAGCAGAGGGCTGGGAGTCGATGGTGATTTTCCACATGTGCAACAGACTGCCATTTGTCTCCACCTTCTCCAGCACAAGCAGGTAAAAGTTCTCATCAAAGGTGTGCTGGGAGCTCAGGTCAACGACCGCCTCGATGGAGCCTTCAGCGTCCTCACCAGTGATCAGCTGTTCCTGGTACACGTGAAGCAGCTCAATGTTCTGCCAATCCTGCACAAAACATCAACAGCTACAATCTTCACAAGAATTCTCATTTAGGGCATCACTGATGGCATCTAACTTTAGCACACAGGTACAAAAACTGACCTGTGGGGCATCTAACACAAGAACTGACCCGTAGGGCATCTAACACAAGAACTGACCTGTAGGGCATCTAACACAAGAACTGACCTGTAGGGCACAAGAACTGACCTGTGGGGCATCTAACACAAGAACTGACCTGTAGGGCATCTAACACAAGAACTGACCTGTAGGGCATCTAACACAAGAACTGACCTGTAGGGCATCTAACACAAGAACTGACCTGTAGGGCATCTAACACAAGAACTGACCTGTAGGGCATCTAACACAAGAACTGACCCGTAGGGCATCTAACACAAGAACTGACCTGTAGGCATCTAGCACAAGAACTGACCTGTAGAGCATCTAACACAAGAACTGACCCTTAGGGCATCTAGCACAAGAACTGACCTGTAGGGCATCTAACACAAGAACTGACCTGTAGGGCATCTAACACAAGAACTGACATGTAGAGCATCTAACACAAGAACTGACCTGTAGGGCATCTAACACAAGAACTGACCTGTAGGGCATCTAACACAAGAACTGACCTGTAGGGCATCTAACACAAGAACTGACCTGTAGAGCATCTAACACAAGAACTGACCTGTAGAGCATCTAACACAAGAACTGACCTGTAGGGCATCTAGCACAAGAACTGACCTGTAGGGCATCTAACACAAGAACTGACCCGTAGGGCATCTAACACAAGAACTGACCCGTAGGGCATCTAACACAAGAACTGACCTGTAGGGCATCTAACACAAGAACTGACCTGTAGGGCATCTAACACAAGAACTGACCTGTAGAGCATCTAACACAAGAACTGACCTGTAGAGCATCTAACACAAGAACTGACCTGTAGGGCATCTAACACAAGAACTGACCCGTAGGGCATCTAACACAAGAACTGACCTGTAGGGCATCTAACACAAGAACTGACCTGTAGGGCATCTAACACAAGAACTGACCCGTAGGGCATCTAACACAAGAACTGACCCGTAGGGCATCTAACACAAGAACTGACCTGTAGAGCATCTAACACAAGAACTGACCTGTAGGGCATCTAACACAAGAACTGACCTGTAGAGCATCTAACACAAGAACTGACCTGTAGGGCATCTAACACAAGAACTGACCTGTAGAGCATCTAACACAAGAACTGACCTGTAGAGCATCTAACACAAGAACTGACCTGTAGGGCATCTAGCACAAGAACTGACCTGTAGGGCATCTAACACAAGAACTGACCCGTAGGGCATCTAACACAAGAACTGACCTGTAGGGCATCTAGCACAAGAACTGACCTGTAGAGCATCACTAATGGCATCCAACTCCAGCACACAGCCAGGTCTGGCGGAGGACTGCAGGGACACAATGTTGAAGAGGTCTAGACATGTTTTTTTAGGCAGCTCATGGTAGCTGGAGCCTGAGCTAGTACTGGCATTAGACAGGCTGGCTTTCTGTAACACAAATACTGGCATTAGACAGGCTGGCTTTCTGTAACACAAATACTGGCATTAGACAGGCTGGCTTTCTGTAACACAAATACTGGCATTAGGCTGGCTGGCTTTCTGTAACACAAATACTGGCATTAGGCTGGCTTTCTGTAACACAAATACTGGCATTAGACAGGCTGGCTTTCTGTAACACAAATACTGGCATTAGGCTGGCTGGCTTTCTGTAACACAAATACTGGCATTAGACTGGCTTTCTGTAACACAAATACTGGCATTAGACAGGGTGGCTTTCTGTAACACAAATACTGGCATTAGGCTGGCTGGCTTTCTGTAACACAAATACTGGCATTAGGCTGGCTTTCTGTAACACAAATACTGGCATTAGGCTGGCTGGCTTTCTGTAACACAAATACTGGCATTAGGCTGGCTTTCTGTAACACAAATACTGGCATTAGGCTGGCTTTCTGTAACACAAATACTGGCATTAGACAGGCTGGCTTTCTGTAACACAAATACTGGCATTAGGCTGGCTGGCTTTCTGTAACACAAATACTGGCATTAGACTGGCTTTCTGTAACACAAATACTGGCATTAGACAGGCTGGCTTTCTGTAACACAAATACTGGCATTAGGCTGGCTGGCTTTCTGTAACACAAATACTGGCATTAGGCTGGCTGGCTTTCTGTAACACAAATACTGGCATTAGGCTGGCTTTCTGTAACACAAATACTGGCATTAGACTGGCTTTCTGTAACACAAATACTGGCATTAGGCTGGCTGGCTTTCTGTAACACAAATACTGGCATTAGACAGGCTGGCTTTCTGTAACACAAATATTGGCATTAGACAGGCTGGCTTTCTGTAACACAAATACTGGCATTAGGCTGGCTGGCTTTCTGTAACACAAATACTGGCATTAGACTGGCTTTCTGTAACACAAATACTGGCATTAGACAGGCTGGCTTTCTGTAACACAAATACTGGCATTAGGCTGGCTGGCTTTCTGTAACACAAATACTGGCATTAGACAGGCTGGCTTTCTGTAACACAAATACTGGCATTAGGCTGGCTGGCTTTCTGTAACACAAATACTGGCATTAGGCTGGCTGGCTTTCTGTAACATAAATACTGGCATTAGACTGGCTTTCTGTAATACAAATACTGGCATTAGACAGGATTTCTGTAACACAAATACTGGCATTAGGCTGGCTTTCTGTAACACAAATACTGGCATTAGACTGGCTGGCTTTCTGTAACATAAATACTGGCATTAGACTGGCTTTCTGTAACATAAATACTGGCATTAGACTGGCTTTCTGTAACACAAATACTGGCATTAGACTGGCTGGCTTTCTGTAACACAAATACTGGCATTAGACAGGCTGGCTTTCTGTAACACAAATACTGGCATTAGGCTGGCTTTCTGTAACACAAATACTGGCATTAGGCTGGCTGGCTTTCTGTAACACAAATACTGGCATTAGACAGGCTGGCTTTCTGTAACACAAATACTGGCATTAGGCTGGCTTTCTGTAACACAAATACTGGCATTAGGCTGGCTGGCTTTCTGTAACACAAATACTGGCATTAGGCTGGCTGGCTTTCTGTAACATAAATACTGGCATTAGACTGGCTTTCTGTAATACAAATACTGGCATTAGACAGGATTTCTGTAACACAAATACTGGCATTAGGCTGGCTTTCTGTAACACAAATACTGGCATTAGACTGGCTGGCTTTCTGTAACATAAATACTGGCATTAGACTGGCTTTCTGTAACATAAATACTGGCATTAGACTGGCTTTCTGTAACACAAATACTGGCATTAGACTGGCTGGCTTTCTGTAACACAAATACTGGCATTAGACAGGCTGGCTTTCTGTAACACAAATACTGGCATTAGGCTGGCTTTCTGTAACACAAATACTGGCATTAGGCTGGCTGGCTTTCTGTAACACAAATACTGGCATTAGACAGGCTGGCTTTCTGTAACACAAATACTGGCATTAGGCTGGCTTTCTGTAACACAAATACTGGCATTAGGCTGGCTGGCTTTCTGTAACACAAATACTGGCATTAGGCTGGCTTTCTGTAACACAAATACTGGCATTAGGCTGGCTTTCTGTAACACAAATACTGGCATTAGGCTGGCTTTCTGTAACACAAATACTGGCATTAGACAGGCTTTCTGTAACACAAATACTGGCATTAGGCTGGCTTTCTGTAACACAAATACTGGCATTAGACTGGCTTTCTGTAACACAAATACTGGCATTAGACAGGCTGGCTTTCTGTAACACAAATACTGGCATTATTGTCCAAAGTGAACAAGTAAATAAATAGAGCAGTGCAGACAAAAGACTTACTGTTGGTTGTGTCTTGTCTAGCAGAAGTGACCTGGCGTCTATGACAGCCTGGAAGAGCCGCAGACAGTTTCCATCTGATGCCACAAACAGAGCACTGGGACTGTTGCTGTAAGAACCCAAACTGGTGCTGCAAGCATCAGACATCACCACATTATTAGAGGACACACAAACAGGGGACACAAACTGGGATAGGACACACAACCACACAAACTGGGATAGGACACACAACCACACAAACTGGGATAGGACACACAACCAGGGGACACAAGCTGGGTAGGACACACAACCACACAAAAACTACGACAATTCAATAGAGAAAAGATCAAACTAAAATCTAAAATTTTTAGCACGCTTAATCAGGATTTATTGCTTAAAAAAGAAAAGAATATACAACCAACAATTAAAATAACATAAGGGATAACATACAAAAATTCAAAGATAATTTGATCAATTTACCACCCTATTTGGTGTCAGAGGTCAATTGTAAAAATAAAAGATACATTTGAAAATAAATATCTATTGCTTAAACTAATTTTTAAAAATTTAATTAAGCAGTTGAAATAATTGGATGTAGTACAAAGCTTTTTGGTAATGTTCCACAAACAAAATGTCAGACACTACAAACTAGCTTAGATACAAGTTGGTACTGTTCCACAAACAAAATGTCAGACACTACAAACTAGTTTAGATACAAGTTGCTGCAACCCCATAAAGCTACGAGATAAAACCAGCAGAGAGCAGGTACAAATCTGGACCACTCAATGAAAAAAAAATCTGGACCACTCAATAAAAAAAAATCTGGACCACTCAATAAAAAAAAAATCTGGACCACTCAATTAAAAAAAATGGATTATAGAGCCTAGTATTTTTGTGGAGCCAATTCTAAACAAACATTTTATAATGCTTGTGTACAACATGCAATGAAGGCAATAACAATTTGATGAACTACAGCAGTTCTCAAACAAGTGATCCCAGCACAGTCTAGCTTCTGAGTCTTTAAATGGTTGAGTTTTTTTTAGAGAAACTAATAAAACATGCTGAACATATGGGCTAATACAAGATTGTGCTGATATGGGCTAATACAACATTGTCCTGATATGGGCTAATACAACATTGTGCTGATATGGGCTAATACAACATTGTGCTGATATGGGCTAATACAACATTGTGCTGATATGGGCTAATACAACATTGTCCTGATATGGGCTAATACAAGATTGTCCTGATATGGGCTAATACAACATTGTCCTGATATGGGCTAATACAACATTGTCCTGATATGGGCTAATACAACATTGTCCTGATATGGGCTAATACAACATTGTGCTGATATGGGCTAATACAAGATTGTCCTGATATGGGCTAATACAACATTGTCCTGATATGGGCTAATACAAGATTGTGCTGATATGGGCTAATACAACATTGTCCTGATATGGGCTAATACAACATTGTGCTGATATGGGCTAATACAACATTGTGCTGATATGGGCTAATACAACATTGTGCTGATATGGGCTAATACAACATTGTCCTGATATGGGCTAATACAAGATTGTCCTGATATGGGCTAATACAACATTGTCCTGATATGGGCTAATACAACATTGTCCTGATATGGGCTAATACAACATTGTCCTGATATGGGCTAATACAACATTGTGCTGATATGGGCTAATACAAGATTGTCCTGATATGGGCTAATACAACATTGTCCTGATATGGGCTAATACAACATTGTGCTGATATGGGCTAATACAACATTGTCCTGATATGGGCTAATACAACATTGTGCTGATATGGGCTAATACAACATTGTGCTGATATGGGCTAATACAAGATTGTGCTGATATGGGCTAATACAACATTGTCCTGATATGGGCTAATACAACATTGTCCTGATATGGGCTAATACAACATTGTGCTGATATGGGCTAATACAACATTTTCCTGATATGGGCTAATACAACATTGTGCTGATATGGGCTAATACAACATTGTGCTGATATGGGCTAATACAACATTGTCCTGATATGGGCTAATACAACATTGTGCTGATATGGGCTAATACAACATTGTGCTGATATGGGCTAATACAACATTGTCCTGATATGGGCTAATACAACATTGTGCTGATATGGGCTAATACAACATTGTCCTGATATGGGCTAATACAACATTGTCCTGATATGGGCTAATACAACATTGTGCTGATATGGGCTAATACAACATTGTGCTGATATGGGCTAATACAACATTGTGCTGATATGGGCTAATACAACATTGTGCTGATATGGGCTAATACAACATTGTCCTGATATGGGCTAATACAACATTGTCCTGATATGGGCTAATACAACATTGTCCTGATATGGGCTAATACAACATTGTGCTGATATGGGCTAATACAACATTGTGCTGATATGGGCTAATACAACATTGTGCTGATATGGGCTAATACAACATTGTCCTGATATGGGCTAATACAACATTGTGCTGATATGGGCTAATACAACATTGTCCTGATATGGGCTAATACAACATTGTCCTGATATGGGCTAATACAACATTGTCCTGATATGGGCTAATACAACATTGTCCTGATATGGGCTAATACAACATTGTCCTGATATGGGCTAATACAACATTGTGCTGATATGGGCTAATACAACATTGTGCTGATATGGGCTAATACAACATTGTCCTGATATGGGCTAATACAACATTGTGCTGATATGGGCTAATACAATATTGTGCTGATATGGGCTAATACAACATTGTCCTGATATGGGCTAATACAATATTGTGCTGATATGGGCTAATACAATATTGTGCTGATATGGGCTAATACAAGATTGTGCTGATATGGGCTAATACAACATTGTGCTGATATGGGCTAATACAACATTGTCCTGATATGGGCTAACAAAACTTGCCAGCAATAAAGCTACAGCCTGCTGGTTGGGGACACTTGTTTGACAGCAGCCAATGGTGTGGTGCACACAGTAAACACAACAACACATGACACACGTGTAGTGTGGGACTGACACACGTGTAGTGTGGGACTGACACACGTGTAGTGTGGGACATGACACACATGTAGTGTGGGACTGACACACGTGTAGTGTGGGACTGACACACGTGTAGTGTGGGACATGACACATGTGTAGTGTGGGACATGACACACGTGTAGTGTGGGACTGACACACGTGTAGTGTGGGACTGACACACGTGTAGTGTGGGACATGACACACGTGTAGTGTGGGACATGACACACGTGTAGTGTGGGACTGACACACGTGTAGTGTGGGACATGACACACGTGTAGTGTGGGACTGACACACCTCATATAACAGTGTGGGACTGACACACTTAAGGTGGACCTGGTTGGGCTATGTTAGACTATATTGGACTACGGTGGATCTGGTTGGGCTATGTTAGGCTATCACTGTATTGGACTAAGGTGGATCTGGTTGGGCTATGTTAGACTATCACTGTATTGGACTAAGGTGGATCTGGTTGGGCTATGTTAGACTATCACTGTATTGGACTAAGGTGGATCTGGTTGGGCTATGTTAGGCTATCACTGTATTGGACTAAGGTGGATCTGGTTGGGCTATGTTAGACTATCACTGTATTGGACTAAGGTGGATCTGGTTGGGCTATGTTAGACTATCACTGTATTGGACTAAGGTGGATCTGGTTGGGCTATGTTAGACTATCACTGTATTGGACTAAGGTGGATCTGGTTGGGCTATGTTAGGCTATCACTGTATTGGACTAAGGTGGATCTGGTTGGGCTATGTTAGACTATCACTGTATTGGACTAAGGTGGATCTGGTTGGGCTATGTTAGGCTATCACTGTATTGGACTAAGGTGGATCTGGTTGGGCTATGTTAGGCTATCACTGTATTGGACTAAGGTGGATCTTGTTGGGCTATCACTGTATTGGACTAAGATGGATCTGGTTGGGCTATGTTAGGCTATCACTGTATTGGACTAAGGTGGATCTGGTTGGGCTATCACTGTATGAGACTACGGTGGATCTGGATGGGCTATGTTGGGCTATGACTGTATTGGACTGAGGTGGATCTGGTTGGGCTATAACTGTATTGGACTAAGGTGGATCTGGTTGGGCTATGTTGGGCTATGACTGTATTGGACTGAGGTGGATCTGGTTGGGCTATAACTGTATGAGACTACGGTGGATCTGGTTGGGCTATGTTAGGCTATCACTGTATTGGACTACGGTGGATCTGGTTGGGCTATTACTGTATTGGACTACAGTGGATCTGGTTCATAAATAGTGTTTAAAATGAGAGGATGCCAATGTCATCCACTTGTGCACCAGTCAACAGTTTTGTCAGACATTTTCAATAGCACAACGGATGTTACGGATAGCATTTGTTGTTCCATGTTAAGTCATGTGACCATCTCTGTCACTCCATGTTCAGTCATGTGACTATCATGTGGAGCAACTCAGTGTTTTAGCAACTTGTTGCAGTAAACAACTCAAAAAAGGGATGTTAAAAAATGTTTATCAATGTTTTCTAGTGATATTGTGTTGGCAGTTTTAAATATTTGAATAAACAAACACAAATGTTTAATTGTGCAAAAAATAAATTTAAAAATTAGGCAAAATAAATGGGATTTAGAATGTTAACCTTTATAATTTACCTCCAGTCAAAGTATCTGAAACAATCAACACATTTGACACTAAGATTGAAACAATTGCATTTCACACTAACACGTTAACAACCATGTTAACAGAAAACAAAATCACATTTCACGTAATGACCATGTTAACTGAAGAAAACAAATTCACATTTCACATAACTAACATGTTAACTGGAAAAACCAAATTCACATTTCACATGTTCTAAGTGAAAATATTTCAAGCAGAGCAGGGGAATTTCTTACACCTGTTTTTGGGTCACAGCAAACTTTTGTCAGTTTTTTGGGCTCAAGTTTCAGATACTGAGCTCCATTATTTAATCAGTTTGTCAGGGGATGTATAATCAGCTAAAAGTAATTCTGCAAGGGAATGTGAACTCAGCTGTGAGCCAGCAAGGGAATGTGTAATCAGCTGTAAGGGGCCAATCTTAACTTAGCAAGGGAATGTGTAATCAGCTGTAAGGGGCCAATCTTAACTTAGCAAGGGAATGTGTAATCAGCTGTAAGGGGCCAATCTTAACTTAGCAAGGGAATGTGTAATCAGCTGTAAGGGGCCAATCTTAACTTAGCAAGGGAATGTGTAATCAGCTGTAAGGGGCCAATCTTAACTTAGCAAGGGAATGTGTAATCAGCTGTAAGGGGCCAAACTTAACTTAGCAAGGGAATGTGTAATCAACTGTAAGGGGCCAATCTTAACTTAGCAAGGGAATGTGTAATCAGCTGTAAGGAGCCAATCTTACATAGCAAGGGAGGTAAGAGCAAATGGAAGGTGTGAAGACCCAGACCAAGCTTTACAAACCTTTGATTAGGCAATGATGTGAAGAGAACAAAACTGAAAATAAGATATCATGTAATGTCATACAGATGTCGTGTAATGTCAATTAATGTCTTACAGATGTCATTCAGCACATGTAGGTATGCTGCTAGCTACTATGTAGCTGCGTATTTTTAAACCTAATGCTATCATATCTAGCATGTAGTTATAACTTATAAAGAGTTAAGTCTAAAAATAAAAAAGTGGCCGAAAATTCCTACCGTTGCCACGGTGATGGCGGCCATCTTTTTTAAAAACAATTTTAACATTGAAATAACTTTCTTAATAATTATTGAAATTGATCACAATTTACTTTAGTTATTCTGTTTACATATAGATCTACCAATTAAACTGACAAAACAAATTTTTTAAAATTTGTATGGTTTTCTTATACAGTTAAAATGGTGTATTTTTTGCACAAATTTCGATTTTTAAAAGTGTTTTTTTAGGAAAAAAAATGAAAAAAACTAAAGTATTTTAAAATTTGAAAATGAAATCACGATTGTTACCAACATGTATCTCTATAATCCTGTAAATTTTTATTGAATTCACATAAGCCATCTTTGAGTTATTTCAATGTTAAAAAGGTAAATAAAATCAAAGATGACCACCATCACATATCAACGGCATACAATTTTCTGCCATTTTTGTATTTTTAGACTTAACTCTTCGAGTAAATATTATAGCATTAAGTTTAGAAATAAGCATTTTGGTTACTTTGGTTTTCATCACCCATCCATGCCTTTAAAGACAAGCTTAATAGTCAAATAATTTTTTTTGTACAATTTATATAAAACAAAATAGCTGAATATATGAAGAACGTTTGGTTCTTATAATTTTTTTCTTTTTGATGTTATGAATAGTTGAGCTATTAATTTACTGAAGATAAAAGCCTTGACAGAAACAGATAAAACTAGAGCTATTGATCAACTAGAGATTCAAGGGAAAACAAACATTTGTGTACCTATAAAACTAGAGCTATTGATCAACTAGAGATTGAAGAGAAAACAAACATTTGTGTACCTATAAAACTAGAGCTATTGATCAACTAGAGATTGAAGAGAAAACAAACATTTGTGTACCTATAAAACTAGAGCTATTGATCAACTAGAGATTCAAGAGAAAACAAACATTTGTGTACCTATAAAACTAGAGCTATTGATCAACTAGAGATTCAAGGGAAAACAAACATTTGTGTACCTATAAAACTAGAGCTATTGATCAACTAGAGATTCAAGAGAAAACAAACATTTGTGTACCTATAAAACTAGAGCTATTGATCAACTAGAGATTCAAGAGAAAACAAACATTTGTGTACCTGGGCAGCAAGGTGGGCACCCAGGCAACACTGGTGAAAGCTGAGGGGCAGGAGTTGTTGATGCGACACAGTTCCGTCAGCCCACCTGACTTGGACAGTGGCCCCACAGGCACCACCTGCCAGAGTATCAGCTCACTGCAGAAGGTTGGGCCAGTCTGTCTCCAGTCTTCAGCGTCTGAAACATTCAGGTCAAACATCTTTCAAGGGCTGAAACATTCAGGTCAAACATCTTTCAAGGGCTGCCTCAAATCTTTTTATCATTACAACTGAAACATTCAGGACAAACATCTTTCAAGGGCTGCCTCAAATCTTTTTATCATTACAACTGAAACATTCAGGACAAACATCTTTCAAGGGCTGCCTCAAATCTTTTTATCATTACAACTGAAACATTCAGGTCAAACATCTTTCAAGGGCTGAAACATTCAGGTCAAACATCTTTCAAGGGCTGCCTCAAATCTTTTTATCATTACAACTGAAACATTCAGGTCAAACATCTTTCAAGGGCTGAAACATTCAGGTCAAACATCTTTCAAGGGCTGCCTCAAATCTTTTTATCATTACAACTGAAACATTCAGGTCAAACATCGTTCAAGGGCTGCCTCAAATAGTTTCATCATTACAATTATTTTATTGGAAGCTGTTTGCTGTTTTACCATTCCCCTGTTTAGACAAGTGCATAAAGTTTACCATTCTCCTGTTTAGACAACAAGTGTATAAAAATTACCATTCTCCTGTTTAGACAAGTGCATAAAGTTTACCAATCTCCTGATTAGACAACATTTGTATAAAGTTTACCATTCTCCTGATTAGACAACATGTGTATAAAGTTTACCATTCTCCTGATTAGACAAGTGTATAAAGTTTACCATTCTCCTGATTAGACAACATGTGTATAAAGTTTACCATTCCCCTGTTTAGACAACATGTGTATAAAGTTTACCATTCTCCTGTTTGGATGTTGGCTCGTCACTTCCAGGCAGGTTGTGGTGGGATGTGGTCAGCATCAGTGGCAGGACTGGGTGGCAGGCGGCCGAGTTGGTGCGGAAGCGGTGACCACATGCACGTGACACGTGGGAAACACTGACAATATTTTGGAACTTGGTTTTTTCAGCAAAACTGACCTGAAATGGACAAAAAAATTAGGTCAAAGAAACAAGTCAGAATACTACATGTGAGTCACTTGCCACTGTTTGAGTGAGTGAGTGAATGAGTGAGAATACAACCTGTGAGTCACCTGTCAATGGTTGAGTGAGTGAGTGAATGAGTGAGTGAGTGGGTGAGTGAGTGAGAATACAATGTGTGAGTCACTTGCCACTGTTTGAGTGAGTGAGTGAATGAGTGAGTGAGTGAGTGAATGAGTGAGTGAGTGAGTGAGTGAGAATACAACGTGTGAGTCACCTGCCACTGGTTGAGTAAGTGAGTGAGTGAGTAAGTGAGAATACAACGTGTGAGTCACCTGCCACTGGGTGAGTGAGTGAGTGAGTGAGTGAGTGGGTGAGTGAGTGAGAATACAACGTGTGAGTCACCTGCCACTGGGTGAGTGAGTGAGTGAGTGAGTGAGTGGGTGAGTGAGTGAGAATACAACGTGTGAGTCACCTGCCACTGGTTGAGTGAGTGAGTGAATGAGTGAGTGAGTGAGTGAGTGGGTGAGTGAGTGAGTGAATGAGTGAGTGAGTGAGTGGGTGAGTGAGTGAGAATACAATGTGTGAGTCACTTGCCACTGTTTGAGTGAGTGAGTGAGTGAGTGAGTGAGTGAGTGAGTGAGTGAGTGGGTGAGTGAGTGAGTGAGTGAGTGAGTGAATAAGTGAGAATACAACGTGTGAGTCACCTGCCACTGGTTGAGTGAGTGAGTGAGAGAATGAATGAGTGAGTGAGTGAGTGAATTAGTGAGAATACAACGTGTGTCACCTGCCACTGGTTGAGTGAGTGAGTGAGTGAGTGAGTGATTGAGTTATTGAGTGAGTGAGTGAGAATACAACATGTGAGTCACCTGCCACTGGTTGAGTGAGTGAGTGAGTGAGTGAGTGAGTGAGTGAGTGAGTGAGTGAGTGAGTGAGTGAGTGAGTGAACAAGTGAGAATACAACGTGTGAGTCACCTGCCACTGGTTGAGTGAGTGAGTGAGTGAGTGAATGAATGAGTGAGTGAGAATACAACGTGAGAGTCACCTGCCACTGGTTGAGTGAGCCGTTGCTGTGTTTGGTCACCATATGGATGCTGGGGACCAACATGGTGCCCAGCTTATGGCCAGAGCTTGTCTTGTCTCCCACTGGACTCTTGCTGTCCATCTTGCTGTAGTTGCAGTACATCAACAACTTGCTGGACATGCTCCGCGCATCAGGGATGGGGACGGCACGCGGCAGACGGGAGGAAAAACTGGCTTGTGCTTGATGGAAGGTGAAGGGTGTGCTTTCATCAAGGTGGTCAATTAGCCTAGAGTAAACACAGTTAATTAGCCTAGAGTAAACACAGTAGGTGGTCATTTAGCCTAGAGTAAACACAGTAGGTGGTCAATTAGCCTAGAGTAAACACAGTAGGTGGTCATTTAGACTAGAGTAAACACAGTAGGTGGTCAATTAGCCTAGAGTAAACACAGTAGGTGGTCAATTAGCCTAGAGTAAACACAGTAGGTGGTCAATTAGCCTAAACACAGTAGGTGGTCAATTAGCCTAGAGTAAACACAGTAGGTGGTCAATTAGCCTAGAGTAAACACAGTAGGTGGTCATTTAGACTAGAGTAAACACAGTAGGTGGTCAATTAGCCTAGAGTAAACACAGTAGGTGGTCAATTAGCCTAGAGTAAACACAGTAGACGGTTAATTAGCATAGCCTAAACACAGTAGGTGGTCAATTAGCCTAGCCTAAACACAGTAGGTGGTCAATTAGCCTCAAGTAAACACTGTTCTGATGAAAGCAATCAATGTTTACTGTTTGTTATACATTTCCACCTGCTGAGTAATTGTTCAATCATTTCAGCATAATGGCGTTCAAGATATAAGCAATACACCCTCACTATATTTAAATCTTTGCTATGAGATGATAAAACTTTGCAAAAAGTAAATAAATGCCCTAGCGGAATAATTTGTATCATTAAAAAAAATTTGAAGAAAATTTCAAAACAGAAGATCTTTTGTGTTGAGTGACAGAAACAGCCTATTGGCTCACATTAACATTGTACCCAATTTCTAAACAATTTTTTTTTTCAGAACTGCATTTTCAAGGCTACTGATTTATTATGGTATTTGAAATCAATATCAAATTAAAGGTAAACAAAAGTAATTTTTTTACAGTTTAATTCATTTTAAACAACTTTGGCCACACCTCCCTGATATGCCAGCATTAGGTATGGGCTTAGACGTAATATTTAGGCCCCACCCCCCATGATATGCCAGCATTAGGTATAGGTTTAGATGTAATATTTAGGCCCCACCCCCCATGATATGCCAGCATTAGGTATGGGTTTAACGTAATATTTAGGCCCCACCCCCATGATATGCCACCATAGGTTCTACCAGTTTACCAGACAAGAAAGCTGCCATCCACAGGGTGAATACAGAAGACATAGTCGGGGTTACTGTGCCAGTCCAGGAGGAGAGCATCAATTTTACGGTCCAGGCGGTCAATCAGGCCAGACTGTAGCAGGTGGATCTGGGGGGTAAACAATAGCATTCAGAGACAACCCAGCAACCACATGCTGTAAGACTAGATCCTGACAACCCAACAACCACATGCTGTAAGACTAGATCCTGACAACCCAACAACCACATGCTGTAAGACCAAACTAGATCCTGACAACCCAACAACCACATGCTGTAAGACCAAACTAGATCCTGACAACCCAACAACCACATGCTGTAAGACTAGATCCTGACAACCCAACAACCACATGCTGTAAGATTAGATCCTGACAACCCAACAACCACATGCTGTAAGACCAAACTAGATCCTGACAACCCAACAACCACATGCTGTAAGACTAGATCCTGACAACCCAACAACCACATGCTGTAAGACCAAACTAGATCCTGACAACCCAACAACCACATGCTGTAAGACTAGATCCTGACAACCCAACAACCACATGATGTTAGACTAGATCCTGACAACCCAACAACCACATGCTGTAAGACTAGATCCTGACAACCCAACAACCACATGATGTAAGACCTGACAACCCAGCAACCACTTACAGGAAACTCAGGAGGATGGTCTCCGTCTGGGTTGATGTCCTCATTGGATGAGAAGCTGGAGTGATGTGAGGAGATGCCATTCTCCTTCACTCTGTTTCTCTCTGTCTTTAGCTTGGCTGGTCTGTGTGAACCTGGGGAGAACAGTGACACAACACTAGCACATCAGTGGGGACGGGGGCATGTCTGATAAGGGAGGGGGTGTGAAGAGGGGCTGGGTAATGGGAGGGGGGGGGGGGACTGAAGAGGGGGGAGCTGGGTCTGGGGGGGGGGGGGGACTGAAAAGGAGGGAGCTGGGTCTGGGGTGGGGACTGAGGGGGGTGGGGAGCTGGGTCTGGGGACTGAAGAGGGGGGGGGGAGAGCTGGGTCATGGGGTGGGGACTGAGGGGGGGGGAGCAGCTGGGTCATGGGGTGGGGACTGAGGGGGGGAGCTGGGTCTGGGGGGGGGGGGACTGAAAAGGAGGGAGCTGGGTCTGGGGTGGGGACTGAAGGGGGTGGGGAGCTGGGTCTGGGGTGGGGACTGAAGGGGGTGGGGAGCTGGGTCTGGGGTGGGGACTGAAGGGGGTGGGGGGGGAGAGCTGGGTCATGGGGTGGGGACTGAAGAGGGGGGGGGGGGAGCTGGGTCTGGGGGGGGGGGACTGAAAAGGAGGGAGCTGGGTCTGGGGTGGGGACTGAAGGGGGTGGGGACTGAAGGGGGTGGGGAGCTGGGTCTGGGGTGGGGACTGAAGGGGGTGGGGAGCTGGGTCTGGGGTGGGGACTGAAGGGGGTGGGGGGGGAGAGCTGGGTCATGGGGTGGGGACTGAAGAGGGGGGGGAGCTGGGTCTGGGGGGGGGGGGGGGGGAGAGCTGGGTCTGGGGACTGAAGAGGGGGGGGGGGAGAGCTGGGTCATGGGGTGGGGACTGAGGGGGGGAGCAGCTGGGTCTGGGGGGGGGGGACTGAGGGGGGGGGGGAGAGCTGGGTCATGGGGTGGGGACTGAAGGGGGTGGGGTCTGAATCATGGGGTGTGTTGTTGTATGACAACATGTTTATACAGCTTAATGCGACTCACTGTCTGCATCCAGCTGCTCATCTTCATCCTCCACATCACTGAGCAGCTGGTTGGGTGTGGATGACTGCTGGTCACCTTCTTCTGCTATCAACCTCTGGTGTAACTCCTGCAGAAGCTTCTCAGCCTCCATGGTGAACTCCAGCTCTTTGTTGTTCAGCCAGTGCAGCCTGAAGTTGTTGTCTACATCCTCCTTGTTGCCAACTATGGGCAGTAGGGGGATATCTGTGGGAGACAACAAGTTGACTCAATGGGCAGTAGGGGGATATCTGTGGGAGACAACAAGTTGACTCAATGGGCAGTAGGGGGATATCTGTGGGAGACAACAAGTTGACTCAGTGGGCAGTAGGGGGATATCTGTGGGAGACAACAAGTTGACTCAATGGACAGTAGGGGGATATCTGTGGGAGACAACAAGTTGACTCAATGGACAGTAGGGGGATATCTGTGGGAGACAACAAGTTGACTCAATGGGCAGTAGGGGGATATCTGTGGGAGACAACAAGTTGACTCAATGGGCAGTAGGGGGATATCTGTGGGAGACAACAAGTTGACTCAGTGGGCAGTAGGGGGATATCTGTGGGAGACAACAAGTTGACTCAATGGGCAGTAGGGGGATATCTGTGGGAGACAACAAGTTGACTCAGTGGGCAGTAGGGGGATATCTGTGGGAGACAACAAGTTGACTCAATGGGCAGTAGGGGGATATCTGTGGGAGACAACAAGTTGACTCAATGGGCAGTAGGGGGATATCTGTGGGAGACAACAAGTTGACTCAATGGGCAGTAGGGGGATATCTGGTTAGGTGACATGACATCATCTCCTGTGTGAGACTAACATACCTGTGTGAGACTAACATACCTGTGTGAGACTAACATACCTGTGTGAGACTAACATACCTGTGTGAGACTAACATACCTGTGTGAGGCTAACATACCTGTGTGAGACTAACATACCTGTGTGAGACTAACATACCTGTGTGAGACTAACATACCTGTGTGAGACTAACATACCTGTGTGAGACTAACATACCTGTGTGAGACTAACATACCTGTGTGAGACTAACACACCTGTGTGAGACTAACACACCTGTGTGAGACTAACATACCTGTATCAGGATTAATACTGCAGGCGAGATGGAAATGTAGTACAGGTGAGACACCATTGTGATGAATGGCAAACTTGTGGAAGTCGTGTACACTGGAGGAGTTCTGTAGAGTTTGGCCATTCAACAAGTTATCTGAGCCCAACTTGGACTGTTTTCTGCGCTTGTGAAACACCCTGATGGTACACACATTAATTAGAATAATTTAAACACTGATGGTACACACATTAATTAGAATAATTTAAACACTGATGGTACACACATTAATTAGAATAATTTAAACACTCTGATGGTACACACATTAATTAGAATAATTTAAACACTCTGATGGTACACACATTAATTAGAATAATTTAAACACTGATGGTACACACATTAATTAGAATAATTTAAACACTGATGGTACACACATTAATTAGAATAATTTAAACACTGATGGTACACACATTAATTAGAATAATTTAAACACTCTGATGGTACACACATTAATTAGAATAATTTAAACACTGATGGTACACACATTAATTAGAATAATTGAAACACTCTGATGGTACACACATTAATTAGAATAATTTAAACACTGATGGTACACACATTAATTAGAATAATTTAAACACTGATGGTACACACATTAATTAGAATAATTTAAACACTGATGGTACACACATTAATTAGAATAATTTAAACACTCTGATGGTACACACATTAATTAGAATAATTTAAACACTCTGATGGTACACACATTAATTAGAATAATTTAAACACTCTGATGGTACACACATTAATTAGAATAATTTAAACACTGATGGTACACACATTAGAATAATTTAAACACCCTGATGGTACACACATTAATTAGAATAATTTAAACACTGATGGTACACACATTAATTAGAATAATTTAAACACTGATGGTACACACATTAATTAGAATAATTTAAACACTGATGGTACACACATTAATTAGAATAATTTAAACACTCTGATGGTACACACATTAATTAGAATAATTTAAACACTGATGGTACACACATTAGAATAATTTAAACACTGATGGTACACACATTAATTAGAATAATTTAAACACTGATGGTACACACATTAATTTGAATAATTTAAACACTGATGGTACACAAAAAGATAAGAATAATTAACATCCAGTAGTAAAAAAGAATTGAAAAAATAAACGACTGAATGTGTATCTTTGTCTGTGGGAGAAAGGTTGCCTGAAAGTTGTGTTTACAGTGAGATTAAGATTTACTTTAAGTTCTTGAGCTTGTGAGATAAAGGTTGCCTGAAGGTTGTGTTTACAGTGAGAGTAAGATTTACTTTAAGTTCTTGAGCTTGTGAGATAAAGGTTGCCTGAAGGTTGTGTTTACAGTGAGAGTAAGATTTACTTTAAGTTCTTGAGCTTGTGAGATAAAGGTTGCCTGAAGGTTGTGTTTACAGTGAGAGTAAGATTTACTTTAAGTTCTTGAGCTTGTGAGATAAAGGTTGCCTGAAGGTTGTGTTTACAGTGAGAGTAAGATTTACTTTAAGTTCTTGAGCTTGTGAGATAAAGGTTGCCTGAAGGTTGTGTTTACAGTGAGAGTAAGATTTACTTTAAGTTCTTGAGCTTGTGAGATAAAGGTTGCCTGAAGGTTGTGTTTACAGTGAGATTAAGATTTACTTTAAGTTCTTGAGCTTGTGAGATAAAGGTTGCCTGAAGGTTGTGTTTACAGTGAGATTAAGATTTACTTTAAGTTCTTGAGCCTCTGAACAAATCTTTTCTTGTGTCTTTGTGTGTGGTACTTGGGGTCTGACGACATGGCCGGGTCAAACTGCTCCAGGTCCAGCAAGCCGGCGTCAGGCAGGATGGTCTCAACAAATATGCGACAGACATTATCCTCACAAGACGTCACCATCATGTTGGCCACAGAACCCCTGAAATGGCACAGCAGTTGACCAGTTTATTCTGCTGACCAAGTTTGAACTGAATACAATGAGCTATGTTTGACCTATGCTGACCAAGTTTGAACTGAATACAATGAGCTATGTTTGACCTATGCTGACCAAGTTTGAACTGAATACAATGAGCTATGTTTGACCTATGCTGACCAAGTTTGAACTGAATACAATGAGCTATGTTTGACCTATGCTGACCAAGTTTGAACTGAATACAATGAGCTATGTTTGACCTATGCTGACCAAGTTTGAAGTGAATAATTAATGAGCTATGTTTGACCTATGCTGACCAAGTTTGAACTGAATACTTTATGTTTGACCTCTGGTCATGTTTTACCTTGGCATGTATTTGCTGGTCTGTCTCCACTCAAAGCCTGTGACAGCCCGCGGGTGGCTTATGTAAACAAACGTGTAGTGGATGGAGCACTTCTTGGGGCTCAGCACACTGTCATGGCGCATCAGTCCTTGGGATACTGGGTGGAACAGCACATAACCATACAAAGTACAGCCACAAATTACAGACAACCCACAAATTACAGACACACAAACCACAAATTACAGACAACCCACAAATTACAGACAACCCACAAATTACAGACACACAAACCACAAATTACAGACAACCCACAAATTACAGACACACAAACCACAAATTACAGACACACAAACCACAAATTACAGACACACAACCCACAAATTACAGACACACAACCCACAAATTACAGACACACAACCCACAAATTACAGACACACAAACCACAAATTACAGACAACCCACAAATTACAGACACACAACCCACAAATTACAGACACACAAACCACAAATTACAGACAACCCACAAATTACAGACACACAACCCACAAATTACAGACAACCCACAAATTACAGACACACAACCCACAAATTACAGACACACAAACCACAAATTACAGACACACAACCCACAAATTACAGACACACAACCCACAAATTACAGACACACAACCCACAAATTACAGACACACAAACCACAAATTACAGACACACAACCCACAAATTACAGACACACAAACCACAAATTACAGACACACAACCCACAAATTACAGACACACAACCCACAAATTACAGACACACAACCCACAAATTACACACAACCCACAAATTACAGACACACAACCCACAAATTACAGACACAACCCACAAATTACAGACACACAACCCACAAATTACAGACACAACCCACAAATTACAGACACACAACCCACAAATTACAGACACAACCCACAAATTACAGACACACAACCCACAAATTACAGACACACAACCCACAAATTACAGACACACAAACTTCAAAATGTAGGTTATAACCATAAAGTTAATAACTACAAAGTACCTTTTTGGTCCTCATACCAGATTTTCACAAGTCGTTCATTCTGTGGTGTAAAAAAATCATTTTAATTTCTGCTTACAGTATCTAAAACTAAATGTATGGTATTACCTTGCCTAATGAATAAATGTATGGTATTACCTTGCCTAATAACTAAATGTATGGTATTACCTTGCCTAATGAAGCAAACACAAAACTGTCAGGAGAATATTCTAGATGAGTCACAGGAGACGCAGGTCTGAGGATAACATCCAGTTTATACAGTGGAATTAGTGCTACATTTTACACAGTGGAATTAGTAGTACAGTTTACACAGTGGAATTAGTGGTACATTTTACACAGTGGAATTAGTGGTACATTTTACACAGTGGAATTAGTGGTACATTTTACAAAGTGGAATTAGTGCTACATTTTACACAGTGGAATTAGTGGTACATTTTACACAGTGGAATTAGTGGTACATTTTACACAGTGGAACTAGTGGTACATTTTACACAGTGGAATTAGTGGTACATTTTACACAGTGGAATTAGTAGTACATTTTACACAGTGGAATTAGTGCTACATTTTACACAGTGGAATTAGTGGTACATTATACACAGTGGAATTATTGCTACATTTTACACAGTGGAATTAGTGCTACATTTTACACAGTGGAATTAGTAGTACATTTTACACAGTGGAATTAGTAGTGCATTTTACACAGTGGAATTAGTGCTACATTTTACACAGTGGAATTAGTGCTACATTTTACACAGTGGAATTAGTGGTACATTATACACAGTGGAATTATTGCTACATTTTACACAGTGGAATTAGTGCTACATTTTACACAGTGGAATTAGAAGTGCATTTTACACAGTGGAATTAGTAGTGCATTTTACACAGTGGAATTAGTGCTACATTTTACACAGTGGAATTAGTGCTACATTTTACACAGTGGAATTAGTGCTACATTTTACACAGTGGAATTAGTAGTACATTTTACACAGTGGAATTAGTGCTACATTTTACACAGTGGAATTAGTGGTACATTATACACAGTGGAATTAGTGCTACATTTTACACAGTGGAATTAGTAGTGCAGTTTACACAGTGGAATTAGTAGTGCATTTTACACAGTGGAATTAGTAGTGCATTTTACACAGTGGAATTAGTAGTGCATTTTACACAGTGGAGTTAGTGGTACATTTTACACAGTGGAATTAGTGGTACATTTTACACAGTGGAATTAGTAGTGCATTTTACACAGTGGAATTAGAAGTGCATTTTACACAGTGGAATTAGTAGTGCATTTTAAACAGTGGAATTAGTAGTACATTGTACACATTGGAATTAGTAGTACATTTTACACATTGGAATTAGTAGTACATTTTACACAGTGGAATTAGTAGTGCATTTTACACAGTGGAATTAGTAGTGCATTTTACACAGTGGAGTTAGTGGTACATTTTACACAGTGGAATTAGTGCTACATTTTACACAGTGGAATTAGTGGTACATTTTACACAGTGGAATTAGTGGTACATTTTACACAGTGGAATTAGTGGTACATTTTACACAGTGGAATTAGTGCTACATTTTACACAGTGGAATTAGTAGTACATTTTACACAGTGGAATTAGTGCTACATTTTACACAGTGGAATTAGTGGTACATTATACACAGTGGAATTATTGCTACATTTTACACAGTGGAATTAGTGCTACATTTTACACAGTGGAATTAGTAGTACATTTTACACAGTGGAATTAGTAGTGCATTTTACACAGTGGAATTAGTGCTACATTTTACACAGTGGAATTAGTGCTACATTTTACACAGTGGAATTAGTGCTACATTTTACACAGTGGAATTAGTAGTACATTTTACACAGTGGAATTAGTGCTACATTTTACACAGTGGAATTAGTGGTACATTATACACAGTGGAATTATTGCTACATTTTACACAGTGGAATTAGTGCTACATTTTACACAGTGGAATTAGTAGTACATTTTACACAGTGGAATTAGTAGTGCATTTTACACAGTGGAATTAGTGCTACATTTTACACAGTGGAATTAGTGCTACATTTTACACAGTGGAATTAGTGCTACATTTTACACAGTGGAATTAGTGCTACATTTTACACAGTGGAATTAGTAGTACATTTTACACAGTGGAATTAGTGCTACATTTTACACAGTGGAATTAGTGGTACATTATACACAGTGGAATTAGTGCTACATTTTACACAGTGGAATTAGTAGTGCAGTTTACACAGTGGAATTAGTAGTGCAGTTTACACAGTGGAATTAGTAGTGCAGTTTAGACAGTGGAATTAGTAGTGCAGTTTAGACAGTGGAATTAGTAGTGCAGTTTACACAGTGGAATTAGTAGTGCAGTTTACACAGTGGAATTAGTAGTGCAGTTTAGACAGTGGAATTAGTAGTGCAGTTTACACAGTGGAATTAGTAGTGCATTTTACACAGTGGAATTAGTAGTGCATTTTACACAGTGGAATTAGTAGTGCATTTTACACAGTGGAATTAGAAGTGCATTTTACACAGTGGAATTAGTAGTGCATTTTAAACAGTGGAATTAGTAGTACATTTTACACATTGGAATTAGTAGTACATTTTACACATTGGAATTAGTAGTACATTTTACACAGTGGAATTAGTAGTGCATTTTACACAGTGGAATTAGTAGTGCATTTTACACAGTGGAGTTAGTGGTACATTTTACACAGTGGAATTAGTGGTACATTTTACACAGTGGAATTAGTAGTGCATTTTACACAGTGGAATTAGAAGTGCATTTTACACAGTGGAATTAGTAGTGTATTTTAAACAGTGGAATTAGTAGTACATTTTACACATTGGAATTAGTAGTACATTTTACACATTGGAATTAGTAGTACATTTTACACATTGGAATTAGTAGTACATTTTACACATTGGAATTAGTAGTACAGTTTACACAGTGGAATTAGTAGTACAGTTCACAGTGGAATTAATAGTACAGTTTACACAGTGGAATTAGTAGTACAGTTTACACAGTGGAATTTTACAAAGCTTAGTAAGGATTATTCATTTAAACCCACCAGATCTTTACAAAATGTGTACATACATGAAGGCCTAGCCAATGTTTATGTGTACATACATGAAGGCCTAGCCAATGTTTATGTGTACGTACATGAAGGCCTAGCCAATGTTTATGTGTACATACATGAAGGCCTAGCCAATGTTTATGTGTACGTACATGAAGGCCTAGCCAATGTTTATGTGTACGTACATGAAGGCCTAGCCAATGTTTATGTGTACGTGATGAAAGACTCACTTTGTTTTCCAAACACATTCCCAGGAGCCAGGGTCAGGCTGGAGGTCAGTGACATGGTCAGGGTCTGCTATAGCCTGCACCAGCCTGTGGGTCACTGGGTCGTCATCATCACAGTGGCCAACACCCAGGGTGAAGGACACCTTCTGTGGGGTGGCTGGTGGGGGTGGGGCATTGTGCACAAACTCCCACATTTGGATGTACTCACCACCAGTCAGGAGACGGGAGCCTGAAACACAAGTAGACAAAAACATTTAGGGAGCCTGAAACACAAGTAGACAAAAACATTTAGGGAACACAAGTAGACAAAAACATTTAGGGAGCCTGAAACACAAGTAGACAAAAACATTTAGGGAGCCTGAAACACAAGTAGACAAAAACATTTAGGGAGCCTGAAACACAAGTAGACAAAAACATTTAGGGAACACAAGTAGACAAAAACATTTAGGGAGCCTGAAACACAAGTAGACAAAAACATTTAGGGAACACAAGTAGACAAAAACATTTAGGGAGCCTGAAACACAAGTAGACTAAACATTTAGGGAGCCTGAAACACAAGTAGACAAAAACATTTAGGGAACACAAGTAGACAAAAACATTTAGGGAGCTTTAAATACATATCCACAAAAACAGTACACTTTCACTGACATAGCCACACAATGTGACAATTGAAAGAGGTGAATGAAGCCCTACCTTCCACATTCCAACTCAAACAATCCACATAACAGTCAGCATCCAGCTCAGCAGTAGGAAACCATCTATAGTCTAGCTTCTGCAACAATGCAAAGGGAACAAATTTAGTCAACCTTTTTTTTTCTTACATTTTGTTCAAACTTCAAAATAAATTTCAGTTTAAAAGCTTTTTTCTTCCACATTAAAAAAAATTCTAAATGTGATCAAGCATGCGCACAATAAACAGCAGCCAAGAAGACAAGAATCAACCACTGCCACAGGATATTGACTTCAATATCATCTACTTAGAAGCAAACTATCAGATGACAACATTATGTGCTATTTCATGAAATTTAATTCCACCGTATCTGAGCTAGACTATTGATTACTTAATAAAACCTGCCACATATCAAGGAAATGTCAACTTAATAAAACCTGCCACATATCAAGGAAATGTCAACTTAATAAAACCTGCTACATATCAAGGAAATGTCAACTTAATAAAACCTGCCACATATCAAGGAAATGTCAACTTAATAAAACCTGCTACATATCAAGGAAATGTCAAAGACAAATTGCAGTTTAAACTAGACGACTGATTACTTAATAAAACCTGCCACATATCAAGGAAATGTCAACTTAATAAAACCTGCCACATATCAAGGAAATGTCAACTTAATAAAACCTGCCACATATCAAGGAAATGTCAACTTAATAAAACCTGCTACATATCAAGGAAATGTCAAAGACAAATTGCAGTTTAAACTAGACGACTGATTACTTAATAAAACCTGCCACATATCAAGGAAATGTCAACTTAATAAAACCTGCCACATATCAAGGAAATGTCAACTTAATAAAACCTGCCACATATCAAGGAAATGTCAACTTAATAAAACCTGCCACATATCAAGGAAATGTCAAAGACAAATTGCAGTTTAAACTAGACGACTGATTACTTAATAAAACCTGCCACATATCAAGGAAATGTCAACTTAATAAAACCTGCCACATATCAAGGAAATGTCAACTTAATAAAACCTGCTACATATCAAGGAAATGTCAACTTAATAAAACCTGCCACATATCAAGGAAATGTCAACTTATTAAAACCTGCCACATATCAAGGAAATGTCAATGACAAATTGCAGTTTAAAAAATTGTCAATGTGAAAATACTATAAGTATTTAGAGAATTATTAAAAATCAAACAATGCTGCTAAAAAAGACAATACACTGGTCAAATTAAAAATTGAAGGAACTATAATTTCATGAACAACAACAAATGAAATTGTGTTTCATTCAATGTGAGAAGCCTTGATTGAATCAGTTTGAAGAAGCTCAACAGCAGACTAGTTCTAGTGACAGATTCAACTCAGTGTAAGGTAGGATACCCTGAGCAACACTAAAGGGATATGGCCAACTAACAGACAAATGGCCAACTATAGGGCCAACTATCTGACAAGTGGCCAACTATCAGACAAATGGCCAACTATCAGACAAATGGCCAACTATTAGCCAAGTGGCCAACTATCAGACAAATGGCTAACTATCAGACAAATGGCTAACTATCAGACAAATGGCCAACTATCAGACAAATGGCCAACTATCAGACAAATGGCCAACTATCGGACAAATGGCCAACTATCAGACAAATGGCCAACTATCAGACAAATGGCCAACTATCAGACAAATGGCCAACTATCAGACAAGTGGCCAACTATCAGACAAATGGCCAACTATCAGACAAGTGGCCAACTATCAGACAAGTGGCCAACTATCAGACAAGTGGCCAACTATCAGACAAGTGGCCAACTATTAGACAAGTGGCCAACTATCAGACAAATGGCCACTTATCAGACAAGTGGCCACTATCAGACAAATGGCCAACTATATGGCCAACTATCAGACAAATGGCCAACTATTAGACAAGTGTACCCCAGTACTTAGTGCTCATAGAAAAAGGTATAGAATAAAAAAAGATGTATAATGGTGGCACAGCTGAATACATGGAAGCTGTTGACAAGACAGTGTGCAGTATACAGGTGCAGGAGTGGCTGAGGCACAGAAGCAGGGGGCAACAGAGGGGTGGGCCAAGCTTGGAGACTTAAGTGGGCCTGTTTGATAGGGTACCTGGCCAACCTTGGAGACCTAGGTGGGCCTGTTTGATGGGGTACCTGGCCAACCTTGGAGACCTAAGTGGGCCTGTTTGATGGGGTACCTGGCCAACCTTGGAGACCTAAGTGGGCCTGTTTGATGGGGTACCTGGCCAAGTATGGACAGATGGGCCTGTTTGATGGGGTACCTGGCCAACCTTGGAGACCTAAGTGGGCCTGTTTGATGGGGTACCTGGCCAAGTATGGACAGATGGGCCTGTTTGATGGGGTACCTGGCCAAGCTTGGAGACCTAAGTGGGCCTGTTTGATGGGGTACCTGGCCAAGTATGGACAGATGGGCCTGTTTGATGGGGTACCTGGCCAACCTTGGAGACCTAAGTGGGCCTGTTTGATGGGGTACCTGGCCAACCTTGGAGACCTAAGTGGGCCTGTTTGATAGGGTACCTGGCCAAGCTTGGAGACCTAAGTGGGACTGTTTGATAGGGTACCTGGCCAACCTTGGAGACCTAGGTGGGCCTGTTTGATGGGGTACCTGGCCAAGCTTGGAGACCTAGGTGGGCCTGTTTGATGGGGTACCTGGCCAAGTATGGACAGATGGGCCTGTTTGATGGGGTACCTGGCCAACCTTGGAGACCTAAGTGGGCCTGTTTGATGGGGTACCTGGCCAAGTATGGACAGATGGGCCTGTTTGATGGGGTACCTGGCCAACCTTGGAGACCTAAGTGGGCCTGTTTGATGGGGTACCTGGCCAACCTTGGAGACCTAAGTGGGCCTGTTTGATAGGGTACCTGGCCAAGCTTGGAGACCTAAGTGGGACTGTTTGATAGGGTACCTGGCCAAGCTTGGAGACCTAAGTGGGCCTGTTTGATAGGGTACCTGGCCAAGTTTGGAGACCTAAGTGGGACTGTTTGATGGGGTACCTGGCCAAGCTTGGAGACCTAAGTGGGACTGTTTGATGGGGTACCTGGCCAAGCTTGGAGACCTAGGTGGGCCTGTTTGATGGGGTACCTGGCCAACCTTGGAGACCTAAGTGGGCCTGTTTGATGGGGTACCTGGCCAACCTTGGAGACCTAAGTGGGCCTGTTTGATGGGGTACCTGGCCAACCTTGGAGACCTAAGTGGGCCTGTTTGATGGGGTACCTGGCCAACCTTGGAGACCTAAGTGGGCCTGTTTGATAGGGTACCTGGCCAAGCTTGGAGACCTAGGTGGGCCTGTTTGATGGGGTACCTGGCCAAGTATGGACAGATGGGCCTGTTTGATGGGGTACCTGGCCAACCTTGGAGACCTAAGTGGGCCTGTTTGATGGGGTACCTGGCCAAGCTTGGAGACCTAAGTGGGACTGTTTGATGGGGTACCTGGCCAACCTTGGAGACCTAAGTGGGCCTGTTTGATGGGGTACCTGGCCAAGTATGGACAGATGGGCCTGTTTGATGGGGTACCTGGCCAACCTTGGAGACCTAAGTGGGCCTGTTTGATGGGGTACCTGGCCAAGTATGGACAGATGGGCCTGTTTGATGGGGTACCTGGCCAACCTTGGAGACCTAAGTGGGCCTGTTTGATAGGGTACCTGGCCAAGCTTGGAGACCTAAGTGGGACTGTTTGATAGGGTACCTGGCCAAGCTTGGAGACCTAAGTGGGCCTGTTTGATAGGGTACCTGGCCAAGCTTGGAGACCTAAGTGGGCCTGTTTGATGGGGTACCTGGCCAACCTTGGAGACCTAGGTGGGCCTGTTTGATGGGGTACCTGGCCAAGCTTGGAGACCTAAGTGGGCCTGTTTGATGGGGTACCTGGCCAAGCTTGGAGACCTAAGTGGGCCTGTTTGATGGGGTACCTGGCCAAGTATGGACAGATGGGCCTGTTTGATGGGGTACCTGGCCAACCTTGGAGACCTAAGTGGGCCTGTTTGATGGGGTACCTGGCCAACCTTGGAGACCTAAGTGGGCCTGTTTGATGGGGTACCTGGCCAACCTTGGAGACCTAAGTGGGCCTGTTTGATGGGGTACCTGGCCAACCTTGGAGACCTAAGTGGGCCTGTTTGATGGGGTACCTGGCCAAGTATGGACAGATGGGCCTGTTTGATGGGGTACCTGGCCAACCTTGGAGACCTAAGTGGGCCTGTTTGATGGGGTACCTGGCCAAGTATGGACAGATGGGCCTGTTTGATGGGGTACCTGGCCAACCTTGGAGACCTAAGTGGGCCTGTTTGATGGGGTACCTGGCCAAGTATGGACAGATGGGCCTGTTTGATGGGGTACCTGGCCAACCTTGGAGACCTAAGTGGGCCTGTTTGATGGGGTACCTGGCCAACCTTGGAGACCTAAGTGGGCCTGTTTGATAGGGTACCTGGCCAAGCTTGGAGACCTAAGTGGGACTGTTTGATAGGGTACCTGGCCAACCTTGGAGACCTAGGTGGGCCTGTTTGATGGGGTACCTGGCCAACCTTGGAGACCTAAGTGGGCCTGTTTGATGGGGTACCTGGCCAAGTATGGACAGATGGGCCTGTTTGATGGGGTACCTGGCCAACCTTGGAGACCTAAGTGGGCCTGTTTGATGGGGTACCTGGCCAAGTATGGACAGATGGGCCTGTTTGATGGGGTACCTGGCCAACCTTGGAGACCTAAGGGGCCTGTTTGATGGGGTACCTGGCCAAGTATGGACAGATGGGCCTGTTTGATGGGGTACCTGGCCAACCTTGGAGACCTAAGTGGGCCTGTTTGATGGGGTACCTGGCCAACCTTGGAGACCTAAGTGGGCCTGTTTGATAGGGTACCTGGCCAAGCTTGGAGACCTAAGTGGGACTGTTTGATAGGGTACCTGGCCAACCTTGGAGACCTAGGTGGGCCTGTTTGATGGGGTACCTGGCCAAGCTTGGAGACCTAGGTGGGCCTGTTTGATGGGGTACCTGGCCAAGTATGGACAGATGGGCCTGTTTGATGGGGTACCTGGCCAACCTTGGAGACCTAATTGGGCCTGTTTGATGGGG